TTTTTCAAATGTTGTATGTGAGGTATCCATCATTATAAAATCGATGAGTTGTCATAATTTGGAGCAATGAGTAAGAACAATTCGAGAAAAGGTGTGATCCCTAATACACATATGATTGAACCTTTGGGCTGGTCAATGACAAAGCAGGCACCGATTATCACATTACAAAAAAAAATGGAAGCATTCATTCATCAAATACGAGGCGTGTTTGTTCTGGATCAAAACGGAAAACGATTATTATCGAAATACTACTCGAACGATCTGAAGAGTAATTTAAGAAAACAATTAGATTTGGAAGAAAATGTATCCAACAAGACCATCAAAAGCAAAACACCTTCCTCCGGAGAGTGTGATATAATAATGATTGATAGCTTTAATATTGTGTTTCAAAATGTTCAGGATATTTACTTTTTGTTGTTGGAGCTGGATACGAAAATGAATTAGTATTATCGGAAGTGTTATCGGGTCTTATTGATGGCTTGATGATGCTCTTTAGAAATCAATTGACAAAGAGAACTTTCCTTGAAAATTTTGATTTGATAGTTTTGGCTTTGGATGAAGTTTTGGAAGATGGTATCATCATTGAAACAGACTCATCGGCAATTGCTCAAAAGGTTGCTGCTGTTGAAACAGGAGCTGATGCTTCAAGTGGTGTGGAAGGAAGTGAGACCATCACGCAAGTCTTTAAATCAGCAAGAGAGCAACTCGGAGAGTTGGCTAGTTCATTCTTCCAATTTTAAAGTGGTTCTTTGTGAATACGTCAGTGGTCTTCATCACACACATATCTGCTTTGTACAAAATAAAATCATCACTTTTTCTCAAGAACCGTATGGTCTGATTTTGGCTTGTCTTACATCTATTCAGTCAATTTGTTGTGATTTTTAAAAGCCAATCAAAAAAATTGAACACACGACAATCCAATCATTCGTTGTGGTCCGGGTCCGACAATCGAAATTTTCTATTCTCTCACGATTTACCATCATCATTCCCAACATCCCACCTAAATTTTGAAACACAATGAAAAAGGACGATACATCATCATCCGAAGTACTTATTGATATCGAGGACACATCAACTACCATTGTTGAATCCGATATCAAATTTGATACCACACCACCTATATCACTTCCCGATACATCTGTTACACCAAAACAAAGTTTTCTAACGAATAAGAACACTGTTAATTTTCTCGCAGGTGGTATTTCGGGAAGCATTGCTAGCGTAGTAACTCAGCCTTTGGATGTATTGAAAACCCGATTTCAAAGCTCAGCTAAAATTTACAATGATGCAGCAACGAAACAGAACTTCCTTCTTAAAATTATTGATTCTTTAAAAATTACAGCAAAAACTGAGGGACTTCATGGATTATTTAGAGGATTAATACCAAATATTGCTGGTATTTTTCCTTCAAGAGCAATTTACTTTGCAACTTATTCAGGAACTAAGGATTTGATGAGCAAATATTGTGGACTCTCTTCAGACAGTCCACTTGTTCATATTGGAAGCGCCGCAGCATGTGGTGTTGTCGTACCAGCAGTTATGAACCCAATGTTTTTAGTGAAAACTAGGATCCAATTAGATTTATACAAACCCAATTCGTCACGTGGCAGTAACACACCGAATTATAATGGATACATGGATTGTATCAGCAGAATTTATCGAGATGAAGGAGTGAAAGGTTTTTACAAAGGTCTGACAGCTTCGTTCCTTGGAATATTTGAAACTGCAATTTATTTTGTCTTGTATGAACAAGTGAAACGAATGGCCTTAAAATCAACTAGTAGTTCAGAAGGAGAAACTCCCAAATTCACTCCACTTACCTACATTACAGTGAGTGGTGGATGCAAATTAGTTGCGAGCGCCATAACTTATCCACATGAGGTTGTGAGAACAAGAATGAGAGAGATTGTAGATGGAAAATGTAGATATGACAAAGGCATGATTAATGCATTCAAAACAATAGCGATAGAAGAAGGAACAAAAGGTCTATATTCTGGAATGGGAGCTCACCTTATTAGAGTTGTGCCCAACACAGCCATCATGTTCCTCTCATTTGAATTCATTACTCACTTTATGGAAAAACATTATGGAACAGGAAAGACCACGCATTAACTGTTTTCTTCTGATTGATTATGCCATCTCCTCATTCTAACTTGAAATTAATTTGTTGACCTAATTGATCTTTAATCAACATTTTGAACAAAATTAAGAAAGCACTGATGGTTGGTTTAGCGAGTGATGCTTGTAATAAAAGCATGCACAAAAAAATTTATTGAGGAATATGTTCACCGAATCCAGCTTTGATTCTAATTAATTGAGGATACCCAAGTAAGAATGCATTCTTGTCATTCCAGAGATGGCATTAGAATTTCTTAAAAAAAATGCTAAACACTTCGAACACTCAGTTTCACGTCCTTCTTGGAGTCTCATTTGTCTTGACAAGTCTTGCCATGCTGGTTAGGGCAAACGATGATTCTACTTCTTCTTCTTCGGGTGCAAGTGTCAAAGTTGTTTATGTAGAGAAAGATGGAACAACGCGAGTCGAAGATTATGATTATTTGTTCAGGTATGGATCGGATGATTGATATATCATACACTGAACATGTCATCCATGATTATCAAAATATGATGATTTAATCAAATCTTTAAAAATATATTGTAAATCTATTTTATGATGGCATGTCAATCAATAATCAAATATGATCGGCGTGGTGATGATGCATACAAAATTACAGTTCTGCTTTTACTCAACTCATTTGTCACTTGGTGTCTTTTATTTTACCGGCCTATGCGTCATTCAAGGCCATTCGATCACCACAATCAAATGATGACAAGCATTGGTTGTAAGTAGTAATGACTCATTGACAATGAGAGAATTTACAACAAATTTAGAATTTATTGGATTATTTATGCTCTCATTCATGTGTTCGAGTATTACTTGTTGGTCATTGTTGTCTTTATTCCATTTTATTGGGAAATTAAATTCTTTTTCATTATTTGGGTAAGTTACTCAAGTAATACTCGAATATATTTTTCATGACAACAACATGGAATTTATTTTCAATTTCTACTGATGCCGTGCTTGTGAATACACATGCAGCTTATTGCACCCCAAACCAGAGGTGCCACACTCCTTTATGTAAAATATGTGGAGCCATTCCTCAATAAGCACGAACAAGAAATTGATGAACAAGTGTCCAACGTTCAAAAGAGAGCCAGTGTTGCAGTCCAAGGTTTGGCAAAACAGGTCGTTCATTCTGTCATCAGTGGAAGCTTTGAACAAAAAGAAAAGTAAAGAAAGTGCATCTCTCATTTACTACTTTCAATAATTAAATAATAAACCGATCATTCACAATGATCCTCACAATTATTACCTTCCTTTTCTGGCACTAATTAGAAATCATGATTCTTCTCACAATCGAAAATCCTTTCTCAGATCTTAGGAAAAAATAGCTTGACATCACTGTTGCTTTGTGCTGATAACAAATTTTCGGAACCCAAAAAGTCTGCTGTTTATTATTTGAACAAGAGTTGTAGCCGATGATTCATCAGCTCAGGATTGCGGTAGCATCATTATCTCCTCAACAGTGAGTCTCATCCAACTGAACACGTTTCAATTTGTAAATATAGAATTCATCCTTTGGCTAACAACATCGGAATTGACATTACATCAATTTTGATTCTTGTCAAAACAACAACACGCCAAAGACTTGCTGACCAAAAACAATGAGCGATACTCAAACCTCTCATTTACTTCCTCTCAATAATTCTCCTTTTCTTCAATGGGGTATCATATCCATATGTATATCATTGACTGTTAGTAATTTCATTCTCTTTTGCTGCTTGATCTATATCCTTGTGAGATGGCAGAGATCTTCTTCTCATGTCATGATCAAGAAGGAATCACTGCTATGGAAAAGGTTTCTAAGTTGTTGCTGCAGTGCATGTCCTGGAAAACGAAAAAAGTCTCAACTCCGTCTGATCGCCTCTCCGGATGAGAGGTATCCTTCACAGGATGGTCATCATCATCAATATTATGGAAGAATGGATGAGGAAGAGTGCATACAAAATTGTGGCTCCAATGTATTAATACAGAAATCCAATAATTTCTCTAATTCAGTGTTCAAGCATGAACAGGCAATGAATGATGAGCTTGATGATTTAACGACTTTGAGTGTGGTGGGAATGAAGAAGAATGATTCAACCGATCAAGACTCATTGAATCAACATAATTCTGAGGAGACTTTAATCGTGCCAAATAGTATTTCAATTTCACAAAATCGACCAAAGCATTTAGAAAAGATACAACCTGTGGAGCATCCAGAAAATTTACCTTACAATGATTTATCAAAAGAATTGAATGATGCGATTGTAAAGGTCTCACCTCAACTCAGAAATATGAGCGTTATGAGTGAAGAGTTGGAACTCATTGACCAAATTGGGTAAGTATTTTGAGAGTAGTAGTCATTCATCTCGAATTACTAAATTGGATCCAATACAGAGTGGGAAGCAGTGGTATTGTCTATAAAGCCAAGTATATGGGTGTACTTGTAGCTGTAAAACAATGTTTAATATGTGACTTATTGGAAGATCCTCTTAAAGAATACATGAAAGAAACTCAAATTTTGAGTTCAATAAGACATCCAAATATTGTACAGTTTATTGGAGCAACTATTAAGCCTCCATTCTTTTATATTGTGACAGAGTATTGTTCTCGAGGAAGTGTCGATAAGATCATCAAGACTAGTTATTCTAATGTCAATGATAGTAATAATCGAAACGATTATTTAGAGACAAAATCTAAAAAGTTTCTTTCTGCAAAAACACCAGTGACTGATTCACAACTTACCAGACTTTCTGTGGACGCAAGAACAAACCAAGCACGACCATCCATCCTGTTGAATCATCATTTTAAATCTGGACTTAGTCTTAGAAAGAAAATCAAATTATTATTGGATGCAGCCAATGGTTTGAATATGTTAAAGTCTAAGAATATTATTCACAGAGATGTGAAGGTGAGTATTTTCATCATTCAGTGATTGGTCATTCATTATATGTTCTTATTAACACAGATTTCAAATTTTCTTGTCACAAACGATTGGACATTGAAAATATCAGATTTTGGAACTGCTTTCCATTGTTTAATGAATCGACAAAAACGTGGCACTAAAGCAGGAACTATTGAAATAAGTGCACCAGAAGTTCTATTGGATGGTCACTATTCATTCAAATCCGATGTCTATAGTTTTGGAATCTGTGTCTATGAATTAATATTTGAGAAGGAAATTTATCCAAACATGAATGTTTATGAAATTGCACACAGAGTGATTCATGATGAATTGAGACCACCACTTCCAACCTCTCAAGAATTGAGAGAAATGTTTTTTGCAGACCTCACCAACCTCGAGTATGAGGTTGTGAAAAACGTCATTATGAAACTCATTGTGAAATGTTGGTCAAAGATTGAAAACGATCGTCCAGAATGGGATGAAATTTGTTCTATACTGAGAAGTTGTTTATCTAAACTTTCCAAATCCTCAACGAGTAGTAGTAGCAGCAGTGGTGGTGGTGGTCAATCCGAGTTGGCAGATGATTTGTAATGTTCAGGCGTGAGACGTGAACAGGATTTCACAATTTGCCATACTTTAGACTCTCTCAGAATGTTGACACACGAACCTCTTTCAAAAACGATCACTGTAAAATCAGTGTTTCTCACAACAGAATGCAAGAATTTAATCCTATAGAGAACACACATTGAAAACTCTCGAGAGAACTCTTTCGAGAAACTCTCAAAATTTGAGGAATGATTTCTTGTTTCGTTGTCTCACATTTTTTCACTTTAGCAGAGATCAACCCTCTTGTATCCTTCTCTGTTACTAAAAGGGGTGGGAGTGACAGGTAACGAGATCTCCCAAGCCATGATTCGGCTGGCGGGATATTTTTTTTCTCTCGACATCACCGTTTATAGACATATATTCGTATATGTCATGGTGATCCGTTTAAACGTGTATTGATTGAAGCAGTAAGAAATTCTTTCTCACTTCGTGTCAACACGTAATTGTTTTTCTCACATCCACACGTCTGATCTCTTGCATTTTATAACGTTTCGCAATGACAACAATAGAAATCGCTTATAATGTTGAGAGTTTCAGTGTCGAACCATCTTTCAAAAAAATCAAACAACAACTTTTGTAAACTATTAAGAAACGACTTTGGGGATGCCTTCGGCTGGCGATATTATTTCTTCCAGTACATCCAAACTGGAGGGTCTTCATATCAACCCTTCTCTCTTCAAGACATCCACATTGGTTCAAACTATTGGTAAGTCTTGTCTTTGAAAGTCTTGTTATTGGAATAGTGATCTGATGATTGCTTATTTCAATGTACCCTTCTTCTCTCGATTGTCCTCAATCATTCACACACGATTATGACCATTGATGTATGTGGTTGTTATCACTCACACGTGTGTTGCTGTTGTTGCTTGTTCCTTCATGCGAACCCATGGGAATGACAACGAATTGATGATGAACCATTTATTCAATGCGAACCCTCACCCGACCCTCATCCAACCCATTCACCACTCCATCGATGACTCTTGTTCGTGGTGATGCTTTCTGTTTGTGTGTGAATCCTAATCCTGTGACCACATTGCCTTATATGTGAATGTTGATCTCTGTTTATCCATTCAACATCCTCACACACCCCACCAACACCCCTACCACCACCACTCTTCTGCAAACAATTTCAACTGCCAATGAATTCAACTAACAGTTGGGTTAATTATCAGTTCTGTCGTGATTGCCTCTGTGGTAGCCACAGTCATTCTCGTCTCAGTTGGCGTTGGTTATCAAGCTCCAAATCCCAAGCCAGACTTTGCAGAGACGTTCAAACATCAACCAATTATCATTAACGTTTTATTGAATGATTTTGATCCCCGTGGTGGTAACTTGACAGTTAGTTCCATCAAAACCTTGCCATTGAATGGTACTGTGGAAATTGTCTCTTCGAGTAGTGTGCTCTATCAATCGAATGGAACTTTTAGTGGAAATGATTCCTTTGTATATGTGGTTTCGAATGGATATTTGCAAGCTGAAGCATTGGTGATGGTTCATGTATTGAATCGACCACCTCATGCCATTCCTTTAGAATTCCAAGTGGAGAAGAATTCCAAACCAGTGGATTTGAATTTCTTGACATATGTGAATGACAATGGAGGTTCCATGTTTGATTTGGACTCGTTTGATGTTTTGACTGTGAGTGATGTTTCTGGTGGTGTTTTGATCCCTTCAGACACTATGAAAAACACTTCGAGTAACATTCTCAAATTGGGAAGTGTCAAACTTCTTTCGTATGGTATTTCCTACTCTCCAACCAAATACTTTATTGGAACTGAAAGTTATAACTATACTGTGAGTGATGGAGTGGAATTCTCATCGAGTGTTGTGAAAATTGTCGTTACAAATGGAGCTCCAGTGGCCAAAGATGATGCTTACTATGTTCCAAAATATTCTCAAGCGACTTTAAATGTTCTTCTCAATGATTATGATCCCAATGAAGATGACATTACCATTGATTCTATCAATTCTGTGGGTGTTGCCAGTGCCACAGTGGATCAACCTGACAAGAAAACTATCACTTACTTGACTTCAAGTACTGTCTCAACTTCGTATTCAGATAGTTTTGAATATGTCATTAGTGATGGTGAAAAGGCAGCAAGTGCTGTGGTGTTCATTAAGGTGTTTAACACTCCTCCTTTAGTGAATGACTTTTCAACCATTGTGAAAAAGAATTCAATGAATAATTTCATTCCAATTAATTATACAGAGAGTGATATTTTGGACACAGTGACAATGAGTTCCATCACTCCATCTCCTTCCATAGTTGGTTCTTCTTTGATTAATTCAAAAACATCTTCAATTGTGAGAGCTCCATGTTGTGATTGGAGAACTGTGGTGAGAAATGATTATTCCATTCAATTCAATCCATTACCAAATCAAATCTATACTCAAAGTTTTCAAATTGTAATGGAAGATGGTGAAAGCAAATCTCGAATGGCCACTTATTCCATTCAAGTAGTGAATGATCCTCCTACTGCAAATCCAGATGAAACTTATTGCATCAAAAATTCATTCACTATCATCAATGTTGTTTCCAATGACGTGGATGTCAATCCAGGTGATACTTCTAAAATTCGATTGAGTACTGGATGGACCAAAACTTCATCCAATGGTGGAAGCTTAATTCCACTCAATGCCACTCACGTTCAATACACTGCACCTCTTGGATTCATTGGTGATGATGTCATTTCCTATGAAATTACTGATCAAACATTGAATCAAACAACTGGTCAATGGGATGCTTCCAGTTTTGCCATTGGTACTCTCTTGGTTCATGTCGTTCCTGAAAATTACACCAATCAACCACCTACTTGTTCAGGTGGAATTTCACAAACCTTAACGAAGGGATCTTCCTATGATTTCAAATCCAAAATGGCTGCTGTGAGTGCAGATCCAGAAGGAAAAAATCTGACCTTTTACATTTCAAATGCAGGTGCCTTGTCAAGTGTTGGAAACATTACAGGAAGCACCACTTTTACAGCTGCTCTCAAAAATAGTGGAACCAAGGTTGCTGCGTTCATTGTGAGTGATATTTATGGATTAACTGCTCAATGTCCACTCACTGTGACAGTCACAAATACTGCACCTATTTCTCAAAATGCAAACTATTCATTTGTCATTTCACAAAGTAGTTTCGTTCACACCATGAGTTATGTGGCAGATGGTTATGCATCAGATGCAGATCCTCAAGATGTGTTGACATTGAGTCTTGTCGATGCTTCCAATTGTTTGAATACCATTGCTTCGAGTGTGACTATTTCAGGAAATGTCATTTCTCTCACAAGAAAGGTTCCTTCAGGTTCATGTAAACTTACTGTCAAAGTGACAGATGACGATGGCACCAATCCACTCAGTTCAAACAATGCCTTAATTACCATCAATCTCCTCTCTCTAAATCCATTTGCTAGAAACGATGCTTTTAGTATTGATCAAGGACAAACCATTCGAATTCCAGTGACCAAAATGTTACAAAATGACACGGACGAATATGGATTGAATGGAATGAGTTTTGTTTCTGTTCAGTGCCCAGACTCTACCTATTGTCATCGAACTCCTCGTGTGCTCAATGTGAATGGTGACACTTATGTTGAAGTTGATTCAGATCCAAATTCATGTCAAGCTGATAAATTCCAATACACTGCTAGAACCGCTTCAGGAATTTCACGAAATGCTGACGTTTATATTGAATTCAAGAATTGCATGTGTAAGAGTAAGATTGATTTCATGTTCGTGATTGATGCATCAGGATCCATTGGTTGGGACAATTTCCAAAAGATTCGTGCTTTGGGTCAACAAATTGTCTCTCGCATGCAATTGGGTGAAGATGCCATTAAGGTTGGAATTGTTCGATTTCATACGTCATCAACTTTGGCTCTTCCCCTCACAAGTTCACTCACAGATATTCAGAATACCTTTGTGAATATGCCCTATGAGGCTGGATGGACTGCTCAATTGGCTGGTATTCGTGAAGCATTTAATGAATTGGCACGAAATGGAAGAACAGACGCTGAGAAAGTCATGTATATCTTGACAGATGGTCTTGCAAACATACCATGTTCGTGTGATGCTTGTTCTTCATTCTGGTAAGTAGTGAAAGTTGTTGTATTGATTGAAACAATGATTTTAACGTTGGTTCATGATTACCTTTTTTAACATTTCGATTGATTTATTCCTTATTTAGGAGCACCAAACCAAGTCTTTATCCCTACACCGTTGGAACTTTAATTATTGACAATAACCAGCTCAGCAACACACAAAAGCAACAAGCTTATCAAAATCAATGCAATTATCAATTTCCTTACACTCCCGGAGATCCAAACAACTTTGCATTCTATCCTTATTCTTGTTCACAATGTTCATGGGATGATTATTCAAGTAGTTGCTTGCCTTGTGCAGATGCTATACCAGTTGCTCAAAAGATCAATAGGTAAGTGCTTTGTGACATTTCAGATTTATTTGTAATATATTTCATCAAAATGTTTTACATCATTACGACTCATACTTGTATTCTTCATAATCTATTGGAATGACGTCATGACAATTGATTGTTTAAAATTGAACCATATATATTAAAAAACGAATGTTGAAAACACCTCAACAACAACAACAGTTGGAAGAAAAATTCTGCTGGAGTGATTCCATCTGATCCAGACAATCCATTCAATCGTTACAACGTTCAATGGAAGATCATTGCCATGGGTGTTGGTGATGCATTAAGTAATCCATTAGGTTCTCGTGAATTGAGAGGAATGAATTACAATGCCGATCGAACCATCAATGTGCCATGGGATGATTTACAAAAAACTTTTTCTGAAGTTGTGGATCAATCCTGTAATTCGAGAACTATTGTATTGAATTAAAAGGTGGTGAAAATGAAAGTTGTTTGGGAAAAAGTGAGACACATGACAGGTCCATATTTAAATAAAAGAACAACAAACAACAACATTGCATCCAATGGTCAGCTTTATTTTCATCTCCACTCTCTATTGATTTCATCTTTTAAAGGTTCAAAGTTTCCAGATTTAAATTACAAGACGAACCAATAGCAATTTAATGGGCAATCAAAGCGGAAAGGTTGATCATTTGTTTTCAATCAATCCCCAATTCTAGTCTCTACGAAATCATCATTGCGCAATTTGTTACCATTATTAGCATCGAATTCAATACGATCTCTAGCTCTGTTGTATATAAAATGGTCAGATGTTGAGATAAATCGTAGAAAGGTTGACAATATCAATCTAACAGGTCACAAAACAGACTTTTTCTTCATCGATCGACCCCACCAATCGATCCATTGACCAATGTAACAACATTATATCTTGTTGATGATGGTGGAATTGGACATGCCTTTTCGGAGATTGGAATCTTTACTGAAAAAGAAATTCTCTTTACAACAAGAAGGAACCGCATCAAAAGTATGGTTATGGATTATAAATCAATTTGCTTAAATTGGTCTTGATTGATATGACGCACCGACCATAGATGGTAAAAGCCACCAAAAACAATGGTCTTGCTTTTGTTGAATTTGGCTTTTCTGCATTTAAAATGATTTCAAAGAATTTTTATATGAAAGAATGGAACAACGTTATTTTGGTGCTTATTTGGGAACGCCTTAAACATGTTCACCTCGGTTGTTATTGTTGTTGTTATTTGGATGCCCTTCTTTGTGAATACTTCAGAGTGAGAAAGAGTCATATCACTCGTACATTGAAATATCTAAGAAAAAGTCGAATATCTCAATATAATTACTTTCGATTATTTTGCTTCTCTCTCTTTCTTGGAGAATGATTTGTTTCAAAGGATAATTATTCCAATAATTTGATGATCATATATGTTAATGTTGATTCAAAATGAAAAGTAGATCCTTGTTGGTCGGAATGTAAATCATTAAATCATCCTTAATAATTGTACGTCAGAAAAAAAATCTCTCCATTATTATTGCACTAAAGTATCATATGGAAGCCATTGTGTGTATTGAGTGATGTTTAATATTGTCCTTCATAATTTGCTGAATAAAATCAATTGACAAAATATGCAGAAAATCCCACAAACACCGGACCTTTATTAAGGTCGGGTGTTTGGAGAGACCATAAACCCATTTGTTCCTTTAAATTAACCAAATGATTCTTGTTGTTTACGTCTTCGAAACACTTAACATCAGAACCAAAGAACGACATTCCTCAAAGAATTCTAAATAACTCCTAACAACCCATGGACTTAATTAAGCTGATTCACCTTTGTGTAATAAAATTCTAATTAAACTAAACCTTGTCCTTGAAATGTGGAGGGAAAGTAATTGAATGGAATAAATGTAGTTTTACTTTCATGGAACAACCGATTACAAAAGTTCGGAATTTAAGACTTTGCAAATGATTGGTTAATTGATATTCACAAAAGAAAAAAATAGTAAGGAAGAAGCAAGAGAGGATGAATATTTTTATTACACAAAAAACAAACAAAAATCACTAATAATAGAAAACATATCTACTTTCAATGTAACGTAGATGTGTTTCTTGGAAGAGCTGAGATATTTATTATCCTCTATCAACATTGTGCTTCCTGAAACGTCGAAGATTTGATCGAGATCTTTGTAACTACGAGACAAAATCAGATTAGCTGTTTGTTAAGCGCATTAGCTAACCCTTCTATCAGCTCTAACAACCAAACCGATCGAAATGTGAATTCTAATCATAGAAGGAATTTGGATATAAATGTCGGATCAAGTGGCACCATGAGATCTGAAAATTTAGCGAATGTAGATCAAGGTTTATTTATGGCCAAAGAGTCTTCATTACTTTAATCCTTAGTTAAAAAGATGTTGATTTGAATGTTTTCCATTGTTAATGATTTTTGTTTGTTTTTTGTGTAATAAAAGATGTTCATTCTCTCTTACTTCTTCCTTAGTATTTATGATATATTCTGAACGAAATGAAGGACATGAATGTTTTGATTGTACATAATTAAAGAGTTTGGTTGAGCTTTCCATGCTCAAAAATTTTCTGCACATTAATGATCATGGTGTTGCTTAATGACTTCACATCCATTCGCACTCTCATCCACTTGCTTTCTAAAGCTTATTCAGGTACCTTTTTTCGCTGATTGGAATGTTTCTGTGTGGTAAGGTTATGATAATACAGGTCTACCTTGATTTGAATCTTTTTGGCAAGGATTTTTCTGAGCTAACTATATATTTTTATTATTTTCATTTATTTAATTCATCATGTTATCATAATTTTCATGGATTTATCAAGCAATTGCTTAAATATGACTTCACATCATGGAATATTCATCTCTGTCGCTTAACTATGACTTCTTGAACTTCATATGAGGCCCCATCAAACCTGCAGCCGCAGCGAACAGCCGAAAAGGATGGCTGTTAGTTCCTGCTGACTTTCATAACTTTGTAAAAATCCAGCTGCGGATTGGTTTTATTGAGAAGGGTCGATGTTTGCGTCCAGGCGTTCTGTGCGGCTTTTAAATTTGGTAAATTCCAATATCCTGCACAACTTGAACACGAATTCAGCCAATCATTTTTTCAACATGTATAAATTGATTATTTATTTACTGTGAAGCTAGAGGTGAAACTGTTCCAAGGTTGCTGAGAAAACGCAAGGAATCAATAAGGATGAAGACAGAGATAAAGACTCCACAATGTGAAGAAGGGCCCCATCAAACCTGCAGCTACAGCGAACAGCCATTCAGCCAGGATGGTCCTCGCTGCCAAATGGTTCCACAAGATAATTCCTCGACAATCGACCGAAGTTTACACAAGCAACCGTTCAAATCTGGATTTGAGTTGCTGAGAAAGGATTTTGAAAAAGCAATAAAACGAGAAGGGGTCGAAGTTTCACAATAAGAGAGCTTAAAAGCCTCTTTTGTTTTTTCGCGGAGCGGTTTTTGGAGATTTTTATCTTCTCAAATCTTAATTAATGCTCGGGACTCTGCTGAATAAAATCAATTGACAAATTAATTCTTATTGACAATTTGTGAATAATATTTCATTTCAAAGTAACAACAAAAAGAGTCCATTTTCATTGCATTCAATTATGGTCTTTAGTTTACTTCTTTTCATTGGATTTGCGAATGAGAGATTCAATAGTTTGTTTCAAAATTGGATCTGCATAGCTTTGAGCTTGGGCATCCGCTTCACGAATAATCATCTTTTCCAAACCTTCTAATTGTTGCATTCTCAAATTCTTCAAACACAATTTAGTTGCAATGGGTGGATTTCTTGCAATTCTTGCAGCATATTCGAGAGCTCTTTCTCTTAATTGATCCTCGCCTTCAATCACTTCATAGACCATTCCTAACTCGAGAGCTTTTTGAGCACTAATTAAATCTCCTGTTAAAAGCAAAGCACTTGCGGATTGATGGCCAAGCAAATATGGAAGAAAATAAGTCGATGCCATACCTGGTGATAATCCCAAGTTTACAAAATTGACCCCCAATTTAGCATTCGCTTCAACAAATCGAATATCTGTTGCCAAAGCAATGGCCAATCCAGCACCAATGGCATGACCATTTAAAGCTATTTTGAAAATAAGAGAATCATATTTGATAATAATAATTATTGAAATCACACATTCATGATAATGAAAATTATTGAAATATATTAAAATTATTAAAATATCTTCATCGAATTCTCTTACCTGAAATGGTTGGAATAGGACATAATTTCAACAAGGGTGTCAAGAAGGAATTGTAAAATTGTAACATTCTTGCAGAGTTATTGAATGGTTGATCATTGCAACGTTCCAACAAGAAATCAAAATCACCTCCTGCACTAAAGGCACTCTTTCCTTGTGTGTTTGATTTGGCACCAGTCAACACGAGACATCCCTGGAATGAACAGACACAACATGAAATGATCAAATGTCATAAAATGTTGTGATGACATGTAAAATTGTAATATGTCGAAAAGTGTGAAATTGTAACAAAATATTTCGAAAATTAGAACGGAAATGTGTCCACAACCCCATCCAATCCAAAATAACATCCTGTTGTCAATTGTTTAGATCTGAAAGAAAATACCTACCAAATTCTTGTTATTGCAAATTTGATCACTCTCAAACAATTCTCTAAATTGAATGGCTGTCTTTGGACACAAGGCATTCATCTTGTCAGGCTTATTGATAGTCACTAGACCAATGGTTGTGGAAGCTGTATTGGAAGTGGTTAAATTCGGAGCAATCTGAGAGAGAGGAATTTCTTCGAAAAGAACAAACTTTTCCTCAGCATGGAGTCGTGAGCTTGAGGAGAAGGCTCTTCTCACCACATGGGTATTGAAAAGAAAAAGAGGAAAGGATGATGATTGTTTCATCATCAACGAGTTCGGAGTGGGTCGAAACATTTTTTTTTTTTTTATCACTGTCCATGCGTTTATTTGTTCGAAAATTCAAACGTTATTCATGGCTGTGTGTGCAATTAGTACAGTTAAAGGTGGTTCATGTCATCAAAGTTAGTGTAATTATTGTTGTAAATTTCAATTATTATTCATGGTCGTGGGTATTTCATGTATAGTTTAAACTTGTTCAAATCAATGAAATTGGGATTAAAATCGTATTGTTGTTCAAATTCATTCCAGGTGAGTTTCAATTCTTCCATGAAAAAATGATTTCGTTTCATCCACATTTTAGTAATAGATCGATAAGCTTCCTTAGTAAATACTTTGTCCCATTTCTTACCCAATCCAACTTTAGCACCTGTTAGGCTATGGATATCTTGTTTAGTCTTGATGAGGTACAATAGTCGTTTGGAGAACTTCTTGTTATTCTTTGCATATATTGAGATATTATATAAATTCCTAAACATTTCTTTTCTTATATCACTATAGTATTTACATTCAAAAATAATGTGTTGCATTGTCTCTCTACTACAGCAAGGACATAGCAAGTTCGTCTTGGATATCTTGTTTAAATTTTCCAAAGTCTTCATCACGTTCACTCTAATTTTAAATATTAGATTTAAGGTTCTGAAACCGATTCCTATTGAGGGGTAAATGTTGGTGAACTTTCTGTTCTTGGGAGGAAGGTTCTTTGGCGTATATGTTCTTTTGTGGAGGCGTTGAAATATAAGTTTGTACATTGTTTGTCTAGTGTTTTGAGTGTATAATACATTGTTGATAATAATATACCAATTATTGGATGGAATATTAGTAAGAATATTGTTACAATCAGCACCTTTCTTAGCAGCCCTATCTGCTAATTCATTTATGCGGCTATAGATATCTTGTTTACCTGTATGACTATTAACATGCATAATTTTGATCTGATCCTTCATTTTTAAATAATTACGAATTTCTTCGACATAAGGATCTCTAGATTTTCTGAATTGGAAAAGTTGGTCATAAATACTTTTCGCATCTATGACTATTGTTCTAGGAGTGTTGTTATCTAGCAATCTAACAACTGTGTGGAGCGCTTGAACTTCACTGTTGTAGGAAGTTCCTTGTCCTAAGGTGTGACTTGAGATGGAAACATTCTGATCAGTTACGATACCGTATCCAGCAATATTATTGTTACACGATCCGTCAGTACCAATTAGTGTAGCTTTGTTCAAGAGGTTTGACATGGATGTGTTGTTACCAACATATTTGTAGTATTTGCTTTCGTCTTTGATTTTTCCAAAATCCATGCTATTGAGAATGTTGCGAATTTGGGTGACATGATTGGAATGTTTGATGTCATTATGTAATTTCACTTGTAAATTTTTAGGGTCAGGAACCCACATACTTAATCTGTTCCAATCTTTATAGAGCAGGAATTGTCTTAAACCTTTAGGGAATTTTCCATAAGGGATGAGAGTTTTTTCATGCCATTGGTCACTCGAATGCCACAATCTAATATTGGAAGATTTGTTCATGAAAATTATTCTCTTGAGATATTGAGGAATCCATGGGTCTGGTTTATACCAAGTAGGGATTGGATCATTGAGGATGTCAAAACCATGCTCCTGTTTGATTCGTTCACAAAGGAATCTTGTAGAAGATCCAAGACAAATATCATATTGTTCAAGGAACTTTCTGACTTTACACATTAGGTCCGAGTAACTCATTTCTTGAACAGAAATTAATCCAAGTCCACCTTTGTCTTGATGAGTATAAAACCACTCGAGAGCTAATTTTCTCTTGGTTCTTAATCTTTCACATATAAAGTTGCGAAAGAATTTATCAATTTGTTTCTCTAGATGGTCATTAGCAAGAGGAATTAGGTGGTACAGTGCATACGGAACAATGTCTGTGTTGATAATTTTGACAATGTTCTGTATTGGAAAATTCCAGCCAATAGAGTTAGTTCTTCTTTTAACTTCTTCAATAATTGAAGTAGTGTATTTCTTTTGTTCCTCAGTATTATTGGTAATATTATTACCAAGTATAATAATAGAATCATTACTTTTGATCGTACTTCCAGATAATGTCTTGATACTACATTCCTTATCAGAGAAGAGGTTAGTTTTGGAATGATCTAATTCCATGTGATAGCCATGAAGATAGGTTTCAATGTCATGCAAAGAATTTTCAATTTCAGGTAGTTCGTTGGAAAATGAGTTCAAATCATCAATCCATGCGCCTGTACTAATGTTCCAATAATTTGCAACACTAGCACCATTATATGTTATTTCTAAAAATTGTAAGAGAGGCTCAAGCGCAATTTTGAATGCAAGGGGAGAGAAGGTGTCGCCTTGTTTCAATCCATCTTTCACATTGAAACATTCAGATTTACCATTAGGTATAACAAACTTTGTCGTAGATTCACCTAATATTTCCAGAATTCCATCAGCAGTAATTTCATCAATCCCTAAGAATAGCAGTCCATCACGAAGCATAATTCTCGGTAATGAGTCATAAGCTTTTTTGATGTCAACAGCCAAACCATAAAAAGGTTTCTTGTCCTTTTTGCCCAAGCAATCATATTGTAAATTGAAAGGACTCTGTGAATAGTTTCTCTGCCGTCTTCACCACCAAATTGAGCTAATGATAATCTTCCCTTTAACACTTCCTTCAATCTTTTGGTGATTAATTTAGTAGCTATTTTAAGTCCTGAGTCCATAAGGGCAATAGGTCTATAGTTAGCAGGGTTTGAGTGGTCCTTATTCTTTTTGTGAATTGGGAGAATGCTGACACTTTGCATAGATTCAGGAGTAAATCCAGTTGTAATGATATTTTCAATAATTTGAAAAATTTCCTCCTGTAATTCCTTACACATGTATTTGATAGTTTTTGTCTTAAACCTAGTTCATTGGGTGCTGTGGATTTCAAATTCTGAATTATCCATTCTTTCTCTTCCGTGGTAATTCTACCGAGTATTTTGTCATTGCAATTATCAATTAATGGATGTTTGTACTTGAAAAACTTGGTAATGTCAATTTGATGATTTCTTCCTCTAAAGTTGAGGTTTTGTTGATATTTGTCCTTGATCACATTGGCAACTTCATTGGGGTCACTAATTTCAGTTCCTTCGATAGATAATTTGTATGGTGGTGATGACGTTTTGTAAATTTTCTTTCTCAGATGTTTAGAGTTGGTTGCATAGTTTTGTTCCCACCATTTCATCTTTCTGTTCAAAGCCTTATCATGGCTCCATTTGATATGGTTCTTGATTTTCTCTTTGACACTTGCAAGACATTTTGGAACCTGTTCTAAAGTTTTACCAATAGTGGTCAAAAGTTTGTCACAAGGATATCCGTGCTCATTTCTATCAAGTATTAACATGAGCTTCTTATATTGCTTATTATATTTGTAGATTTTAGGATCAAGTTTAGGTGGATTGACCTCCACAAATTTGTCGCCTAGTTTATCACAAATGAAAAGCCATTTGTCGTTATCAGATTCTAAATTCTTAACTTGAGATACACATTCTTTGCTAATGGCCAGCACTTCTTTCTTATTTTTGGGATCTTGAAAGTTACGCTTCTTCCGAATTAACAAAGGTGTTCGTTGACATGAGAGGTCAAGTAGAATTTTAACCATTTTGTGATCTGATATGAAGTTGGCATTCAGTACTTCTCCAGATGCAATTGGAAAATCTGTGGATATGTAATCTATTATAGACTTGGATTGTTTGTTAATAGTATAATGAAGGTGCCATGATAAATGAGGGAAAGGATAGTAATTAAGATTTCTCTTGTTAATAAGATCTAGTATGTTTTGATCAGTTCTTCTAGATTCGTTTGAGGAGTGATTCTCGGATAAAATCGCATTGTAATCACCTCCAATAATGATTTTGTAGTTAGGATATTTTTCAATTAGGTTGTCAAGAATATATGTGAATTCACATCTGTCAGCTGGTTGATTTGGAAAGTACGCAGAAATTACTAGAGTATTAATTGAATTGATTTTACATTTCACGCCAATAATTCGCGCGTTATTCTTAATGATCGGATCTAAGATGATTTCTTCAATATCTTTGAAAGTGCTTTTGTTGAGGCAAATAGATACACCACAGGAATCTCTTGGATTGTGATAATATGTAAATGAAGAATAATATATAGAGGGAAAATCTGGACCAATGTAGACGCTTTTAACTTCCTGGAGCATGATTATATCAGGAGTGATTGAGTTGAGGTAGCCTCTTAGGGCTGATAATGGTTCTGCTCTGAGACCATTAATGTTGAGGGTTAGAATAGATAATTCTGGAGCTACTGAAGTGAATCAAGTAGTTTTAGCTTTTTGTGACACTCATCAATTTCCTCTTGATATATCTTCCTCTTGGTATTATCTTTTGTACAACCAGACAGAAATGTTAGAGTAGCAATTCTATTGGTAATCATTAATTCTTCATTATTTGCTCTGATAATATTAGCCATTTCCTTAAATTCCATAGCCAATTTCTGATTCTGTCTTGCCTCAAGTTCTGCAATTCTTTTATCCATAGAAGCTTCAATTCTCTTGATTTCTTTTAGATGATCTTGTTGCACTTTTTCAAGAGTAAAGGAAACGTCTTTCGCTGCAATTTTAGAAGATCTGCCTAAATTTTGTGAAATTTTGTGAACTGTATCAGGTTTCTTTTCCAGGAAATCTTCTAGCATTGGATAATTGAGAGCAAAATCCAATGTCCATTCATTCATTCCATATGCAGCATGGTTTACCAATCTGATGGCATTAGATAGATTGTTGAGTCTAATCAAACATATTCTCTTCTCTTGATTGATGATAAGTATGGATACAGGTTGGTCATTATTGTATTTTCTGGCAAGAGAGGATTCCGTTTGTATTCTAGCTCTAATCAAATCATTTCTTTCAGGCCATCTACCAATGATGTCAGAGTATTGTACATCCATTGCATAGTTGAATGGTATGTCGATTTTCATAGTGACTGTTTCCTCTGTTCTAGGAATAGTGATATCATATGTTTTTGCCTTACATAGATTATTTCTGGCTTTCATACTTTTGACAGTGATCACTGCTGCCATTTCTTTACCAATTCTAGCTGTAGCAATTTCAACAATGGGTTCACCAGTATCGCTTTCAATAGCATTCCTCCAATCTGCCTTGACTGTAGTTTTCCATAGTTCTCCTATTGGAATATTATGGACACGTATAATTTTGTTGGTGTCGTTTTCACATGATGAAGTGATATTGACTTCTTTAAATTTTGTACGTAATGTTTCAACTGCCTGTTCTACTTGAGCGCAATCTTCAATAGTGACAATTATGGTATTATTGAGCTTAATAATCGGATTGATGGTGACATATTTGCCACTAAGTTTGTCCTTAATTAATTCAATTACCTCATTCTCTTCAAATATTTTGCTATATCTAACAGCAATATATCTGGGAGGAGTGATTTCCTTCACTGCTATGTCATTGATGTTGAATTCTTCATTGTCTTGTTGGACATTACTACTTTTCTTGTTCTCAGATAATAGTTTGTTAATATTCTTCATTCTTTCCTTCCATAACTCCCAAACATGTTTTCTGTCTTTATGGTTTTTAAAAGCCTTTCTTTCTGTGGTGATTTCGTATTTAATGTCATCAGAGAGTATTCTGAGAGTGGCTTTTACAACATGTTGGAAATTTAAGGTCATAGGGTTGTGTGGGCTAGCAATAACAGATACAATTTCTAAAATCTGATCAGTGTCAAGAAGAGTTCTGTTTGTATCTAGTTTAGCATTATTGTGTTTGAGAAAAGTTTTACCAACAATTTCATCAACTGACATGTCTTGTATGTTGAGGTTATTAGTCAGCTCATTATCCAACAATTCAATGTTGTCTTGGTTACTCATGCTCATACTATTAGTTTTAGCGGCCAATTCTTCATCAGCTATTGGATCAATAGTTGGGTACAATCTAGTGTCAACACTAGTAGAGCAATTGTGAGTAGGGTTGAGATTATTTGTCAAATTGGGCTCATTATCTACAGATGAACTAGCAGAAGCAATGTAGTCGCTTAATGATTGAAGTGAGCTAGAGTGCTTGGGTCCATGATTGGATCCATGGTTGGGTCTTGTTTTACCGATCTTGCTGGGCATCCTAATTGAATTATTCTTCTTTTTTTTTAATTTGTATAACGAATCTGATCTTGTTGGTCTGATTAAATACCATTCAGTCAATAGCGCTTTGATCTTAATAACTGCCATCGTAATAGGGTCTTGATTACAGTTTGATCACAACGGTAACAATCTCAGTACTTATAACCGGTGGTAGTTGTACGGTACCAAATCAGTACAGTACTTCGTAGAGAGGGAGAGATAAGTTTTAAATTTAAGTTTAATGATTCGGAGATGGTTCTTTGGGTGGTGATAAAGGGTGCTCAAGGTGAACACCTAGCGGAGGTGTTGTGTTATTTTTTTTTCCTCGAGTGGGTCGAAACATTTTTTTTGGTTTGGTTTGGTCTTCGAAAAAATGTCTGAAAACCAAACCGCCCTCGGCGATGAAGACACTAATCACCTTCGCCATCACGCCTCTATCAAAGAGGTCGCTATTCGCCCGCATACTGCAAACAAATCTCTTTCTGCTCAAAAATCGGCACATGATAAATGGAGAGAAGAAATGGAAAATGAAATTCTAGAGGCTCCGTCTTCCGTCAATATAGCCAATTTGTCGGAAATACAACCTAGCCCACCCAGCATATACAACTCCCCAATGTTGTCGCAGCCAGAGGTCTCTAATATTACTACAACCTCTGGAGTCTCAGTTTTTAATACCTCAGCCATGACCGATGACCATTCTACTAAATTGAAGCGACATCATAAGCTCTTCAGAGTGGTAGCCTTTACTACCAACTCTGTCGAAGAAGTCCTTGCAACCGTCGCAATGAATGCCGATACGTTGTACGGTAGTAGAGTTGTCAGTGAATTAGATTGTATTATCTTCTTCTTCAAGTCGCGCAAATTGGCAAACCAAGCAATATCTGCTGGTGCTAAGTCCAAGCTCACTATGATACCTCAAACCTGGATGATCAGGAATTTTGGGCTATTGGTACTAATATTGAGTTACCTGCCAATCATTTGAAGAAATTTAAGCTTTCCAAAATGAGAACAGATATCTCTCGCTTCCGTATTGCCTTTAATGGTAAAGAAAAAGATCTTCCTAAACTCAAGGGTGCCATTAGTTCCCAATGGAAAGTCAAGATTGAGAGTATCGAGTTGGCTAAGAAGATGGCTGTTGTTGGTATTAAAAAAGATCAAATTACCAATAACATTACCAAGTTCGTCCAAGTTGGTAATTATAGTTTCAGAAACCTCTCATTCTCTACTAGAGTTGCCAATTCTATCAGTCACAGAATGGAAGCTGTTGAAAAACAAATGTCTGAAATGTCATCAGCTCTCCAAAAATTGACAAAGGAAATGGTTGTCTGGTCTGGTAAAAAGGTCACGGAAGGCTTTAATAAGATCAACAAAGCTGTTGAAGAAATTAATCAAAAAATCAACGCTCTCTTAGGTACTACTACTCGCAACAAGGGTAAAAGTGGGCATAAGAAGGGCCGACATTCCCTTTAATGGACCCTCATTCTAAAAGAAACTCCTTCAATTTAGGTACTGCTAATTTTGGAGGAGTTGGCTGGGTAAAACAATCTCAATTACTTACCTTAGCCCGCAAATATGAACTGGATGTCCTTAATATCCAGGAAACTCATTTAAAATCCAGTACGAAAGACTATTGGAATATATGGTATTTCAGATCCTTCTTTCGTGGCTACTTAGTTTACAATTCCAACGCCACTGAAGGTGATAATGGAGCAGGAATTGCTACTATTATCAGACCGTCACCTTTTATTAAGGTACTCCAATTCGTCGAACATATTCAAGGCAGATTATCAGAAGTCATTTTGGAACATAAATACCTAGGTGTGGCTCGCATTTTCAATTGGTATGGCCCGGCTAACAAAAACAAACTAGAATTCATGAATAAGGCTCTCAATATTATCAACATTTCTGCTCAAACAGCGGTCTTTCATGGTGAACGTATTGTCATATTGGGAGATTTGAATGCCAATACTAAAACATTCAGTAAGGTATCTTATGCCGCCCATGAACGACTATTAATTGACCAATGTGACAAATTGAAACTCTTTGATGTTGTTCCTATTCCAAACACACCTTCGTTTTCTCAACGCAACAAATACTCTCATGGTTTTTCTCGCCCGGACCATATTATTACTTCCCACAATGATTATTCTGGTGTAGAAGATGTTCCTACTGCTTATTCTCACAAACTTTTAACTATCTCCTTCCCCAGTAATCCCATTTTAGACTTCCCAGAACAGTTCAACAAATATATTATCCATCCTAAAATTTTACAATCCAAGATGAAGGAAATTAATAACGATTTTGCTAAGGAAAACCCTGACACTCTTTTAGAAGCCCAAAATACCCTTGCTAAAATTGTGAAGAAATATGGTTCTCTTAGCACAAACAAGCCCTCATTGATCACTGATAATCGTAATGTCAGACAATTTCAGACTTTTATTTTCGATTTGAAACAATATCTCTATAAGCGTAAACATGTTTCTACTATCACCAGCCAATTTTTGAACAATAATTTTAGCCTCAACAATGTCAAGGCTAAATTAGAGGAAGCTAAAACCTCACTCAACAAGCTTATTGGATCTTTATTGGCTGACCGTAAACGGGTCTTTGTGAATAGAATTAACAATCTTAACTCTAAACAACCGTATTCCTATGCCTTCAGAAAAGAACTAGTCAGTTCTTCTATATTCAATGTAGTCCAAAGTAACCATAACTCGACAATTGTAGATCATTTTTCAGCCATGTTTAATACAGAACAAGAAGTGACTAAAACTCTCCCGGAAATCAAGAAAAACAATACTGTAGCCCAATGGAAATTCCATCATATCACTGCCAAAGAGTTGGATAAAGTTATTTCTAAGACAAAAAATTCTATGGCTGGCTATGATAACATTTCGGTGCCATTGTTGAAAATTCTAGACAACAATTCGCTCCAAATACTTGCAAAATGTATCAATCACACAATTGACAGTGAAATGGTTCCTAAAGAATTGGGTATCGGTATTCTACTCCCATTACCCAAAATCAACATGCCTTCAAAATTATCAGACTTTAGACCTATAGTTGTATTATCCGTGATCTATCGTCTATTTTCTTCTATTATCAACAAACAATTCATGAATGTCCTTGAAGAGGCTAATTTAATCCACACTGCGCAACGAGGATTCATGAAAAAAGGTTCAACATTAGAACACCTTATCAGTCTTCGGACTGCCTTTGCATACAAATATCAGCACAAACAAGAAGTATTTGCTATGGCTCTGGATATCAAAAATGCTTATGGATCAGTAATCCATAAAAGATTTATCAGCATTCTCAAGAAACATGGTTTCCATAGCTCTGTCATTAATCTCTTGACATCCATGATCTCCAATAGCGTTATGAAAGTACTAGTCAACGGATTTCTATCCTCCCCTTTCGATGCGAATGTTGGAGTTCCGCAAGGCGATCCTTCAAGCCCGGCATGGTTTAATCTTTATATTAACTCCTCAACTAACATACAAGAAAAGCTTAAAGGAGTTCAAATATTTAATATTACCATCCTTTTATTATTATATGCCGATGATATTTTATTGATAGCTAATACTAAGATCGAAATGAATTCCTCTCTAAAAAGCCTCGGCCGTGAATTAAAGAAAATAGGACTCGCTTTAGCTCCCAAGAAATGCAAACTCTTAGCTATTACAGCCAAAGCCAAACTATCTAAGGCCCTAGTCACTATTGGACAGGATATAATTGCCACATCTTCTTCTATTGAATATCTTGGGGGTATATGTACCTTTAAGAATGATTTTTCTTGGTCCTCTGATAATCCAATCAACAAAATCTCGAATCAACTGGCATCAGCTAAAACTTCTAATCTATATCTCAACAGCATCACCACTACATTAATGTCCAAAATCATATCTTTGCCTAGATATGCCTGTAGTTTCAATGGAATCAATAAGAATTCTCTAGACAAAGCAGATATTATGGTTGCTAATTTTGTCAGAAAGGCTATTGGATTAGATTACACATTATCAAAATCAGTCATTTTTAATTGCAAACAAATTGGGGGCCTTGGTATTACTCGCCCCTCTACTTTATTCTCCATTGAACCTATTTGCACAGCAGTTAGATTATTCAACTCCTCCTCCACCATCACCAAAAATATTGCTTTGGCTGCTTGGAATGATCTTACCTTTAACGAACCATTTTGGAACCACGTGAAAAATATCGCTGCTCAAAATAATTGGTCTCTCCAATACATTGATGAACGGTATTCATTTGTCAATGAATACGAAACCCCTGTCGACCCTAGAACTGAATTACTAAACAACGATAGATCAACCATGAGCATCTCAGGCCTTGGAATCTTAGACCATAATAGAACCTGGCATCCATGTGCCATCTCCTTTTGGAGCAATTATTCACTCAAACCCTTCCAACAACGACTATTATTTGCTCACCTACACAAAGCAGAAATCCTTAGAAATTTCGGAAAAGATTACCCTAATTGCCACATTTGCAATACCAAAGCCAACTGGGAACATGTATTCACCTCATGCACCATGTGTGGTCCGGAAATCAAATCATTATACACAAAATGGGTCAACAGTTCCCTCAAATTCAATGCCCCTCTTATCAGACTTCCCTCAAACCATTCTCTCTCTTGTATTCCAATGGATTGGAATGGTAGTATCAAAGACGAACCTCTTCAACAATTAGACTTATCTCCCCCAGCTTTGACTGATTGGCTAAATGAAATATATCTCTCATTCGCTGCCTATGTTGGCAGTTGTTACAAAAACGCCACTTGGAACAGTTCAACTGTACTCAAGAAGGCTAGAGGATATATAATTAAACCCAAAACTGCAAAATTTGCAACTGCTTGGGAAACATTTAGCAGTCAGCTTGGCGAACTCAACTCCAACAACATCTACACCTCACACCTACACACCCATTAGACACACTATCGTCGGACAATTGAGTACCTATAATTTGTTTATTTTTCAATAAACCCATTCCTGTATTTTTTTGGTTTGGTTTGCAAAACAAGACCTGGTTCTGTTATTCTGGTGTTTCAGAAGTCACTTGTTTTGCCTATTGTCCAGTGCTTTCGCCATTATAAAAACAACATTAAACGTTACAACAAACGTGATCTTTTTGGTGTTACACACTGTTGATGATGCCTTTCTATAAGAAACACGTTATGTAAGAAATACAAATATAAATAATCGAATGCAGCGGTAGATCAGTTGGTTAGATCATAAGCCTAACACGCTTAAGGTCATGGGTTCGATTCCCGTTCGCTGTAAACTTTTTTGTCGAAATAAATTGTCAAACCAAAGGAATGAAAGACATGGATTTGGAATTCTGTTATGTGGAATAAATGGGTTGAAATTGTTGCTAAATTAATTTTTATTCGAGAGACTGGTTTGCAAAACGTCCAGTGTAGATGGCCTTTCCTTCCAGTTTCAAAAACACAAACTGACAAACATGAGTTCCAGGATACAGTGCAAGAGGATTTGGACTGTCACACAAATTGGTGTTGTGGAATGGTGGATCAATAAACAACAACTTACCTAGCATTGAAAATTTCCAGAACTTGTTTGTTATTAATTCCTGGCTGCATGAAGCCAGCAGTGATGTGAATAGCAAGTCCCATACGAGCAAATCTTGATCTACCTTCAAGTAAGCCACAATATCCTGGTGAGAGGGCGATGACTTCCTCTGTAATGCCCAACACAGTCTTTCCTGGCTGTAGGATATAAGCTTCGCCTTTTGGAATTTTTACAGCCTTTGAATATTGCTTGTAATCCACGTCGTCAGTAATTGGGATGACATCTCCAGTTACAGTTAATTCTCTAAATTCATCTGATAGAGTCCTTTAATAATTTGAAAATGCGTGGTTCAATCGAATGCAATAATTGTATTTTTGTGATGAATGTATTAGAGCTCTTTACACCTCAAAATAATAATAATTACTATCAAACATACAAATCGTAAGATGCAGGTCCCAAATGAGACAAGTTGAAAGGAGTAACGGTGATTTGTCTGCAGTTTGGCAATTAATCATCAGAAGGAACAAATTGATGAAAATCATACAATTTAAAATTCATGTGTGAGTTGTTCATCCATTTTATATGCAACACCGAACGTTGTGTTGCATCGGGTTAATCCATGTGGTCAGGCTTGATTTTCAAAAAACCTACTTTTCTTTGATGGCCTTCAAAATTGTATCGCGAGAAAGGACAGACATTTTTTTGGATGGGAAACCAGCCACACATCTTTGCATAAATTTGTAACGCAAAACAGTTCTTCTACCAAGAGGGACAATGATTGCTTGTCTTCTTGCTCGAGAATGCTCGAAGAAAGAAGTTATAAACCTTCAGAGTTATCGTTGCCTGTTTTGAAGAATTTCCAACCAAGCTTGTTTTGGCTAAATGTACAAAATGTTTTAATTTACACAAATTAAAATTATTGGATAAAGTCAAAACTTGATTTCTCACCATCTCCGTCTTCAGCAACACTTTGATATTCTTGTGATGCGTCGTACTCCTCATTCTGTGACATGTCCTGATCGTCTTCTTCCATAAAATCAAACGAAGATTTTTCTTCTTTTTGTGGTTGCTCCTCATGGAACGTGTTTGATGTTTGTTCGTTCTCAGACGAAGCCACATTATCTTCCTTGTTCAAAAAATCAAAAGAACTCTGCTTGGTTTCTTCATTGAGGGCGTGATATGCTGCTTCTTCATCACCAACAGCTTGTTCAATGTTGCTTTGATGAGCGGTCTCGTCCTTATTTAAAAAATCAAAAGAGGATGCGCCTTCATTTTCATGTGACTCCTGAACGCTAGATGTCTCTTCTTCGGGTTGTTGTGCTTGGCTCGTTTCTAAACTAGGTTCTTGAGGTGTGTTTTGTGCTACTTTTTGTTCAAGAGTGCTAATTTCCAGGTTGATAGCTATGATCTTTGTTCTTGTTTCCTCGATTTGTCGATCTAATAACTCGCACATATCAAACTCTTCTTTTTCTGCAGCTACACTTAAATCATCATTTAACTTATTTTCAGTTTCTTGCAACATGCGAAGAGTTTCTCTTGCATTTGCCAACTTTTCCTCATCCGTCAATCCGCTGGCAATGTCTTGAATAGCCATAGCCATTCTCTCCTCTTCTGCAGCTTCGAGAGCAGGATTCAAAGCCAGTTGTTGAATTTGTTCGAACTCACTGTCTGATAATCCAATTATCACCCGTAATTGCTCGACTTGATAATTTAACAATGAGAGTAATTCATCAATCACGTCAAACCTTAATCGAAGTTGATCTGGAGTTTCTACATCCAACAACTTGGACTTGCTACTCTCTAAAAAGTTAATTCTCTTCAAACAGGCTCTTATAACTCGTTTAGAATCAATAGCGTCAAATTGTTCAAGCTTCTTATGAGATGCTTCCAGCTTTTGAATTAGCATGTCCCTTTCTTCTTCTATTTGTTGTTGCTCCTTTTTGAGGTTTGGAATGTTAGTTTCAAGCTCTTGTATTAACTTGGTAAGCTTGTCGCTCTCCTCTTTGCATTGAGCCGCTTCTTTGAATTTACGGTTCTTTGCATATTCCAATTTGTCAGCCTGAAGTTTTGGAAGTCTGTCATTGGCTCTTTGTAACTGTTGAGTTGAGTTGTCTAATTCTAGAGTTATTGAAGCAAGATTAGATTTAAGAGCGGATATTTGTTGAGTAAGTGCTCCTAATTCCTTAATGAGGAGAGATCTATCATCATTTGAAGCTGAAAAGTCTTCCAATGTTTCGATGCCTTCAATAATCTCTATAATTTGGCCAATTCTGACTTGCTGCGTTTGTAAATAGTCTTTATATTGTCGCTTATCCATCATTCTCTGATACTTTTTAGTCTCCTTCGTCTCGATTAAAGCCAAGTCCTTGTTAAGACTCTCTGACAGTTTTTCGAAAGCCTCTACATCCTCTAAATAGTTTTGTTTTCTCTTTTGGAATTGATGCTCATCATTAGATATGAGTTTTAGCTGATCATTAAATTCTTCCTCGTACTTCTTGATTTTGTCTGTTACTTCGTCAAGCTGTGCTAAAATTGATTTTTGTTGAGAACGTTTTTCTCTCAATTTTCGTTCCAACTCTTCAATTTCTTTAGCAATGACATTGTTTTGTTCGGTGAGCACATCCTGTTGAATTCTCATATCTCGTGTTGAGGATTCAATTTGTTCTATGATCCTACTCTTTCTCTTTTGGAATTCCTTCTCTTCCAAATTAATGCTTTCTCCCATTCTTTTGATACGATTTGTCTCTGATTCCAGGCGTTCACGTCGTAAATCTCGAAGAGGGTTATTCTTCTTTACAAAATCATCATAGTCTTTTTTAGATGTCGAAAACGAGAAATCAACACGAGAGTACACTATGGATATTTCCCTCTTCATATCTCCAAGTATTTTACCTATATTTCCGATATACCCATCATTGTTCTTTTCCTTGATCTGAATATCCTCAACTTTGTTTCTCAGAACTGATAGTTCTTGCTCAATTTTATCTGCAGCTTCAAAATCTTCCAGCTCAGTAAGCTTGTCCAATTGTTGTTCCAATGATTGTATTCTTTGTTGTAAAATAGAAAATTGATTTTCCTTTTTTTCTTGCACCTTCTTGCGTTCTTCTTCAAAAATTGAAGATATTTTGCTGCTGAATTTTGTTAGTGAAGAATTAACTGTAGATTTGATATTTAACCAATCTCCATCAACCACATCTTTTTCATCATCCTCTCTAATATTTTCTTGAATCTTTAAAGAAGGTGAACTTGATTGTTGATCTCTGCTGTTCTTGAGAGGTGGCTCTTCGTGCGAAGTTGATGAGCTCTTACTAGCAGAAGGACTGCTGGATCCATTGAGGGAGGGTGAATGAATTTCTGTTGAGTTTGTTCTATCTAAATGCCTGTTGCGAGGCTTCACTTGTACAGTAGTAAAATCTAAGTCGTCTGATACAGTGTTGGTGCTCACTGGGGTGGTAACAGAAGAATTGCCATTTGTGGCACTACTTGATGATTGATTCTTGGGCAAAAACGTAGAAATGGTTGAATCGTCGTCCTCATTGTGGACACTGTTTGTGACGGTTTCGCGAGTAGTGGCAAGAGGTGTGGCAATCACAGAAGGTGTAAACTTTTCAACAACAGGCTTCTTTGCATTTGAGTGATTATTTTCCATCTCTTTTCTAGATTCTTCCAATTCCTTTAGATCGTCATCAACCTTTTTAGATGGATTGTTTTTGGCAATGTTATTTGAAGGTTCTTTTCTTCTTCGAGATGGCTTTTGTTTGTTCGCTGTATTAATTTTGATTTGGGTTGGAAGTTGGCTGAAATCGTCTTCATCTGCAACCGGTGTTGTTGCGGAAGAAGAGAAATTATTTGATTCTTCTGTCGTTTCGTCGTTATTAATGAATGGAAATTTAGATGTTTCATGAGATTGAGAAGAACTTCCGATGCTTGTTGACGACTTCTTTGAGTCGCTAGATGTACTGTATTTACGATAATTTTAGCAACATTGGTTGTATGAAAAACGGTGAGAATGACGTATGAATTGCCAAATAAAACAATGGGATAATAAATTATGTCTAATTACATACGTAGAATAAGTTGACGTATTTCCGTATGAATGGGAGTGAACGCTCATTCCTCCAAATAATGATTCCTCATTTTGCTCATTAGAGTTGTTGCTGCCGTGAATGTTACTATGGCTGCCGTTATTGAAGTGAGCCACGGATGAGACTTGTCCTCCTGAGGTTTCATTGTCTTTCTTTGAAAAGGGAGGTTCATATTCAGCAGTAGGAGGAGTTTGCTTTTTCGGAGTACTCGGTTTGTTGTTGGAACCTTTGAAAAATCCGAACATGTTGGTGAATGAGTGATCCTCCTGAATGTATTGCTATTTTTTTTTAATTTTATTATTCGTCATCAAATCCGTGCTTTTTGGAAATGATGTAACCCAACCAGAGGTCTCTGTTAGGTGCTCTAGCTAGAAGCAGTGATGAGATAGATGTGGTGAAAATACCCTGTTTTAATAATAAAGAGGATGTATTACATATAATTTAGAGGAGATGAAAAATAACAACGAAATGTGGTTGAACAGGATGAGAAATTACTAAGAATTGTTATTGTGAGTCAATTCTACTCAATTTTTGGATTCACTGGTGGACGAAAGTTCACTCCCAATGAATGATGGGCACAAGCTTCGAACGAAACTCTTTGATCATAACAATCTAATGGATATTATTTGTACATTGGTAAAATTCAGTAATAATCATAAATTATCATCATCACAATAATAATAATTCGGAAATACGTTACCCTTGTAATCATATTCACGGGTTCTCAAACAGTCGACGAGTGATGAGAACTTTTGTTGGCATGGTGAATTCAAATACTCTGTTGCAAGCCCAAAAGCGCATTTACGGCAATTAATGCTCTCCTTCAAACAGTCTATCAGTATTAATTAAAAAATAATAAATATGATGATGAAAATGAGGATGTATGATGAAAGAAAAAAATTGATAATACACGATGATGATGGTCATCATTGATGAAATAATAGAAGGCCAATTTACCTTCAGGATTATCACTCTTTGATTTACATTGCAAAAAAGCTTCATTCTCTGGTTTACATTTCGTGAGGAGACCAGGAGCCAAAGCAGCAATAACAGCACTTGAGTCAATAGAGAATTCTTGAGAAGCCATTTTTTTGGTTTGTGTTGCAAATTCTCAAGAATTGATAGAGACAACGATTTCTTACTCAAGGACACTATCACAATTTTCGCCTTTGGAAATCCAAAGAGTTGACAAGATTTCTTGATGATGATTTAATCATTTGAAAGCAGAAGGTTCTCTCGAATAATCCCACCATTCAATTTAAGTGTGTAATCCTTGGTTGTTTTAAAGAAAATTTTCAATTGTGGCTTACAATTCAAACATAAATTGCCATCCAAAAAATCATTTCATGGCACAAAAAAACAATCGCCAGACCACAACCAAAGCTTGTTGTTTTGATTCTCTTATCGAATAGCCTTACAATATGAGCCTCTTTTCAAAATTAGGTTGGAATAAATCAACCAAAAATAACAACACAAAAAAAATGGAAGACGATCTATTGATGTCCTTCTTGTCTGTGACCGGCGAGACCGATCCAGAAAGCGCACAACATTATTTGGAGGCTGCAAACTTTGACTTACAAACTGCTGTGGAATTATTCTTTTCAAATCAGCATCAGCCTTCCTCTATATCGTCTGCCACAACAACCAAGACTACTTCCGATGAAATTAGATCACCCATCCCACAGCAAGCATCAAGGCTTTACGATTCATTCCAACATCATCACGATTATCAAGGATTTGGTAGTAGCAACTACAACTATCCGCCCTATATGCAAAATTTTAATAGCTACAATCAAAGAGGACAAAATCAACAATTCCAAACCGCATCACGACTAACGAATTCTAGTGATGAATTTTCGGAAATGTTCAGAAAACCACAAATTGTATTCAAAGGAACTTTTGACGAGGCTAAACAAACTGCAGAAATGGAGGGCAAGTGGTTGATTGTTGAGATACAAAAAGATGATGTGTTTGATTGTCATCGAATGAATAGAGACACCTGGGGTAACGAACTTGTTCAAGCTGTACTCACCCCATTCTTTATTTTGTGGCAAGCCGATGAAGGAACAAACCAGGCTACATTTTTCAAGGGTAGATATCAAGTCTTTAGCTATCCGTATGTTTGCATCATTGATCCTAGAACTGGAGAGAATGTTAAAACATGGGCTGGAAAATTTATTGACGCACCAACCATGGTTGACAGTCTTCAAAATTTTGTAGATAGTCATTCTTTATTGGATCACCTTCCTTCACCTTCACCAAGCACTCTTCATGCTCCAAATCCTTTCGAAAATGTTCAACTTCCAGTCTCTTCTCAAAACATTCACAACATTCCAATTAACAGTGAAGCTATGGATGACGAGGACGAACAATTAAGAGCAGCTATTCAAGCCTCGATTGAGGAAGCCACAAAGATGAATACCTTAGCGGATGACGATGTTCAAATTATTGAGAAGCCCACACCACAAACAACCACCCCTAACGTTATCACTCAACAACCAACTTCTCAAACAACTGTTGAACCTGCAGATAAGAAGGTAAACCTTTCAGATTATCTTACTGAGCAAGGGGATACCACTAAAATTCAAATTAGATTTCCAGATGGAAAAAGAGAAGTTGTTAAGATTCTTAAGAGTGCTCCGCTCGCCGCAATATATGCACTATGTCGACAAAAGTTGGAAGGAAGCCCCATTTCATCTTTTGTTGTCACGTATTTAGATAAGACTCAAAAGCAAAAGAATGTTGACAATACTTTGGATAAATCACTAAGCGACGAAGGACTATTAGGTGTTGCCCTGTCTGTAGTTCAAGAATAAAGTGATCAATTTCTTCTTCTCCTAGGTTTGAGTGCACTCAATGATCTCCAAAATTTAACACGGCATTCTGGAACAAAAATTTCAAATCAATTTATTTCTTGTACTTTTGAACCAATTCATTGACCAAAGCAACATATTGCTCCATGGCATCCTCCTTGGACATGCCTTCTTTTTCCTTCCAAGCATCCCTATTTTGAGAGTGCAGAGATATTTGGTGTGAAATGTTTAGTGATTGTTTGTTGCATTCATTAGAAAGAAAATATTCCAGAGAGAATATGGACACTTACCACTTGGCTCTCTCCTTCATGTTGAAGATGGAAGGTTGGTCAGTGTTGACATCACCAACGGTAGCTGTTTAGTGTGAATGACATCACCATTGCATCAAATATTATTGGGCGACGATTGACGGATGATTTCGTACATCATCATTTGAACATCATCAACGCAGATTGATCAGTCAGAGGAAAATATTGTTCGTACATCCTACAAACTCACCCTGCTTGTACTGTATAATATAAACAAACAAGGTTTCATTCAGATTGATTGCCATCATATGATCAATTTGACAGTTCAGAAGAGATCATTCAGTTTGTGAATTCTTTCTTGAAAATAACAAACATACCAAAGAGTAGAGCAACAACAATTCTTCGTTGGTTGGTCCGGAAGTAATTGTCTTAATGGTAGCAGCAGCTTGCTCGAATTCAGTTTGAGAAACCATTTCGTGTATGATGAGGTATTTTTTTGTTTGTGAATTTTCCTGAGTGTGCGATGAAGAATGGCGATCAGACTCTCTTCGTTGGAAGCTTCTTACGACGGAACGCTTTGGACGAGTTGAATGAGTACAAATAGAGTGAGCACGAGGTATCAATTGAATTAGTAATCAAGAGATCTGATCATTTCGAAACGTAATGTTTTTCGTCATGAAGCAGAGACGTAATAATATTCGTCGAATCAAGAATCACATTCCTTTGACCAAAAGAAGACGACGTGTTGCACCGACTGTTTGGGTGTTTTTCATTCTCAAGTCTTCTTTGTTGTTGATGGAGTTTCCTTTCACTATTTGCTTCACATTGTAAACTACATTTTTCGGTTAACCAGGATTTTTGAAAAATTTTGAAGAAAAAAATACGCCAAAACATTCACAATGGTTTGTATCATTTTTATTCAACAAACAATTTTAACCGTGTCTGTTTCTTCGTGTCCTTTGTTCAATGCTATTTCTTACTTCCAAATACTATAGCCTCCAAAGAACCCACAAACAACAGAGAAGAAGGCCAAGAAGGTTGTCAAATCCTCCGCCAAGAAGATCCAAAAGGGTGATTTCAAGAACTTGATCACCCCAAGACCAAAGGATATTGGTATTGGTAGAGATTTGCCAGTCAAGATGGACTTGACCAGATTCGTCAAATGGCCAGTCTATGTCCGCCTTCAACGTCAAAAGAGAGTTTTGATGAAGAGACTCAAGATTCCACCAGCAATCAACCAATTCAGAATGGTTGCTGATAAGCCTTTGGCTCACACTGTTGTTCAATTCCTTGCCAAGTACAAGTCAGAAGATCCAACACAAAAGAAGGAAAGATTGAGACAAGCAGCTAAGGATAAGGTTGAAGGAAAGACAGCTACTCCAAAGAAGTCTGAACCAACTCTTGTTTCTGGTATTAACGAAGTTGTCAAGGCTGTTGAAAGAAAGCAAGCTTCCTTGGTTGTTATTGCTCACGATGTTGAACCAATTGAACTCGTTTTGTTCCTTCCAGCTTTGTGCAAGAAACTCGATATTCCATACGTCATTGTCAAGTCAAAGTCCAGATTGGGCCAATTGGTGCACATGAAGAATGCTGCTGCTGTTGCTTTGACTGAAGTCAAGAAGGAAGACAGAGACCAATTCTCCAAGATTGTTGAAGCTGTCAGAGGTGCCTTCGTTGAAAGATTCAGAACAATCAACACCAAGTGGGGCGGTGGTAAATTGAGCAAGAGATCCCTCAATGAACAAAAGAACAGAATTAAGAAGCTCTAAACTTTCAATTAATATAAAAAACCTTTAAATATCATTGTCTTGGAGTCTTTAATTATTGTGATAATAAAAAAAATTTACAATAATTTCAATTAAGGCAAAATGATTTTTTCGTGCCTACAGGATAACACACTTTTTATTTCTTGAATTAAGGGGATCTCTGGGAGAGGATTGAATTTTCGATGATGAAGCTGGTTCTTCTCTCATGCAAATTCTATTCACAAGGGCCTCAAAGATGCAATCGACAGGCCCTGTTTTGGCACTCGTTTCAATGAAAGAACAATTAGAGCCAAAGGCAAGATTGGTATGAACATCTTCCCAAATCATTTTTGGATCAATCACTCGTTCCTCAAGACTCACATCTGCCTTATTTCCAACCAATACCAGTGGAACATCGCTCCTAGCAACTGTTCTTGGCGTTGCAACATTGGTTTCAGAGTTGGATGTCGACAGAAGATGCGAACTCGATGCAGATTTCAGAGAGAGCATCTTCTTTTCTCCAACAATGGATTTGTAAATATCTTTGCAGTATTTGTAACTATTCGCATCATCCATACTAAACACCAACACATAGGCATCACACTTGACAATATAACCACTCAAAAAACTTGATGGAATTTCAATACGTGGAGGTCTTGGCTCCACCAAACTACCAGATTGATGAGAGTTGGGAGAGTCGTGAGAATCCTTAATGCTGTTACTAGTATTTTCAACTGTTGCTGCTTCAACATGATGATTTGAAGGGGTAACACTTGTTGACGTGCTGGTTAATGTTGATAACTGACATGGTGATTGGTTGAGCGAATTCACTGTTCCAGAATGTTGATTCGATTTGTTCTTGTAGTGGCGAATGTGAAGTGCTGATGTGTCTAATAATTCCAGCAATTTCAATTCTTGATATTTCAAAAACATTAAAGGTTTGTGATAAATGTCTTCGAATTGTGTCGAATTGTACTCATTTGAAAAAGTTCCCTTAATAAATCGATGAATGATACTTGTTTTTCCAACTCCTAAATCTCCCAAAATTGTCACTCGATAAATATCATCAGAATAGGATCCATATCGCGAAGTACTGTGATGATTATTCCTTGTAGATGACAGCAATGAATCACTCGAACTTGAATAATGAATATTCAAAGTTGTTCGATTTCGTTTTGGGTCCAAATGGATTTCACAAGTGTTCAGTTGAGCACTATTTGGTGTTTTTGGAGAAATTGGACTCATGGGTGCCACAATATCATTGAAATTTGTTGGAATCATTCCAGAACCGATATTTGTGATTTTTCTTCGATGTCTCACATCCGCGAGAGGTCGGTCATTTCCACTCCTCGGCTGAAAAAATGTAGTATTGGATCGTGTGAGAAGTTTCTTCTTTTCAGTAATGAGATTATTCAACTTGTTGAGAGGAGATGATTCGTCTTGGTAAAGAATACTAGTTACATCATCATGAATCTTTTCGATCGTATCAAGAGTGTCACTAGAACTTGTTTCATCAGGAGGTAAAGTAAATGAGGAAGCAGAATATTGCATTTTGGTTGTCGTGTCACGTGACACAGAACTTTCTAAATGCTTTAAAATATCATCCTTTCCAGAAGTGATTGTTTTTTTCTTTTTCACTAACTGTGTGAGATATTGAGAAACATCTTGTTGTAATAATTTTTGAACATGTTCATCATATTTTCCTTCAAAAACTGCCTTAATGATATCATTGGCATCAAAAGTAAATCGTCGGGAATTTTCACACACAGTAGGAATATCATTCATTGCAGTTGACGTAGAGTTGGATGTCGTCAATGTTGAGTTGGTATTTGTGACGGTTGTTTCAGCTGAACTCTGAGCATTAGGAGTGGATAAATTTTGATTGGAATTTTCACTGAGAGAAGGAAAATTTTGATCTTTCACATCCAACGTTGTTGTCGTCGTTAAAACGACGTCGTGAGAAATTCGAGTTGGTTGCATTAAATCATCGTTAGAAGATGTTTCTTGTTGTTGTGAGATTGTAGAAAGCTTCAATTTCAATTGATTTTTCAAAGTAGAATTTAAATGATTGAAGGGAGAAGAAGATGAAATGAATTTGTTCTCATGGTCATCATCACCTTCATCACTTTCATCCTCGTCGTCACTTAAAGAACTAGTTTCATCACTTTCCACAAGAATTGTAATTTTTTTCACATCGTTTCCTGGTTTTCTTGGTGTGCAGTTGTCCATCAAATCGGAAAGAATGATGTTCTCGAAATTAAAACTTTTCTGGTCCATTGTAAACATGTTAATATTCACACTATTTCTATCAATTTCTGTGTGTTGGTTATTAATTGGAATTTGATCCCAAACCATTTTAATGGAAGAAGAGTGGCTGGTGAATTCATCGTCGTCAAGATCTTCGTGGTGTTCCTCTGTATCGGTGGTATCGCTGTCACAAGTCAAAATTCTGTCATGATTCCTAAAAAAGAATTCACTTTCGGATGAAGACGATGATGCATACCTTCTTTTTTCGGTTTCGACATTACATAAAGGCCTATCAAACATTGTTTCATTATTCATCGTTTTGTGAGTATGATCGTCATCATCTCTCAATAATGAATTTGTATTTTTCATGAATGTCTTGTCTGGACAATTATTCATCATCATCATGGTGGTCGTTATGAGAGAATTATGACTCTCCGATGATCGCAATCCACACCCGCTGGTAGTGATATTCGTCGCAGTTGACATTACTCTGGATCGTGACAATTGACACGCTCGTTGAATTTCAGGAAAATATTGAATGAGAAAGAGGATTTTCTCAATGTTGAGCACTCGGTAATGTTGTTGTTGGCGATGATGGTGATGATGGTAACCGAGTTTCTGTTTTTTTCAACAACAACTGATTTTTATTCAGAGTCATGAGAAATTTGATGAAATTCCTCCTCTCATGTCACTGTATGCCTCGATTTGGAAATGGATCCAATTTGATTTGAAAACTTACCTGCAATTGAGCCACTCACATGACGACCTGTTGCTGTTATTGATTGAATCCTTACACACAACTAGAACAAATGCATGAATGGATAGCGACACATCAACATGCGCATGAATGGATTGTTTATTATGCAAAAGAAGCGTTCTTTCATTTTCACCACCTTTTAATTCAATACAATAGTTCTCGAATTACAGGATTGATCCACAACTTCAGAAAAAGTTTTTTGTAAATCATCCCATGGCACATTGATGGTTCGATCGGCATTGTAATTCATTCCTCTCAATTCACGAGAACCTAATGGATTACTTAATGCATCACCAACACCCATGGCAATGATCTTCCATTGAACGTTGTAACGATTGAATGGATTGTCTGGATCAGATGGAATCACTCCAGCAGAATTTTTCTTCCAACTGTTGTTGTTGTTGAGGTGTTTTCAACATTCGTTTTTTAATATATATGGTTCAATTTTAAACAATCAATTGTCATGACGTCATTCCAATAGATTATGAAGAATACAAGTATGAGTCGTAATGATGTAAAACATTTTGATGAAATATATTACAAATAAATCTGAAATGTCACAAAGCACTTACCTATTGATCTTTTGAGCAACTGGTATAGCATCTGCACAAGGCAAGCAACTACTTGAATAATCATCCCATGAACATTGTGAACAAGAATAAGGATAGAATGCAAAGTTGTTTGGATCTCCGGGAGTGTAAGGAAATTGATAATTGCATTGATTTTGATAAACTTGTTGCTTTTGTGTGTCGCTGAGCTGGTTATTGTCAATAATTAAAGTTCCAACGGTGTAGGGATAAAGACTTGGTTTGGTGCTCCTAAATAAGGAATAAATCAATCGAAATGTTAAAAAAGGTAATCATGAACCAACGTTAAAATCATTGTTTCAATCAATACAACAACTTTCACTACTTACCAGAATGAAGAACAAGCATCACACGAACATGGTATGTTTGCAAGACCATCTGTCAAGATATACATGACTTTCTCAGCGTCTGTTCTTCCATTTCGTGCCAATTCATTAAATGCTTCACGAATACCAGCCAATTGAGCAGTCCATCCAGCCTCATAGGGCATGTTCTCAAAAGTATTCTGAATATCTGTGAGTGAACTTGTGAGGGGAAGAGCCAAAGTTGATGACGTATGAAATCGAACAATTCCAACCTTAATGGCATCTTCACCCAATTGCATGCGAGAGACAATTTGTTGACCCAAAGCACGAATCTTTTGGAAATTGTCCCAACCAATGGATCCTGATGCATCAATCACGAACATGAAATCAATCTTACTCTTACACATGCAATTCTTGAATTCAATATAAACGTCAGCATTTCGTGAAATTCCTGAAGCGGTTCTAGCAGTGTATTGGAATTTATCAGCTTGACATGAATTTGGATCTGAATCAACTTCAACATAAGTGTCACCATTCGCATTGAGCACACGAGGAGTTCGATGACAATAGGTAGAGTCTGGGCACTGAACAGAAACAAAACTCATTCCATTCAATCCATATTCGTCCGTGTCATTTTGTAACATTTTGGTCACTGGAATTCGAATGGTTTGTCCTTGATCAATACTAAAAGCATCGTTTCTAGCAAATGGATTTAGAGAGAGGAGATTGATGGTAATTAAGGCATTGTTTGAACTGAGTGGATTGGTGCCATCGTCATCTGTCACTTTGACAGTAAGTTTACATGAACCTGAAGGAACCTTTCTTGTGAGAGAAATGACATTTCCTGAAATAGTCACACTCGAAGCAATGGTATTCAAACAATTGGAAGCATCGACAAGACTCAATGTCAACACATCTTGAGGATCTGCATCTGATGCATAACCATCTGCCACATAACTCATGGTGTGAACGAAACTACTTTGTGAAATGACAAATGAATAGTTTGCATTTTGAGAAATAGGTGCAGTATTTGTGACTGTCACAGTGAGTGGACATTGAGCAGTTAATCCATAAATATCACTCACAATGAACGCAGCAACCTTGGTTCCACTATTTTTGAGAGCAGCTGTAAAAGTGGTGCTTCCTGTAATGTTTCCAACACTTGACAAGGCACCTGCATTTGAAATGTAAAAGGTCAGATTTTTTCCTTCTGGATCTGCACTCACAGCAGCCATTTTGGATTTGAAATCATAGGAAGATCCCTTCGTTAAGGTTTGTGAAATTCCACCTGAACAAGTAGGTGGTTGATTGGTGTAATTTTCAGGAACGACATGAACCAAGAGAGTACCAATGGCAAAACTGGAAGCATCCCATTGACCAGTTGTTTGATTCAATGTTTGATCAGTAATTTCATAGGAAATGACATCATCACCAATGAATCCAAGAGGTGCAGTGTATTGAACGTGAGTGGCATTGAGTGGAATTAAGCTTCCACCATTGGATGAAGTTTTGGTCCATCCAGTACTCAATCGAATTTTAGAAGTATCACCTGGATTGACATCCACGTCATTGGAAACAACATTGATGATAGTGAATGAATTTTTGATGCAATAAGTTTCATCTGGATTTGCAGTAGGAGGATCATTCACTACTTGAATGGAATAAGTGGCCATTCGAGATTTGCTTTCACCATCTTCCATTACAATTTGAAAACTTTGAGTATAGATTTGATTTGGTAATGGATTGAATTGAATGGAATAATCATTTCTCACCACAGTTCTCCAATCACAACATGGAGCTCTCACAATTGAAGATGTTTTTGAATTAATCAAAGAAGAACCAACTATGGAAGGAGATGGAGTGATGGAACTCATTGTCACTGTGTCCAAAATATCACTCTCTGTATAATTAATTGGAATGAAATTATTCATTGAATTCTTTTTCACAATGGTTGAAAAGTCATTCACTAAAGGAGGAGTGTTAAACACCTTAATGAACACCACAGCACTTGCTGCCTTTTCACCATCACTAATGACATATTCAAAACTGTCTGAATACGAAGTTGAGACAGTACTTGAAGTCAAGTAAGTGATAGTTTTCTTGTCAGGTTGATCCACTGTGGCACTGGCAACACCCACAGAATTGATAGAATCAATGGTAATGTCATCTTCATTGGGATCATAATCATTGAGAAGAACATTTAAAGTCGCTTGAGAATATTTTGGAACATAGTAAGCATCATCTTTGGCCACTGGAGCTCCATTTGTAACGACAATTTTCACAACACTCGATGAGAATTCCACTCCATCACTCACAGTATAGTTATAACTTTCAGTTCCAATAAAGTATTTGGTTGGAGAGTAGGAAATACCATACGAAAGAAGTTTGACACTTCCCAATTTGAGAATGTTACTCGAAGTGTTTTTCATAGTGTCTGAAGGGATCAAAACACCACCAGAAACATCACTCACAGTCAAAACATCAAACGAGTCCAAATCAAACATGGAACCTCCATTGTCATTCACATATGTCAAGAAATTCAAATCCACTGGTTTGGAATTCTTCTCCACTTGGAATTCTAAAGGAATGGCATGAGGTGGTCGATTCAATACATGAACCATCACCAATGCTTCAGCTTGCAAATATCCATTCGAAACCACATATACAAAGGAATCATTTCCACTAAAAGTTCCATTCGATTGATAGAGCACACTACTCGAAGAGACAATTTCCACAGTACCATTCAATGGCAAGGTTTTGATGGAACTAACTGTCAAGTTACCACCACGGGGATCAAAATCATTCAATAAAACGTTAATGATAATTGGTTGATGTTTGAACGTCTCTGCAAAGTCTGGCTTGGGATTTGGAGCTTGATAACCAATGCCAACTGAGACGAGAATGACTGTGGCTACCACAGAGGCAATCACGACAGAACTGACAAAGAACCCAACTGTTGATAAGGACCAATGGTTGGACATATTGTTGATCATGGATTTCATTGGCAGTTGAAATTGTTTGCAGAAGAGTGATGGTGGTAGGGGTGTTGGTGGTGATCGAGATGGTGTGTGAGGATGTTGAATGGATATTCAGATCCCATTCACATATAAGGCAATGTGGTCACAGGATGAGGTTTCACACACACATGAGAAGGCATCACCACGAACACGAGTCATGACAAGAGGTGTTGTGGTCGAGACGATGGAATGGTTCATTGAAATAAGCAATCATCATCATCAAGTGATCGACAAAAGACTTACCAATAGTTTGAACCAACGTGGATGTCTTGAAGAGAGAAGGGTTGATATGAAGACCCTCCAGTTTGGATGTACTGGAAGAAATAATATCGCCAGTCGTGGTCGGCATCCTCAAAGTCGTTTCTAGTACTTTATGTTTACAAAAAGTGGTGGTTGTTGTTTGTTTTTTTTTGAAAGATGTTCTGACAATCGCATTCTTCTTGATAATACTTTAAGCGATTGTGTGGACGTTGCGAAACGTAATCAAATGCAAGAGACCAGACGTGTGGATGAGAGCAAAACAATTAAGTGTATTAGTACGACGTGAGAGGTGAATTTTTTGCTGCTTCAATCAAAAATGGAAATCGCATGTTTGTAATCAGGTTGCTAATCGAATGACAGCAACATTGGCGAAACATTAATTAGACTATTACCTTCCATTTTGGGCCGAACTACATGTGTTCATCTCAACGCATGAATAATACATCTTGGATTGTGTCCAGCTCGTTTGTGGTGGTCCACACACCTTTTTTGAAGTTGAGGGGATTGGTATAATGATTTGATTTCTGTTATTATTGCTTTATCAAATCCAACCACGCATATTTCAACCTTTGTTTTTCACTTTGAATTTCATCATCATCATTTACTGTAAAAACAAAGAATCACCATGCGAAATATAAAATGTGGTATCCTGAGAGTCTGAACTTACCATAAATCCAAGTTTAATTCTCAATAGTTGTTTAATACAACACTTAGGTCATCCATGTCCTCAATCGACCGTGCAAGTGCCACTTGACAACAAAAATTTAAACATTTGTTCATCCAATGTGGTGACATTTTGGATCTTTGGATGTGACATTTCTTAAGTGCCCATTTATCAGGTGTCTCCAAATTGAGTATTTGCGGTGGGGCGTTGTGTGTTCTTTGAGATCGTTGAAATTGATGGGGTCTGAGGAATATTTATGGTAAAAGGATTGCTTGAGTGGTTGGTTATCGTATCGTTTGTGAACCTGACATTCTTGTTGTTGATGGTTTGTCCTTGGCTCAGTAATCCAAGCGAATCTCTGCTCACTCCAGCAAAAAAACTCGTTGCTCATAAGACTACGATACCTCTTTGTCCATATTAAGAAAAAATGTCTTCTTCAAACCATCAAAAGTTTTTATTGCACGATTGGTCAAGTATTGAACATGCCTATTTTGAATTGAACAAGGCATTGAATTTAAAAATTCAACAACTAGAACAATATGAACTACGTTTACAGGAAAGAGAACGAGAGCTGAATCGAAGAGAATTGTTACTTATTGAAAAATATGGTTCCGATTCGGTGGCGGCGACTGTTTCCAGTAATCATCATCAGGATGGCCATACTTCACGTCATGAAAATAATGATTTAGTTTTAACACAGAGTTCTAATCAGAAATTGAATGAACATGACGAAAATAATATTTTCACAGTCACTCAATTTGATATTAATTTTACAAGCAACAAGATGAAAATATTTAATTCAAGTGGTGTGATTAAACACTATGTTGATGACCAATCCTGTGCATGTATGGGAATAGTTGAAGGGAATTATGACAATTATGATGTCATTAGGTTTAAAGTAAAATTAGGAAATAACTGTGAAGGACTATTTCTTGGATTTGCTTCTCAAGATGATTTCTATTTATCTGGAAAGAATTATTTCACTTGTGCATGGATGATACAAATCATTTTGAGAGATCAAAAGATTCATTTAGTGAAATTCAGTCCACAACAAGAATTCGAAGGAGGAGAAGAGATGACAAATGAAAGCAAATTTTTAGAGCCTGTTCAAACCTTGTTTGGAATGGGTATTGAAATGCGCTATCATGTGAAGAAAGGAATGATTGAATTGGGTTTAAATGAAGGGGAGTTATTTAACGTTTTTAATGGTTTGGAGAAGAATATTCAACTGTTTCCAGCATTTGAGACAAGATTGACCAATTGTCAATTCGAATTTGATTCATCGAGATAATTATTATGGATGATGACTTACTGATCTCATCCTCTCTAAAGCGCTACCATTAATTTGCAGTAGTGTTCGATGCAATGTCAAACAGTACTTTCATCCGTGCATTCTCTTGAAATTGTTCCTGATTAGGGCTAAACAATACATAGTTCAGCATGACATGATCACTCATATTACAAGTTAAACAAATCACGTGCATGGTCTTTTGCTTGACAGTTGATTTGCACTGTGTTTGAAGAACTCTGTTATATTTTCCTTCCCCATCGTATTCATGTGTAATATCAACGGCCTTACTTTTGAGAGAATAAATACCATCTTCGCAAGCTTCAGCTTCTCGTTTAAGGTTTTTAAAAAAGTTCGAAATAAACTCTTCTGCTTCGTGCATAAAATTCTTGTTGTTCTCATCCTTGTGCATTCTGTTGTAGGTAATTGAGAGAATATTCTTCGAGACAGATCCAAATAATGACGCAACAAAAACACCATTTTCCTCATCTCGATTAGACCCTACCAAAACAAATTCTGAAGGAACTTGTGGAGCAAAATGTGAGCCGAAAACTGAAATGATCTTGAATGTGTCATGACTAATCTCATTGTCGAACGGTGACTCTTCGTATTGATATTCTTGGTGTGAATGGCTTCTCAAGCTTTTACTAGAATGCAATGAGTGGTCTGTTGTCACATGAGATTGATCTTCAAGAGAAGGAGCACTTATCGAATGACTGATGTGAGGTCTATATTTGTAAGATGCGAATGGAGGTGGGGTAGTAGTAGTGGATCGTTCGTGATGATGTGAATTTCCTCCTTTCACCCACTTATACTTGATATGGACGGTTCCAGATTTTGCACCTTGAAGAGGAAGTTCTTTGGGATATTCAACACCGGGAGTGAGATCATGAATCTCAAGCATTAGGGTGTAACTTCCAATAAAATCCTAATGTTGTGAAAAATTAAAAAAAAAATTTCAAAAGTTCCATTCATGGAAATGCATATGAAATTGCAAATTTAACATTGTCAATATGTTGGATTTCACTATTTCATCAGAAACATACATCGTCGGTAATCAAGTCCCAATCATAAACATCAATTTTTATCTTTAGAATGCTTTTTTTTGTATTAATGCAATAGAATGTAATGATCTCATTCCACTGAGGGTTCAATGTTTTCTTTTTGATTTGAGTTCTCTTTTCAAATTTATCATTTAGGGTTACTTTGCAATAACTTTGTATTTCATTATTCATTGATCATAAATGTCAACAAGGTAATAATTTTAAATATATTAAATAGGATCGGAAGTTGTTGTAGATCGCCAATCATTTTCAACCATAAAACAAGAGTTTCGTGGAATGATTGTTGTTTCATGAATATTTCAAGAAAATTGATGAATCTGATCTTCAATGAAACCTACGGATCTCTATATTTGTAATAAAACCAATATTTTGCCAAGTCAACAAAGAAAAAACGTACGAAAATCCATTGATATCGGCAGCCATCAAGTTCTCACCCTTTTCAATCTTCACCACAAATGAATCATTCTCTTGAAATTCATTCATTTTTTTAATGCAAATTATTACATTCGAATTGTTCCATCAGACAATGATCATGACTCTCTAGGGATCCACAACGATAATTTTAATGATTGAAAACTGACTCCATTTTCCGAGGAGCAGCTGCACAATAGTTGAACCAAGCTTTATTGCTCTATGTCACATCCGAATAGGGATTGCTCTGGAATATTCAGGCCTCCATACTCGAGCAGTAGTGGCTCCAGTATATTCTGTACAGTATTATCCGATGTTTGAATGTAGCTATGGTTTATTTGCGAATGAGAATCAACTGATACAGTATGGAGCAAGTAGTACTTGAGACAATACTCAATAAAGTCAACTACTACTCGAGTGTTTCCCGAATGATTATTCAAGTAGTGTTTCTTTGATTTCCAATACTTCTTGGAGATATTTTGATTTATACACAGACGCTTCATGTATGACAATCTCGACCAAATACAATGCGACATGCACTCCTAATCCCTCTTGTTCCAAGATGAATCTCTTCATTTCTTATCAAGCAATACCTGTGGTGTTTCCAAGCAACAATACCAAGAGCTGTTTCCTTTCATGAGTTTGGTTCACCCACCACATGTAAAAAAAGTCAAAAAGGACCAAGAGTAAATGCATAAATAGTCGCTCTACATGAATAGCCATCCACCAAAGGTTCTTTTGGAGCAATAAGGATGAACTGATTCATCTCATGGTTGAGAAACGAACACTTTCTCTCCATTGTATTTTCAAAAAAATTCACCTCGACAGCGAATCATGTCGTTCCATCATGCCTCTGAAAAATCAGTACCCTTTCTACACACTCAGGAATCTTTTGTTCAAGAGAATAATGAATTAAGCGAGAGTTTCATCTCGCTCGGAAGGAATGATTCTTTTCGTCATTCCCTTCATCCTATTCCATCATCACCCTCAAACGCTCATCGTTTGAATACCGCTCCATACACGACTACTGATGAAGACTATCAATTACCAGCCATCCGTAATGCCGAAAAGATCAAGAAATATTTATCAAAGCTTTATAAGGCTACTCTCGGGAATAGGCGATTGAGGATATTTCTTTACCGATTATTGAAAATCATAACAATCACTTACATCCAAGCCAATAATGTTTTGGGATCCGCAGACACTTCTGCAGTACGACTAGTCCTTAAAATCATTTCCTATATTTTCATGGCACTTTTGTGTTTCATCACGTTAGCACGATATGTTCGCGAATTGACGGCAGTTGCAAAGAAAAAACCTCTCTCCATTTGGTTGAATTGGATGGAAGCGTTGCTTTTTTGTCTGTATTTAGTATATTCCATACTCACAGCTGTATTTCATATCATGTTTGCTGTCTCGTGGTATGAAGTTGAAAAGGTTAAAACGAACCATGAAATATCACTCAATCAACAGTTATCAGTGTTTGTCATGTTTGTGCTGCTCTATGTTTACAACGCTTTGGAAATAGGCTCTCATTACATTCATTCTGGTCACAGTGTTTCTATTTTCCTAACTCAAGCAAAACCAATTCCGAGAAGAGAGACCAAGATCATCCTTAATGAAACAAATTCAAATGGCATAGGCACCGCCAATCATCCTTTTTTGCAATCAATTGACTTGAAAGACGCACGTCGTTTCACGGAAGAAAAATACCTGTTCAACAATAGAGCAGACAGGTCCAGAAGCAGGTATTTCGCTGAAGAAGATAATGAAGAAGAGGAGGAAGACAATTATATTCCAACCGCAATAAGAAACCAGCAACTGTGGAGACATCAACTGAACCTTGGAACCATTTCAACTCTCGCTAGTACACTTTAAGAAGATGTTGATAGCGTTCCAACGCAAAAAACATAATTTTCACGCTCACTAGTGAGTTGCAATATTGCATGCTATGAGCTAAAAACATTGTCTTCCCATTAATATGGAGTTGGTGAAAAAGGACCCATCACCCTTGGAAATTCTCTCTTTAAATTCTTCCATATCATTCACGAGGTACGCATTGCGATGACACTCTTTACAAAACGACATTCTTACTTTGGAGGAAGACATCTTACTTTCCAACTCTTCGAACTTCAATGGACATAAATATACTCACAACCTTCAAATCATTTTCTGATCATAACGAGAGGATGCAAAGACAGGCATTTCCAAGCTAAAACTTGAGCTTGTGGTGTTTGGTCGCAAGGGTAGTTTTGAGATTTCATAAATCTTCAAATGCGATATTCTTCTTCTAATGAGTTATTCATATTGATAGTTATTTACAATAATATATTATTATTAACAATTTTTGAAAGCTATTAACATTTCACAAACACGAAAATTAGCTCACCTCAAGACATGCAATTATTATCCAAGCGAATCTCTGCTCACTCTTGCGAAAAAACTCGTTGCGCCAGTTTACAAAACATCATTTTCCTTGCACCTTCGCTTGATCAACCCAATTCCTCGAAGGAATGTAATCTCTAGTGATATACAGATTTTTCCCATCGACAAAAGTTAGAGGATGTCAACAACGACCCAGCTTGCAGATAAATATCAAGCTGACTTTTGTTCTAAATGGTCGAGCCTTCTTATATCGCTCCAGCAAACAATTCGTGTGCCGGAAAATTTTTTCGAAAGTAAATAGCGAAGATCTTGTGATGAACTTTCTCAAGCACTGCATTGAACACTGAATTGATTGTACAACACATTATCATCATGATGTGCAACAAGCTTGAACAGTATTCATCAAATAGTAATATTTAGATTCATTTCTTTGATGTTCAGTATAAGTTGCTCTAGTCCCGATGAATTTTGTTGCAATCATCCATTCAGATTGTAATTCACTCCATAAATCATAATAGTGTGGATGTAAAGCCTAAATTTTCACATTCTTTGTTACTGGAGGGTATGTAAAAATGTAAGTCGGATGAATTCATCCTCGGTAGTTATTTAGAGACACATTGAAGCTTTGAGAAGGAATTATTGGTAAAGAAAATTCATTATGCAGAAGAAACCAATCCTCAAGAGAATTCCTCTTCCAATAGTTTGTTACTAGGAAAAAGCATTGAGATTGGTGCCTCTGTGACTCTGACTATCATGTTGAACTTTTTCAAAGACCATGGAGAGTCTGCCATCCTCAATCAATATAACGGATTGAACAAATTAAGAGGACAATATTACTATTGTCAATGCTGGAATGAGTATGGTTGTAGAAAAAGAGACTGGAAAAATTCATACTTGCCAACTTGCATTTGGGGGAATGTTAAAACCGTTCCTGCTTCTAAAACCGTTCAATAGAATGACAGGAAACACTCTCTCTAATGAAACATGCCAACGAGCCATTAAATTACTTCAACAACATGTACCTCTCCCTCAAAACGTTCCTGGAGGAATGTCTGAATATAGGCGACCCTGATCTTAAGCTCTTCTACAAGTTTAACGTTCAATTATTGAAAGATTGTTCTTTGAGACAACTCATTAAGGAGGGAAAAAGTGTACTCTTGTCTAGCTTCCATAAGCTTATCCATTGGACATGTGAAAGGATCAAATTGAGTTGAAGCTGTCATACATGACGAGGAAGAATTATTCCTCACGTGAGTCAGCTCATGGGATTTATTCTTGCAGAGACTGATCTTAAAGCATATGGTTTGGTCTTTTCCTCGACACAAAGTCCTTCTCATACTCCGCTCAAACCATGGTTGCTTCTATTTTGGGAGTTCCAGATAATAAGGTGATTGATTACCAAGCTGAAATGTCTAGGAGGTGGATTTGGAGGTATGTATTTATTATTTCTGGTGGCATTTACTTTGTACAAATATTTTAACCATTTTCAAACAATCAAGCTTGTCGCACCTAGAGAACTGCATTTGACGCCAAATTTTAATAACTCTTATTCACTGCCAAAAATACTTTGTAATTTGAAGTTTCGAATTGCCTTTTCTTCGAAATTTGTTAAGCTTGAAATAATTAGCAGATATGATATTTTGATCGAATAGAGTACTGAACTTGGCACATTTTTGATTACTAATAGTTTAAGCATTTCAGAGGCCAAATCTTGATTGGTAGTGTAAGCATCTATATAATACAACAGTTCCTTAGATTGTACAAATCTTCGATATACCCTATTGATGGAAATTCCAGTAACTTCATCATAATGCAATACAACGACAGTCCAGGACTAGGGGTAGCTCGTTTTGACACACAGTGCCGGGCCACCCTGCTGCAGTTCGTTGTTCGTTGCGAACGAGTTGTGTTTCAAAAATCTATTCTCCCAGAATCAAGTGGATGTCTTTGTATTGATAACAAAAATCATCATCAGTCTTTAAAAATTCACAACAACACCATCAGCGATGATTCATTCATCAGTTATCATCATTTAAAATTCGGAATTTGGAATATTTCATCTCTACATGATCATCAACCAATAGTATTCATCATCGAGTGTATATGATGAAATATCATCAAGATTTAAATGTATTGGTAAAATTTTGAATGACTCCTTTTTGATATAATGATTATGGAGTGAATTTGACCATTCTATTGTTGTTGTTATTGTTCAAAACTACTCTCAACCTGATTTAATTCAACAATATTTGTTGAGTTTTTCAACTTGAAAATTTCTTTCTTTACATCACGATATTTACCCGATCAAGAGAATCATCAAATGATAGGAGGTGATTGTATAGACTATATTAACAATAGTAATTTATTGATGGTTTTATTGAATGATATGATCATTTCATTGAATGGGAGTCATTCGGAGAGAAAAACTTTGATGAAAATTCCGAGTATGAAGGAAACATAATTTGAACTTGAAATCGTCACTACAAGTGTACAATAACATGTCCAACATGTGTACAAAGTTTGGTGAATTTCTGTCAAAAAAAGTTCATCATCATGGTCAAATTGCGTTAGCTTGCGATAGAAATGAGGGTCAAGACATGTCGGAAAATCCACGATTGTGACATTTTGTGTGGTTTTCTGTCTAATATTATTGAATGTGACGAGCGTTGTTACATTGAATAATGGAAGGGTTGAATTATTTGGGTATGAATTGAATTTAACAAAAATGACATTTTGCTCTTGTTGTGGCAAACAACACAAATCTATTGCAGACAAGGCTCCCGAACAATTTCGTTTTTGCCAAGCTGAAAAGCAGAGATCGGAGGCAAAGAGAAAAAATCATCAAAAGGACTCAATTGCAACAAAGCCTTTGGTTTGGTTTGTAGTCATTGTGAGGGCGAATTTTTGAAACATAGGCCATTTCGAAGGGCAGTTAAAAATATTAAGGAAATGACAAGCCAAAACCAAAAACTCACTTCAGAAAGACTTGTTACTGGTATTCAAGAGATATTGAAAAGTAATGGTCAAACTCTAGATGACATTATTGACTATATATTTGACAAAGATCCAGATTCTCTTTACAAGAGAATTGATTATCATGTATCAAAAGGCCACACCAATTATACAAGACTAGCTCATCATTTTCAAACACTAGTATCACCTGAGTTGCAAGACAATTTATCACCTGAAGGTGCTGTATATTTTACAGATACCAGATTGATGTCAGATCATCTTTTCTGTGAACACTATCAATACCATGCGTTGAATTTTATTGTCTGCACTAAAGAAAAACTGGAACAACAACGCAATGAGATGAATGAACTAGTTCAACAAATATTTCATATGTCTCATGATAGTAATTCTCTTCATGTAGACGTTTCGTGTTTATTACACGAGGTAGTTGATCTCATAGTGAAGATTGAAGGGAAAATTCCTGAAAAATTAGAAATCAAAAGTTTTTGGGACGGACGTTCCAAAAACGAAGTCATTCATGCCTTTGTAATTCTCAACAGTATTCTTTCTACTCAGTGCAGATATAATGCATTTATTACAGATATGTATAAAAGACAAGAAATACATAAGAATGTTTCGAAATATTTTGACATAACTTTCTCAACATTGAATGATTTAGTTGAAAATGGATTTATTTACAACTTTGAAGAAAACGGCGTAAAGAAAATGGAGTCAAATCATCCCAACTCTGAAAAAAGTTAAATGAGATTCTTCGTTTGCATTATCCCAATGAAAAGTTTGGATATTATGTTCATATTATTTTGAACCATCTGCCTTATTTATTGAGGAAATATGGCAGTCTAACTCGTTTTATGAATCAAGGTTGTGAAAGCGTTCATAGCTTAGGTCGATTGATTAATGAAAGAAAATCGAATCACAAAGCAAAATGCTCGCTTCCCGGGTTTTCTGAATGTGTATTATTGCCTTTGAGAGTGTTGTATATGTCAACTAGACGAGGAAGGGATTGGATTGGCACTACACAAGAAGACAAATCATTATCAAAACATTGGCAGGAAATGCTTGAAGGATGGAAACACGATGTCTCTGAAATAGATCTGAATGATGAAGCTTTCGAAAAACTCGAGAAGAGTGCAGAAGGAGCTTCGTTGTCAAGCACTGTCATCAAAAAAACACATATGGGAGAAAGCTGAAAGGAAAACAAGCACCGTTAGGAAGAAAATTCAACGTCGAAGAAGGGTTATTGACAACGGAGCGAGTAAAAGGACGTCAACAACTACAAATACTTCAATTAAGGCAATTCGCTTGGTGTAAATTCAGGCGATTCCTCTTCAGTTCTGTCTTCTGTATCATCTGTCTCAAGACAAAATGATAATAAATCGTTTGGATCAATATCGGCAACATCGAACGATTCGTTAATAGTCTCTGAATCTTTATCTGTGACTGTAAAAATAACATCATTGTCAACAAAATCGTCACTATCATGAGAGTACAATTTTTAATTCAACTGATTTTGCTCAACATCGTTCAGGGTCCAAAAATCAGATTTATGTTCATCATTTGAAGATGATTGTTCGGGTGTAAAGATATGGCTTAGCGTATTTTGATGAAACGTCATCATGAAATTCTCGTCCACATTGGAATAGGTCGAAAAATCTACAGAAGGAGAACTGCTTTCGATGAAACAAGTACCCTCGTCCAGAATCATGATCTATTTTTTTTGTGATTTTTTAGTTGTAGTGGAAAATGAGCACCAAATTAGTGGTTGATATTGGGGGAAAGCTGATGGCCTTGAAATAGAACCGCCCCTGAATCTTTGTGTTTTATTCAAGATTCTCTCCAGCGAAAAATTTTTGCTATGCTGAAGGGTTAATTGTCCTGCCTCTTCATTGTTGAAAAAAATTCGTCGTTGTGTCCTTTGTTTTTAGCCCACAGCCCTACGAATATTCGTCATCACCATCTACTAATTTGAACTTATTTCAAAGGGAATTGGTTCATCTAAAATTGTTGTTGTTGGTTATTCATTGTTCAATCGGTGCTACACTGCCGTAGTGTGTGTTTAATATTGTACAGCAAAAATATACTTGAGTGGTAGCATCGGATACTGGTACCGATCCAAAATTGTAGAAAATTATCATCATCGCCTTTCTTCTTTTCCTCTTCATTCACCATCATCATAATCATAGAAATGATCATAACTCCAACGATATTGCAAGAGATTGGATATCTTCTCTTTTCATATCTGAGTAGTGTTTCCATAATATTCATCAACAAACATATATATAATGACAAAAAGGTTGCCGGAACATTACTCATGTCCTTACATTTCTTTTCCAATTTTGTCATTGCAGCAAGTTTATACTTTGCCCAACAATTTTTCAAAAACGTGGGCTTTTTTCTCTCTGTTTAAATCCAAAATTTTGAGCGTTAGGACAGGAATAATGATAAGCCTTAACGTTGCTTTGGCAATATTTGTCGGAAATTTAAGCTTGATACATAATTCAATTACTGTTTATCAATTGGCTAAATTAATGGTCATTCCTTGCATCCTCGCCATTAATTTTGTGTGGCTAAAAACATATGTTGATTCAAAAACGTTCATATCGCTAATGGCAATTGTGGGCGGAATGTGTTTCGTCATTTATGGAGACTTTTATTTGAATCTTACAGGATCTATCATTGCACTGTTGGCCATAGTGTTTGGAGCTACATCACAAATTGTAAGTGTTTAAAAGTGAACAGTCCAACCAAAAACTGAAACACTTTCTAAAACAAACGAATAGGCAATCAATTATTACTGCAAAGAATATGATATCAATGGATTTGAGTTATTATTTAATCACTCTCTTTATTCCTCAGTACTTTTAGCTGTTTTAGCCTTTCCTGTTGATGGTGTTGAATCTATTTCACATAGTATGAATAGATTTGTGAGTGATCCATCCTTCTTTGTAAGTAATGAGTGAAGATTCTCTTAATTTTTTGCTCAATGTTATGATATGAACAGAATATTATCATCATTTCGTGCTTTGCTGCCTTTATTGTTAATGTTGCTGGTTACTTGGTAATTGGAAAATTATCTCCTCTTACGTAAGTGTGTACTTTAAAGCTGTTTAACAAAATTGACTGGTGTTCGCTGAAAATTAGATTCCAAGTGCTTGGTCATGCCAAGACCATTTCAATATTAATAGGAGGATTTTTGTTCTTTGGTAACGAAAATGAATTGAATCCTATCAAGCTATTTGGTATCTTAATCGCGTTGGGTGGAACTATTGCATACTCGTACATTAAGTATCAACAAGAAATCAAGAAGGATCAATCTGCAGCAACCAGTAGTGTCAGTACAAATGGAAATATTGCAAAGCATGAACCTCTTCCACAATCAGAACAGGAAGCAGACGATCTTGAGGCCAATCTCGAAAAACAATCCTCAATAGAAATCGACAATCACCAAACAAATGAAGTTGTGACTTCATCGACTGAGGAGGAATTGCCTGTACAAGACGTCAAGAAATAATCATGCTATACTAGACCCTTTCCAACATTTACACACGAAAATTATTATTTCAATATTGAAACTAAATTTTTACAGAAATTTAAAATGTTTTCGATGTGAAGGATATTCTTTTGGAAAGTTCTTGTCAAGGTAGATCTTCCATTCAATCTCATCCTTGCAATTCATACCTGCTTTTGAGGCACTACTGCATACAGCAGTTTTGAGTGCGTTTGCATAGTGTTCTTGCATTCTCTGATTCAAATAATCGCGTTGCGACTGATCCAATTGGTTTGGATACCAATTTAATGGCATTCCATTTTCTGGATTGTGATGCTTGATCGACTCGTAATATTTCATCATGTTGTTATATCCTCTATTGATAATTCTTTCTGAGAGAGCCTGATTGATAATTTGTTCAAAACAACTTTCTCTCCTGGGTGCCAAGACAAAACGAGAAAACACAAATCCAATGATTGACCCTTTAACAATATATGGCAACAAGAGTCTTCGATTGGTAGTATTACCAAAGTTGTAGATAAACGAAAATCCATTGCCAAGTACTGCTCCACAGGCAGTACCCATGATTGTAATATATCTTTTGAATTGCATACAATCTTCATAATTGTACGTCATTGGAGCATGCACGCAATAATCAGCATTCTGCATTGCATCTAAATATTCCTGCTTATTAAATTTATAAACTCTTGAATAAAAGTCATGTGTCATTCGATCAGGTAGTTGTGGATTTTCTTCAATATATTTATGTGGATTACTGATAGCACCATACGTTGAAAAGAACAGCGTTAATCCTTTGAACCAATAGTTAAACCATTCAAAAAGAGAAAATTCAGAACTTTTTGAAACAGCTAATCTCCGTTGTAAAAAATAAGGAGAAAAATCAGTACTGTCATCATTTTCACGTTTGTGTAGCCGTTGTGTTGGTGGAGTAGTGGAACCATCTGTAGTTTCAAAATTTTGAAAATGACGAATTTCATTATGATTCGATGATAATCTGTTGGATTGTTCATTCACTTGACTCTCGACGTCGAGAAACGAATTTCTTTGAGAATTAAGGTCAATGGAATGATGTATATTTTCGGAATTATTGTTCCATCCCATCTTGTTCACCATTAACATTTTGGATAATAAAGGCTCTAGAGACTCTTCCGATAATCCATCAAATAATGGATGATAACTCTCCGAAGCGAATATTAAATTTCGGAACTGGCGATCATGGTTATTTTCTGCATTCAGAGGATGAGTGTCCAGAACAGATTGTTTCTGGACGTTCACCATTTTTTAATTTCGGATTAAAATTAAAAAAAAGTTTTTTTTTATTTATTGGATTGGTCAATGACTGAGATACAGTGTATGAACCTTTTCATGGATCTTTTCATCTCTTATTTCGAGAACAATAATTGACATCATTGCATTATGGAACGAATCATTGAAACAACAACAACCTTGCCATTGTCAAATGTCATCATTCCACAACACATTAAAAAAAATGCGTATTTTTGCTGCCAAAAAGGTTCGTTTAACTCTCTGTACTCACCACATCTCCTCACACATAATAACGATCCTCACCACAACAAACACTCATTTGAAATCATCATCATGTCCAACAATTTTTTTTACTTTTCACATGATTCACAATTTTCTCAGAAAACCGACACTCCCACTGGCTCACCCGTAGCCTCCTCTCCTATCTCTTCCGGATCCTTTACAAGAAATTCACCTGGATCCTCCTATGCGTATCCTCCAACCATGTCTCCTGTGAGTTCTAAATCAGAACCATCAAGCCCATCGAGTCCCGGAGGTTATTTTAATGGTTCTCTTCAACCATTTGATATTTATAGTGAATATAATGATAAGGTGTGGAAGGAAGGATTTTTGATAAAGGAAGGAAGACTTGTGAAGAGTTGGAAGAAGGTGAGTTTTTTTGAAACTTGGAAAAATTGTGAATGAAATTGGATATCCTTTTTGTGTGAAAATTTGAAATGTCAAATGACATGGATGATATAAATGACGGTGAATGTGTTGATGATGATCTTATTTAATGATCATGATTGTTGGACATGGCTTTTGCATACATTGATTGAACTGTGACACAATCCATTCTCTTAGCGTTATTTCCAAATCAAAGGTTCCGTATTGACCTACTTCAAAAGTGCCAAAAAGAATGAGAGTGACGTTAAGGGACGAATGGATTTGAAAGGAGCTCAAGTGTACTATCTTGGAGATGTCTCTTCCTATGATAGCTTTTTCCAAACGATGAGATTTAACACTGTATTAGAAAATGAGGAAATTGATAGTGACGATGAAGAGGAAGCACCCAATGCCAACAACTCGAGCTTTAATTCTTCAAATGCCAATAACACAACAGGAAACAATGCAGTTGCTATTCAAAGAAAATTAGAAAGTAATGCATACAAGTACAAGTTTTGTGTAATTGCTGCAGATCGTGAATTGTTTATGGCTGCAGCAAGTATTCAAGATGCCAAAGATTGGGTGAAGAGAATTAGAGCTTGTATCTTTGTTGAAGATTACTTTGTGGATTGTAAAAGTTGTGGTGTGGAAAGACCTCTCCTGTCAGTGGTCATGTTATTGACATCTGTTGCTTCTATGGACGCCACTGAAGAAGAGAAAAAGAGTGCCCAACTTATGGGAGCAGTGGATGATTCGAGGCACTCAGATATTGAAACACTTGTGTTACAACATGAAGATCCATTCACAATTTCTGATCTAAAGGCCTTAACCACAACTTGTATTCAAAGTACTAGGGTTAATTTAAAGAGTTTATCCATCACACATTGTGGAATTGGTGACGAACATTTGAGATTATTAGCTCACGGAATGGCTGATAACCAAACCATTACAACATTGGATTTGTCTCATAACTTCATTTCGGATTTTGGTATTTGCGATTTAATTGATGGTCTCTTTTTAAACGTCACACTCAAAAGACTTTCATTTTCACACAATTCCATTGGAGATGTTGGATGTGTGTATTTGAGTGATTTACTTTTAGGAAATGTCAGTATCAAGAAGCTCGATATTTCATATAACAGAATTGGTGCCAATGGTGCGAAAAGTCTGAGTAAGGCGCTCATCAGCAATACCTTATTAAGAGTGCTTGATTTGGGTCACAACAATATTGGAAATGAAGGTTGCTCCTCATTGGCTGAAGGTCTCAAACAAAACAAAACTCTCGAAACTTTGGACCTTTCTTTTAATTCGATTGGAAGCGATGGATTAACACGACTATGCAATGAAGGAATTATTTACAACAGAGGATTGAAAGATTTGAGTCTACATGGAAATGCGTTCGATAATGCAGGAGCAAAGAGTTTAGTGAAAGCACTCATTGATCACAAGACCTTGAAACGAGTGGATTGTGGAGAAAATTCACAAATTGGAACAGAAGGAATTATTACATTGGCTCAAACTCTGACCACAAAATATATGGTCGGTAAATTAGTGATGAGAAGCAAGAACGTAAATAAGTAAGAGACAATTATGTCCATCTCTTCACATGTGGAGAAAGGTGGACAACGCGCATTGCTGTCAATTGTACTTGCATCATTATTGTACTTTCCAACATTCTCAATAGAAAATATTTTTCAAATGCTCAGCCATGTCTGTGAAGCCACATTGTCCATCGATTTCCTCTGAGTTCAACAATTCAGAAATGAATGTTTTTAAAAAAGGAAATTCTTCTAGAAAGTTTTGAACCTTTTTAGAAAAGAATCATTTTCTACATTTCTCCATTTCCATCCATGTTCGTTTCATGTTACATTCAAAGCCCCCTCTCTCCTGTTGATGAATGGACATTTGTCACCAAGAATCACATGTTCATCTCTAAAATGAGGTCCATCAAAATTCATAGTTTCTTTCATTTAATCTCAAAAAAACCTTTCAAATATAATCTCAGAGTTAAAGTTCATCACTACCATCGTCACCTCCTCTTCCTGACTTCGTTAAGTCCAACCAGAAATTACCTCTATTCTGCTTTCAATTCCCTTCGAACTTGACACCAAAAGTCGTCACCCTGGACTTGTTCCTCTTCTCATTGAGAGCGCGCCATCAACAGAATCCAAATCAAGAAACCTCTGATAACGGCTAATCGATCTCAAAAAGAGCGTCGAAAAAAAAATAACCAAAATTTTCACTCTAGGCTTACACACGTTGAGTTTTTGCTTCACACTTACACCCACTTACACACCCTGCAGGAAACGATCATCATCCTTTCGGAACAGACAACAATCCGGAGCATTTAAAGCAGTAGTTTGATCGGGATCTTCCTTCGCACATATTTGGGCATTGTCGGTTTGAAATCGCACGCAATAATTGTTATTATTAACTTGGAGCAAAAACAATCAATTAATTTTCAGAAGAAAATGAAATCAGTCGTTCATGCTGCTGTTGGTGCAGCTGTGCAGCTTCATCATCATGAATCGGAAAGAACAATACGAGTGCTGTTTTTGGGTAATAGTGAAACAGGAAAGACTAGTGTTATTGAAAGGCTAATCTATGATCAATTTGAGGAAAATTATACGCCAACTATTGGCAGTGATTTCTTGACCTCTCAGAGTGTTGCATACAGAGACGAAAATTACAAATTGCAACGTAAGTATTTCGAACGACCTTCTTCTTGTTTAGTGTTGACATCGATCATATGTCACACTATAGTATGGGATAGTGCTGGTCTTGAAAAATACCAAGGGTTATCTGTATCCTTTTATAGAGATATTGACATTGTGTGTTTAGTGTTTTCTGTTACAGACTTGAAAAGTGCAAATTCTTTAAACAAGTATGTGTCAACATTCTTTGGTTTTATACATTAACAAGTATTCTAACCTCTTATTCGATCTCTGTGTTGCTCAATATTTGTAATATCAAACATCTAGATGGAGAGAAGAATTTTTAATACAGGCAGGAATGTCAGTCACCTCTTCATTTCCGTAAGTATCAGAGACCATAGGCCATCGTTCATGTGTTGACAATATTTTCATTGATCCCTTATTGAACTTTTTTAGATTCGTGGTTATTGGAAATAAGATCGATCTTATTAATGATTTCAATAAGAGACACTGTGAAAAGACAATATCCACTGCTAAATCTTGGTGTGCTCAATTTGGCTATCCCTACGTTGAAACGAGCGCCAAGTGTGAAACTTCATCCAGCCTAGAAACAAACCTTGTTCCTCAAATCATTGAGAAATATGTGTCATTTGCCAAACAAGACAATGAAGAGAACGAACATGATGAAAAATTACTACCAGAAACTGAAGACGGAAAACAAAAACGCTCTGGCATTTGTGGCAACTGTTCCATTCTGTAGATGGACTCTCAAGAAGAGGCGCTTATCCTTCTCTTCATCATCTAGGCTGTACTACATGAGAAGACGCCACACCACACTGAACCATCAATTAAGTATCGACTCTAAAGATTCCCATCAATCCAGTCATGGAGGAGGAATTATCATTCTTCCTCTTTCCCACTGCACATTCCACAAATGTGAATGGCAATAGATAATGCATCCATCTGTCATTATCACGATCTGTCAGTATATAGATAGTTATTCTCTAAATAAATTGCAGAAACTGACCATACCATTTCAATCCATCTGTACGAACAGCGGTGTTATCCATGTGATGTATATACATCTCAATGTCTCCGATTATTTGAATGTGTCTTTCGAATTCGTTGGGTGTTAGCTGCTGCCTGGAAGGTGCATGAGAGAAGTTTCATTCATCGTGGAACCCTTTCGCAACAAAGAGTCATCTTTGTCTTTTTTCCAACTGCAAATGCTCTGGGTAATGAGGGTATTTAGAATTATCAACACCTTGTTAACGACCAACATGCCATTGGATGGTCAAGATGCCATTATTCGTAATTTATGAGTAACTTGAATGTGTTCTTGCGAAGACTCGCAATGGTGAAAGGCTTTTCGATTAAGGAGAACCTTCAGAACCATCAACGTCAAGAATCAACAGTTGTCTTTAAAGCCAACTCGTTTTTAGTCAAGATCCAAATTCATCTTGTCTTCACCTTAGGCATCACTTCCGTTTCCTTCACGACCACATCTAAATGCGACAAGAGACCAGATCATGGCAACGTTTTCATCTCACTCAAACCTTGCAAATCTGAGTGGTGAGAGGTCATGGCGTTGGAAGGAAAATGCGAGCTGTCAAGCGCAATGGTTAAAAATGACTTTTGATCTTGTGGAGAATCCAAAAACGAATTCTTTTTGCATCGATTTGACCATACTTGTCAAGTGCACCGCACTAGCCAAGTGAGATGATCCAACACATTAAAAAACAATCCATCACCTTCAACAAGATTGACTGCGAAACAGACGTGTTCGATGTGTACACACGTTCGGGTTTTTTTTATTACACAACAAAAAGTCTCTCATTCTCTTGCAATTGTGAACAACCTCATTGAATTCATTCCTTGAGAACTGAATTGTACTCTCAGTTGTTTGCTCTCGTTGCTTATTACAACTTTTCACAAACCTGCAAATGACATTTGACAGTCACCAAAGGGCTACAACAAGTCTTGATAATAATACCTCTCTTGCTTCTTCCATCACCACCACCACCACCACCTCCAACAACAATAACATGCCAACCAATCCTCCTCCCACCTCTTCATTACATTCCATTGGAGAAGAAAAGCAACATCACCCAGAAGAACAATCACAACTGCTACTACTTCAAAGAAATCCTTCTCCTCATTCCGTATCGACCCTCAATGCATTCGACTCATGGCCAAACACAATTCTCACCACCTCTTCATCATCATCAACAACAACCAATCATCATGAAAATAATTCTCAAAGTTCATCTCTTCAATCTTCATTTTCAAATTCTTCCTTCTCGTCGTCGTCTTCGTCGTCTACGAAAAGTGTTTTATCAAAAGACAAGGACGACAAGAACGACGTGAAGGATGTGGATCATTCAATGACACAACAACACACGTGCATTCGAACGTCAAAATTTGGATACCTTCCTCAAGGAGTTTCATCATTGAATTCTTCTTCTCGAAATCGAGGAGGACATTTGACACAAGGACATCAACGCTGTGCCAGTGAAGATGTTTCTTCCTCTCACCACATGATGATGTATCACCAACATTCAAATCATCATGATGTTGAACACACAACATCGACTGCTATATATTCTTCTAACGGTGGTGACGATGAATCAACAAGCCTTGTGACCACCACAACAACGACGACAAGTGACACCAAATCGAAATACAACAACAACCTCGTCCACGGAATCTCTTCAAACATGGACCACAACGACCATCCAAAAACAACGTCATTGAACGCCGACACTAGTCAAAAAAACACATCTTCTTGTATGAACCATTCACGAACAAGTTTGGCAACAACTACGAATAGTACTTCAACTACAACAACAACGGAGAGTGACAATCATCCTTCTCCGACACAGTCACCTCCATCGATGATGGAGTCAGTCGTTGATGATGACTCTTCCAACGACCCTCCCTCATCAAAGAATACCTCCATCTCGAATACGACGACTTCTACGAAGACGACGAATACGATGACGAAAACGACGACATCGTCACCATCAACCACACAAGAACTAGGCAAGTCGAGGGCATTTTCATGGACCACAAAGAAGGGACAATCGGAGGAGAGTCGATTAAAGTTTTTAAAAGATACTCACGTGGAAGAACGAAAGAAAATGAATGCAACAACGACGAGTTATATGAAGAAGACTATAAATTCGAATTATCATCATCAGGATCGAACACCGAATACTCATACGAGTAGTGGTTTTCATGAACATCATTCGTCACAACAAAATCAGGATTTTCAACGACGATTGAGTGAATGTCTTCCTTCAATTTTCACAGATTGGAAACGAGTGATTGATTTTCAATCGACATGCATGTTGGTGTTAATTATTTTAGATTATACATTTATGATTGTTGAAACTTGTGTGAAAAAAGGATGGTTGAATGGAGCAATTTTAACAACATTGTGTGTGATTGGATTTATGAGTGTGAAATGGTCATTTCTAAGAGATTTACCTCATTATGTGAATGTGAATGACAGTTCGGTGTGGAAAAGTATTGGATCGCTGCAAGATTTACCAAATAGTAGAATGAACATTTCTGAAAAGAAAAAAGATGAATCTTGGGTGACATGGTTGTCTTCCTACATGCCCAATCGATTCAGCAGCACACAATTAGTTTTTCTCAATTTAGTGCTTTTCAGTTCTAAATTCTTGTTGGCTGAATCTAAGAGTGTAGTGACGCCAATGAGTTTATTCTCAATCGCTTCCATTGCAGGTTGTAAATATCGAGATTCATTTATTAGAAATCGAAAGGATTTTGAATTACAGCAACATCCATCCTTGAAAAATGATGAGGATCAAACGAATGAATTATCCAAAGAGACTTCGGCAGATCTCGAAGCAGTATTGTGGTCACAAGTGCCATTCTATTATATTGCTCTTCATTATGTGTGTTACATGGCGTACAAAACATTTCAATTTTTCTCAAGCATTGAGAAACCTCTCACGACAGGAGAAATTTTTAGAGAATTGCTAACTTTTGTGATTGATTACTTTCCTTCTGTTTCGATGGTATTGATTTTTGGTGGATTTGTCGTATTCGCAAGTGTCTACATTTCCATCGAATATAAGAAATTGACCGACATTGCAAAAAAATTGAGTCAAGCATTGGAAGTTAAGAATACTTTTTTGTCACACGTGAGTCACGAGTTGAGAACTCCATTATTATCTTCATTGGGAAGCATTGAACTCTTGAAAGAAACAAATCTGAATAATGAACAAGCTGGACATTTGGAAGTCATTCAGGCATCGAATAGCGTCTTACTTACTCTCATTGAAGATATTTTCTTATTTATTGATTTGGATCGAGCTCCAAAGAATATGACTCCCATGAATACTAGGAAAGCATACGATGACAATCCATCGATTGAACACAATTCTGGCACTGAATTGACAAGATTTCAAGAACATAGTTCTGCATTTAGTATTTCCAAATCTATTCACACCATTTTGGATATTCTCCAAAATTACTCGAGCAAGTTTCAAATCAAAATTGAATGTTACATTGACGACAGCGTCAAATCATTGATCGTGTTTGCCAATCAAACTCGACTTCAACAATGCATGTTAAATATTTTAACCAATGCTGTGAAAGCTTCAAAACCCAATGGTGTGGTCGAATTGTATTGTTCCAAAGTCGAACCTCAACCTCAACTCTCTGAAAAGCATCTCTCCAGTATGAATCGAGACATGAAAAATGTGGAATGGTTTGAAATTTCAATTGTGGATCATGGTATTGGAATTCCAAAAGACAAACAAAAGGCCATTTTTGAACCATTTCAACAATTACATAATTTAAATGAAGCCATTTGTCCTGGAACAGGTCTAGGTCTTTGTACAGCGAAGAGAATTGTGGATCAAATGGGAGGATGGATTGATTTGCAATCAGAGCCAAACATTGGATCAACATTTACTCTCTATTTACCTTTTCAAGTGGAATCGATTCATGTGACTACCAATGAGGAGAAGGAACAAGACGCAATGACGATGAATATTCAGTCAGGATTCAGTTCAGGACAGACTAGTGGCAATGAATCAACAACAAGTGAACTTGATCGATCAAGTTCCACAAATTTACCTTTTTCACAACAACAAGTGAGTAGTAGTGGCGGTGGAGATGTTTCGGATAGCTCAGAATCTTCTTCCAAGAATAATAACATACCTTCCACTCTCAAACTCTCTGAAATTAACTCACCTCTGCACAATGCCATTCAAAGACAATTACAAATTCAAGAAAATTATTTGGAACAATTCGAAAAGACACAACAAATATTTAATGAATCGCCACGTCCCAAAAGTTCCAATAGCAAAATCATTGTGGCAGAAGATAATTCTATTAATCGACAAGTACTTTTGAAATTGTTATCCAATCTAGGATTTGGACAGGCAGATGCAGTGTGTGACGGACAAGAATTGATTGAAGCTTTTGATGTGAACAAACATAAACTCATTCTCACTGACATGCACATGCCTAAAAAGAATGGTTTGGAAGCTTCACAAATAATTCGACAAAAGTATCAAGATCAGGTGAAGATTATCATGCTCACCGCCGATGCCTTGACCGATTTCTCAACGGAGCAATATATGAGAACTGTGGATGCAGTGTTGTGTAAACCTTGCACGAAACAGAAATTGAAAGAAACTATAGAAACTTTTTTGAAATAAAAAGGAATGGTTTGAATATTGATATCCACCCAACTGATGCTTTAATAATCTGGTGTTTTGTCTTAAAACAAGCTCACACTCATGAGTTGGTTCTTATTGATGAGTGTGGCAGAATTGCAAACAAATTGATGTTTGAAAATCCTGAAAAGTATAAACTCATAAAGGTGGAGATCCAGCATCTTCTCCCATTCTCTCATTACTTGAACGTCTCAAAAAGGCATCTTCTTCTGAACTTGTGTCATTTCGAAGTTTGATTCTTGATTTAACATTTAGCTAATTCTTACAATTCCAAACGAAATTGTTACGGAATTGCAAAGACATGTTGCATTGACAAACACCAGAACTTTATAAAAACCCAACAGAGACAAGTTTATTCAATATTTTACGGCCTATTGTTCAACCAAACCCAGAATCCTTTGACAGTATTTATTCTAAGAATGCTTTGGGTAACAAAAATGTTTTGCAGTGGGATATATTTTATTACGCAAACAGATCACTCAGATAATAGATGTGATTTAAAGCTTGAAAGCGATAAATAAATTATTATCATTGAATTTAAAAGACTAAGATTATCTAATTGGAATCAAAGGCTTCATAATCCCGATATTTACGACACAAAAGGAAACCCAAAGTGGACACATAAAAGTATACGACTTGCAGCCTGTGATGTTTTATCCAAAATTCCTGATAATGAAGTGATGAATCCTACTATACAAAGACTTTCAATTCGGAAAATCAACAGCTGGAGCAGTCTTGGTGCTCTTGACAGCATCTGGGTTCTTTCTGATAGCAGCGTGCAATTGTCCATGCGTTTATTTGTTCGAAAATTCAAACGTTATTCATGGCTGTGTGTGCAATTAGTACAGTTAAAGGTGGTTCATGTCATCAAAGTTAGTGTAATTATTGTTGTAAATTTCAATTATTGTTTGTCATCAAGGTTAGTGTAAATTTCAAATATTGTTGTAAATTTCAATTATTATTCATGGTCGTGGGTATTTCATGTATAGTTTAAACTTGTTCAAATCAATGAAATTGGGATTAAAATCGTATTGTTGTTCAAATTCATTCCAGGTGAGTTTCAATTCTTCCATGAAAAAATGATTTCGTTTCATCCACATTTTAGTAATAGATCGATAAGCTTCCTTAGTAAATACTTTGTCCCATTTCTTACCCAATCCAACTTTAGCACCTGTTAGGCTATGGATATCTTGTTTAGTCTTGATGAGGTACAATAGTCGTTTGGAGAACTTCTTGTTATTCTTTGCATATATTGAGATATTATATAAATTCCTAAACATTTCTTTTCTTATATCACTATAGTATTTACATTCAAAAATAATGTGTTGCATTGTCTCTCTACTACAGCAAGGACATAGCAAGTTCGTCTTGGATATCTTGTTTAAATTTTCCAAAGTCTTCATCACGTTCACTCTAATTTTAAATATTAGATTTAAGGTTCTGAAACCGATTCCTATTGAGGGGTAAATGTTGGTGAACTTTCTGTTCTTGGGAGGAAGGTTCTTTGGCGTATATGTTCTTTTGTGGAGGCGTTGAAATATAAGTTTGTACATTGTTTGTCTAGTGTTTTGAGTGTATAATACATTGTTGATAATAATATACCAATTATTGGATGGAATATTTGTAAGAATATTGTTACAATCAGCACCTTTCTTAGCAGCCCTATCTGCTAATTCATTTATGCGGCTATAGATATCTTGTTTACCTGTATGACTATTAACATGCATAATTTTGATCTGATCCTTCATTTTTAAATAATTACGAATTTCTTCGACATAAGGATCTCTAGATTTTCTGAATTGGAAAAGTTGGTCATAAATACTTTTCGCATCTATGACTATTGTTCTAGGAGTGTTGTTATCTAGCAATCTAACAACTGTGTGGAGCGCTTGAACTTCACTGTTGTAGGAAGTTCCTTGTCCTAAGGTGTGACTTGAGATGGAAACATTCTGATCAGTTACAATACCGTATCCAGCAATATTATTGTTACACGATCCGTCAGTACCAATTAGTGTAGCTTTGTTCAAGAGGTTTGACATGGATGTGTTGTTACCAACATATTTGTAGTATTTGCTTTCGTCTTTGATTTTTCCAAAATCCATGCTATTGAGAATGTTGCGAATTTGGGTGACATGATTGGAATGTTTGATGTCATTATGTAATTTCACTTGTAAATTTTTAGGGTCAGGAACCCACATACTTAATCTGTTCCAATCTTTATAGAGCAGGAATTGTCTTAAACCTTTAGGGAATTTTCCGTAAGGGATGAGATTTTTTTCATGCCATTGGTCACTCGAATGCCACAATCTAATATTGGAAGATTTGTTCATGAAAATTATTCTCTTGAGATATTGAGGAATCCATGGGTCTGGTTTATACCAAGTAGGGATTGGATCATTGAGGATGTCAAAACCATGCTCCTGTTTGATTCGTTCACAAAGGAATCTTGTAGAAGATCCATTTATGAACATCATTTTTTTCTTTTCACATGATGAGGAAATAATGTCAATCTTTCTAAATCGATCGACATGGACCATTGCATCCTTGGGATTGAATTGGAATGAGAGTGATGTGATTTGTGTTGTTTGTGGTTCGAGTTGTGTCATTAAAAGATAATTCGTTATTTTCTTTATTGAAAGATGTATTCATAACCATCAAAGTCTGCAGAGAAATATTTGTTGACATCATTTTCGACAATCTATCTCAATGATCTCTCATTTGGAATAATTGAGATATCAGTGAATTTGCAATAATGGGACTGAACGAGATGTAATTTTTGTTTGAATTGCATCTCACTAAAACCTGTTTGTGTTACAATAATCTAATGTTGTGTTGATATGATAGGAATTAATGGAGAAATTAAAAACAAGTTCAAAACTTACCGAAGTACCACGACCACACAACACATGTGAAATCCTCTTGTCAAATTTATAATCAAGAAGAACAAACTCTCTCACAATGGTTTGATGACTTAAATTGGACACACTTAGTCCAAAACGTTCATCAGGAGGATCTCTTATTCCCAATTGTCCGTCGCTATTAAATCCAGAGGCCATCAATTGATTGGATCTTACTAAATGAATGAGTGTGTGATGTCTGCCTGCAGTCACACGAATTTCTTCGCCACAAGAAATCACTTCAGTCATTTCATAAACTCTACGTTTAAATCCAAGGCCTAATTTTTCGAAATCATTCACAATGCATGAAATTCATGAGAAAATGATGAAAATTCGATCATTCTTTTTTTCTGTTCAAAGCAAACTTACCCAATTGTCTTGAGTATAAATTCAGTAAAAACTTTGAATCATCATTTTCACACACATACCCATATTGATTATCTCCCGCAGCATATATTTTTGATCCACAAATAACTATGGTATACAAATAACCACATTCTACTCCAGTGATGGTTTCTTGTGTTGGAATTGTAATTTTACAGAATTCTTCATGAAACGCATTGGTACCAATTTTTTGAGCTAATTGTCCTTCTGCATTGGAACCCAAACTAAATATTCAAAATTGTCACAACAAATTTTTCACACAATGATCGACACAAGGATCATCCATTTCATGATCACATCATTTAAAAAGACTGTTATAGATAAGATACTCATGTTCACCAACCTACCCATAAATTTCATTCTTTTCATTCACCACAACAAAATGAGCTCTTCCACATGCCAAATATCGAATCGTTGTTCCCTTCAATGCCTTACATTTCTTATTCAAATGAATAAACTTTCCTTTTTGATAAGGAAAAGTATCTTGTTGTGAAGCCGTTTCTCCACTATAGTAATAGTACGGATGTGGAGTCTCTGAATATTTTCGCGTCATGATATAAATATCCATCGAGTTCACAATCAAGACTGTGAAATTTAGACCTGATCCAATCAATGATACTAAATTTCTCTCATCTTTCATATTGATCACATAGTTATCATCAAAATGTTTCTCTGGAATCAATTTCACACATTTTGTTTCAGATGGCAATAATCCAAACACATAAACATGTTCTCGATCAGTAACCACACAAGCATGATTCGATCCACAGGACAAGTGTGTAATTTCCTCGTTTTTGAAATACTTGGCTGGAACTTGAGTGGGAGCATCGACAATAAAAGTTGAAGTGTTACAAGCATATGTTGAATAATAATAATTATTAAAATAATTATGTTGCTGTTGTTCTTGTCGTATCTTGTCCTCTGTGATGGGAAGTCCATATAAATTATCAGCATTAAATCCACTCATATACAAACAATTATCATGAGTCACAAAAGCTGTAAAATCATCACCTGCATCAATGAGTGTAATAAATTTTTGATTTTTCAATGTTTCTTTGAGACCATTGTTGAGAGTGAATTCTCGGCTTGGAATTCCTGCATGATGAGAGGAAGAGGTGAATAATTGACCATAGGAATTTTCTCCACACGTGTAGACGTCATGTTGTGGAATGGAACGGACCATGTTTGAATGGAGATCAAATTTTTTGTATTTTTTTGTGATGACAAGATCATGCGCTCTTCAATGTAGTGTGAACTTGTCCATATTTGGATTGTGAAATCGGATCTGTGCCACCTTCTATTAATCACAATTTGTTTTTGAAGGGAAAGAAGAAGAGGTAGAGGAAATTCCTTTCACATATGTTCGTAATTCCCCATCATGCAAAACCTTTAAAGCCAATTCTGGATATTTTTTCGAATTTCTTAATTGGGCTGGAAGAATTCGATAGAACTGCACATTCACCTCAAGAATGCGCAACACAAAATTAGTGTCACAAAGAATGAGTTCTTTAACAGATGGAATGAAATCCATCATCAATGAGAGGTTGAAAAAACGATTCTTGCACAAGTTGAGTATGATCGTTCTGCATTCTTCACACACAACGCTCTCATCCATGTTTTGATTAATAATTGGAAAGGCCACAATGAAATACAATACATGATCCGTTCGAATCATGTCTAAATCGAGAGTCAATGGATCTCTATTCAAAGTGATCATTCTCAATATATAGTCTCGATATTGTAACAAGGATGCCACAAAAGAATATTCATGAAGTCTGAACTGTTTACACAACATTGGAAATATATATTCTTTGGTAAATACAAATTCTGGACGATCTGGAGCACATGAAAGGAAGCGATTGAGTCGTTTTAAAGAAATATCTGTGAGTAGCAAGTTGAGAGTTTTTTGATCCATTTCAGAAGTGAGCTTTATGAATCGACGGATCATGCTGAGATGTCCACAATCTGCAAATGCTTTGATCGCATCATATTGAGTGATTCCATCACAAATTTGCTTCCATAATGGATTTCCATGAGAAAGAGTAAATGAGGATGATTGAAAAGTAAGATAAATCAATTCAGGAGTTTGTCTCAAATGTAATGGAAGGCAATAAAAGATTAGTGGTTGCTGCTGAAGACATTGCTTCACCGTTTGATATTCTAGTGCTGATATGATTGGAGTGGATAATTTGCAAAGTATTTCAGGATCTTGTTGGACGGCCATGGTCACCAAGTCCATATTTTCTTCATAAAAGGATGGAGAACAATTAAGAATATATTTAGCGCTCACCTCCATCAATGTGAGCATCATCTCTCTGGTTTGTACCAAGTCAAGTGGAATGTAATTTTGGATATTTGTGGATGATGCATGAATTTTGTGAGGAATGCTCGCTCGAATGGCTCTAAACATGAGTTCCTTATCTGAAAATAAATTCTTATTCGTAATGTATGGAAAACATTCCAATCCAAAGAACTTGATGGCTTCAATTTGAGATTCTTCAGTCTTCATAATCATGTTCTCAATAATCGAACGAGATACTTTTGGGTGACGATTTTGAAATGCTAATTTACAAAGATCCAAGTCACTTCGAATGGAGGGCGATTTCACTAATATAAACCACGAGCCTTGTTTAGGAAGAGAGAAAACACTCTTCATCAACTCTCGATGTTCCAACCATTCCGATGGCGCATCCACTAGAATTTTTCCCTTCGTTTTTGAAACAAAATATTCAGCAATGTACATGTTGTTTGCAAACTTTCCTAACAATTCATCTTTTAAGACAATATTGGGCTCTATCCAATTCACTCTTTCTAAAATATGATCATTTCTATAATTTGCACTAAATTTGTAATAGGTCATGTATTCCAGAATGGTTTTCGGAGTATTGTAAAAATAAAAGAAATATTCTGGTTTTCGAGTTCCGAATGGAGGTAATTCTTTCGTGAGGATTTGTTGTGCATGCTTAAATAATTTATATTCAGAAAAGAGAGAATTTAATTTTTTACAAAGTCGAACCACGGAACCATACGACGAAATGGAAAGAAAGTCAAAAATAGTGAGCCAGGCAACGTCGTCCAGTCCCGACATCCATGTTGAGGTGGTTGGTGAGTGAGAGACTTTTGCAAGTTGGGACATTTTTTTTGTAATGCATACAAATTGTTCAAATTGTTCTATTATTATCTATCCTACAATTCAAATGAGACGCTATATAGAATCCAAGAACTGTATTCTTTGTAAGGGCACAGTTATATTTGAACGGTTGCTTTTTCCAGCAAACGAATGGATGAACTTGGAAGTGTAATCTCCAAAATCAAAAAAAAAAAATAAAAATTAATGTCCTTGAGCTCCGAAGAGATGGATTTGTTGGGTGATGTTGCGGGTCTTGTGGATGATTCGAATAAAACCTCGTCGGGATCTTCTTCTATGGCATTAGACAATAATGAACCCTCCTTGAAAGAGAAAAAGTTAGTCTACAAGGATATGAATGCTCAAGGCATGAAATCCATCTTTGATCGCGAGGAATATTCTGATTTCAGAATTGTGCTGAAACAAACTGGAAGGACGCTTCATGTTTACAAGGGAATATTGGCTGCCAGAAGTGAGTTCTTCAAAGCTCTTGTTGAAGCAGGGTTCTCCGAGAAGGATAACAACCAACTTGAAGTTGATGATGAAAGTGAAGAAAAGGCGTTAGTTCCATTGTTAGAGTTCTGCTATACGGGAGAGATCACAGTGCCCGAAAGCGAGGTTCTTGCATACTATTTCATTGCCGATAAATATCAAGTGGTATCGCTCCGATCAAAATGTGCAGACTTTCTGGTGGGTGGTTTGAGGAGTGAAAATGCGTTGGAAAATTTCATCGAGTACTATTCCAAGTTTGAAAGAAATGGTGGTATTGCTGATGATTTAACCGAAAAGATGATCAAAAGAAGTGTATTATTTATCTTGAAGACGTTCTCAGGACTTTGTAAGAATTTGGAAAAACGAAAAATTCTATTGTCCATGGATTATGAAATGTTGATGAGATGGTTACGACCATCCGCAGAAGGAAAGGAGTTCAAAGGCATTAATTGCGAACCATCAACATTTTTGAGATTTGTTTTAGAATGGACCACACAAGATATTGCAACAAGATCTCAGTATCTTGCCGAGTTGGTATCTTTGGAGAAAAAACTTGAATATGGATCCGTTCTTATGCTCAGTGATGATGGTGGAGAGTTGCTTTCAATTTATGGTGAACCAGAGTTTATTTATGAGAAGAGTGCCACCGAGGTTGTTGGTTCGAAAATTACAAAGAAGACCTCCAACTATTCCAGTATCTATGTCAATACCATGTTAGGAAATGCTGGTTCAACTGCCATCATCAGATGGAAGGTAAAGATTATTACACTCAACTCATGGATTGGAATGGGTGTTGCTATGAAAGAGGTAAGTAACTTTTTCTTTTATTCACTTGCCTTTGCTGATGATTATTATTTGGAATTTCTTTTCTAAAACAGGTTGTTGAAAAGAAAAAACTTACCTTCTCGCCATATGATAAGCACGGAACATACATGCTTTCACATAACGGATATATTTGGAATCAATTCATGAAGGGAAGCACAAAATATGAATCGGTGGGTTGTAGTTATGGTGTTGGCGATACTGTCATCATTGAATTACTCTGTGCCAAGAAAGAATTGAATTTTTACAAGAATGATACTACCAACAAGTTGGCTACCTTTACAAATGTTAAATTACCAGTTTATCCAAGCTTTATGCTCTGTGGAACAGAGAGTGTTGAATTTGCATGGGATCTTGAAGAATCTGAAATTTAAAGAGCCTGTCTTATAAATCAATGTATGCTGCATTCTGTGGTGTTGAAGATTTCTTTTTTTTGTCATGAATCAAAACAAACACTTTGAAGACACGAATGAGGAGAACAGTTGCTGTAATTTAATTATTGATCATTATTGCTTGTACATGTATGGGTCAGTTCCAAGGCATCCAAGTATGTCTTCCAAATAAGAATTGTCAGAAATTCTTGCAAGTTCCTTCTCAACAAAATCAAGCTTCTCGTCAATCTTAAGATTTCCTCTTAAATCCTTGAAGTGTGGTTGCTTGGTAAAGTTCAAAAGATATCCCTTGCTCTTCTGGAGCTGTTTCAAAAGTACCTGTTGTCTTGTGGCAAGTCTTTCCTTATACCAATTACTCTCCAACAAAGATTCAAGAGTAAACATTTTACGAATTTCAGGATCATTAATGCTCTTTCCTTCGTAATGACCATAAGCCATGACGTGAAGAACGGCCTTCAAAGGTGGACAAGCTCCTTCAACAGAACCATCCTCAAAGTATTGGCGAGCGACATCTCTGTAAGTATCTAAAATAATTGAAAGAGATTTAACGAAAATTTCCATTGATTGTTTCTCAGGTTGGAGCATGTCATCTGTGAATACAGAACCAGGATTAGTAAAGACACGCCCGAAGAAAGCTCTCACGAATTTCTTGGTAATACGATAGCCAAGTCTGCTCGCATTCACCACCTTTCCATTATATTCAAAATCATTCATCTTTTCAAGCATATCATTTTGAATTAGATATTGTGGATCGCGTTCCTCTGGTCTCATTCTACACCAAAGTTCTGGAATGAGAAGTGAAATGTCATGATCAACACGATAATTTGAACCCAATGTTCCTGCACTTGAAAAGAAGCCATCCGATCCGGTCACCAACATGGAGACGAGAGCAGTGTTAAGTTCTGTGATTGAAACAATGGGACAGAATGGCCCCTTGGTTAAGGCACCTTCAGAACCAAATCCAGTGGTTGATGGAGAACGTCCAGTCATTGAGCTAATGTATTCCATGAATAATTCTGGTAATTCAAAGTAGTGAATTGGATTGTGAACACACAATGGAGGACATCCCTTGCTTTCTGGATTATTTCTTCTTCCAGAAATGACTGCATCGACAGGATACACTACTTGAGTCGAAGGAGAAAGCACTTGATGTAAACGAGTGCACACTTCAGCCAAATAGTACTTTCTTGGTTTGGTTAATTCTTCACTATTTTGCAAATATCTTGGATTCTTGGAGCGCTGATTAGGTCCAACTACTCTTGTGTTAGAGGATGCAACACAATAGGTTGGCTTTCCTTCTCTTGCGAACTCTTCAAGGAGTGTTCTTTGAGGTTTAGTGAAGGCAAGGAAATTAATATTGTCGTCAAGAATTTCCTGAACGCCTTGTTGAGTCAAAGGTTCAAAGTTACAAATAAATGTATTAGGAGTGGCCAAGTCAGCTTCTGCCTTCTTGTCATAACCCCTGACAATGCAATCGTCCGGTCTTTGGAACAATCTAAATTCCACATTCTTGGAGAGTTTGACAGAGAGTCCCTTTCTTGGCTTTTTCTTGAAGGTAGGTACTTTGCAGCTTTTTAACAGGAACAACAACAGATGCAGTAATATCGTCCTCGGTTTGAATTTTGAAGGCAGGTGTAAAGTCTTTTCTCAACTCAAATGTTCTCCACGAGTTGTTTTCAAAACCAACACGCATATAATGACCAATGACTGGTTCTCTGTTATACTTTAAGCTATTACCATAAGAGCCATTGACCAAGTCCACACTAAACTTCTCCTTCCATTTTCCTTCCCATGATGGCTTGTACAAACTCTTGATAACGAAGAGCAGCTGTTTCAGATATGATGGAATTGAATTCAACCAATTATTATATTCATCAGTAAAGAGTTCGCTAGGTGTCAACAACTTGACGACACTTCCAAGAGATCTTTCAGAGCTGAGTACTGGACGAGTGTCAACAGTTGATGGGTCTTTAAATCGCTTACTATAATCCATGTTAATAAGCTTTTCTACTTCCTCAAGATCCTTGATAAAGTTGGCAACAATGACTGGGCCTGTAATGATGGCATCGGCAATAGATTTGCTAATTTCACTTTTACCACCACCACTGATAGTACTTGGCTTGTGACAATAGGTGCCTGTGCCAACGGTACCAATCAGAGCAAATCCTGATTTCTCTTGAATCATTTCAACTCGATATCCTGAAGGGAAAATGTAGGTAACAAATGGTTTCAATTTCATTGTAACCTTCTCTCCTGTTTCATAATGTGACCATGTTATGGTTTGGCCATGCAATGTAAAGTATGCATCCTCTGGCACATAAATAATGTCTGGATAAACCTTGTCAGTGGCATAACCCTTATCTTCGTGAACCTCCATTCTCTTATTACATCTTTCGATCATTATTTTGAAACGGTACTGTTCATCAATGTGGAAATCCTTCAATCTGAATGTATCTCCCAAGTAGTAAGATGGGAATGCAATGGCTCCACCGCTATGCTCCTCCTCGCAATTTCCAAATAAATTGCATGCATAGGTAATTTGAGATTTGACTTCCTTCTTGCAATAACCAAAGTAATTGTCAGCAATGATTGTCACAATTACTCCCTCACTTGTTCTTGCAGTGATTTTGAAGGCTTCTCCTTCGTTATAACATTCTGTGTCCTTCTCGTAACACATTCCTTCTTTCTTTTGCCTTTCAGTAGCTTGAGAAATGTGAGGCAAACCAAGATCTTTCTTTGGAATCTTTGTTAAATGAGGAGCCAAAATGACACAACCAGTATGCCCTGACCATCTCTTAACATCCAAGGCGGCATCGTTTGCTGTGTACCAAGCGTGACCAGCATTTCCGAAAATTGCTTCGATGAAATCAAGATTTGAAACCAAAGAACCTGGAGCAAAGAATCTGCACTCCATTGTTTTTTCCTCTGATTCTCCTGGAACTGCTGGGCTAACAAGTGGACGAAGCATGATAGAGACCCAACATTTGGCTCTTTTTTCCTCTTCTTGCTGACTTGTGTAAGGTAAAACCATGTAAGATTCGGGAGGATGAAGGGCAGCTTTCAAAAGGAGAGCCCATGTCAGCTTTGGGACCTCTTTCTTGTCGGCAGGAATTAACAAACCTCCTTGTGCAATGTGAAAAGAGCCCTGAGTGGTTCTTCTGTCATTCACAGGGTTATGCAACACCCCTTGTTTCAATCTGTAGCTACAAATAATTTCATTTTCAAAATAATCACCCTCTCCAGGAAGTGACAACAGTCTTGCCATTCCAACTCGATCTAATTCCAAACTATTTGAAGGAAGGCGAAGATCATGCAAGTCAATGGTTCCTTTCAACTCTTGGGCATAGGAATCAATAAAATTCTGAATACGTCTATCAATGGGACACTGATAATCCTCCAAAAGGCGATTGTGTTCCTTGTAAGCATTGAGGAGTGGATCAGTAATTTGCAACAATTTATCAAGCTTTCCAAACAATGGAAGACCTGCATTAATAATTGAACATCAGCAGAAGTAATTTCCGGTTGTTTTTTGTTGTCAAATTTTCAAAGTTAATCAACAAAGTGTTCATCACAATCCAGTCATATCATTGGATTCAACAAATACGACCAAACAATTAGAACAAGCCTTACCTGAGGCAGACAGTTTCAAATTCACATATTGCTTCAGAGTTTGTTGATCCTCTTCTTGCTTTTGTAAATCAGTGTAGTATCCGATGGCTTCACTCAATTCTCTATCGTGGAAAAACGAACAATGAGTAGTCATGATGATGAAAAGATGATTATAGGTGTTGATCGTGATGTGATGATTATAGACAATGATTCAATTCGGGGCTTTTATCTTATAGAATGGTCGAACACAACAACAACTTGGTTGATTCTTTTCTTTGTTGTATACTGAAGATTATATTCTTGAAGAAAGAAAAAAGTCTTTTACTGGATCCCGAGCTTGCAAAATTACCATTTTTGTTCTTTACTTTATGATTTTGTAGTTGTTTCTAATTGTGGACATCATCGAACAGAAGTTGGGTAAATTACGAATACATTATGTGAGTACTGTTAAAGCTTTGGAAAGATGAACAGCATGCAATTGCATTATGTTGGTGTACATTCTCCAAAACAAGGTAAATCAAGAGAAAAACTGGAAGCAAAATTTTTTTCTCTTTCATTGTCAGCCTTGTTGTCAGGTGCGACGGAGAGGATGCAGTCTCCCACTTATGACGAACATGTGTTTCACGAACCTTAGTGAAGAGAAGAACATTGATCATATCATGTCATCACAACACGAACTGTTTTACAACAGTAACTTCAAGTTCTGATCTTTCTCACTGACATCAGTATTGCTTCATGAACCTGAGGCAGATATTAGAACATAAAAGGATCGAAAAAACAACATAAAAAAGTCAATCAACATCATGCGCAAAGTTGTGATTTTGTTTCTTCTGTTATTTGCCTTTTTGGCTGTGGCAGCTCTCTCGGTTGATGGAGCTCTTAATTCACATGAAAGCGTTACTTTGGCTGTCAAAGGAAAAGGTAGTAAAAGTGGCAAAGGTAAAGGTGGCAAACGAGGAAAAGGCAAAGGAAAGGGAAAGAAAAGCAGAGGAAAGGAAAAGAAGGGTGGCAAGAAACGTCATACCAGTAAATGTAGTAACAAGGCATGCGTTATTCGTTGCAGCACTGGTCTCATGAAAGATCGTCGAGGATGTCAAATCTGCAAATGCTGTCCTCCTGTTTGTAAAATGTATTGCTCCAAAGGATTGGCCACTGGAAAGAATGGCTGCAAGATCTGTTCATGCAAGAAATAAACAGTTCGAACAAGTCAAGCATTACAATCTCAAATAGCTCAAAAATTGGAGAAAATTGTTAATTTATGATAATTCGAAGGAGACCATGATTATAGGTCTTCCAATTCTGCATATTGTTCTTGTGGATCCAATTGAATATTACCAGAATTAGATGGTTTTCTAGCACTGCGTTTTTTGTAACACCTGTAACCCACACATCCTCCGATAACAGCAATACATCCACAGCAACAGACGAGCAAACTCAACACTACAATAACGACCACGTTTCTCAACATGGTGCTATTATAACCGGGAGCTGAATAATAGAAAATAATTTCGGGAGCTGACTCGCTAATGCTGCATTTTCCATCATAATCAAAATCTGGAGCCATACATGAGAGAGGATTCAAATTGATGGCCACTTTGACCGTGCTCTCCTTTTCATCATGACTATAACGTACACAGGCCGACGAGGACACATTTTCAACTTTAATTCCGCACAAGTGATAGGAATCTTTAAGGCCTTTTAAGCAAGCTGATAGATGCACTCGATCTGTTGGTTGAAGAGGAGCACTGAGTATCATTGAATACGAATTTGGAATGGTTAAATTGACAAACACAAATGTGTTCTCAATACAGTTTTCATCGTAGGTTTCAAAATCACCAGTATACCATGTACCTGTTTTGAAATCAGAATAAAAGTAATTGGAGGATGATGAGCCTCGTTTCTTCTCTATTTCAGACAACACTTGAGGAGCGGAGTGGTATAACTCGGCAGACTCCCTTACCAGCCTTTTGAGGTGTACCATTGTTGTTGTTGTTGATGATGATGAAGAAACAGATGCTGTGGCCACCTCAGCAGAAGCAGAAATGAGTGTTGTGTAGAAGAGAAATAAGGTGGCTATCATTGCCATCAGTATTAATGGTGGTGATGATTTGACAAAAGTTGGCATGATCTTCATACTTGCTCTATGGTTCGGATTATTGGTGTTTGATATTTGGTTTCTAGAGAAAAGATCTTGATGATCAAATTCTTCCTTATGATGATGAGGATGGCGTGAGTGGTTGGGTCTACTAGGAAGAAAGGCTTTGTTTTTTTGTGCTGAGCAATAAGTGAACGAGCCATGTGGGTTCGATTCTTTCTTTGCCTTCGAATTCGAAATGTGTTGGATCCTGATGACCCTGAGGATAGAGATTCAAATAGAATACATTGCAGGCGTCTATTTGCAATGGCAATGATATTTCTTATGGGGAGATGATGTTCGAATGGAGTCCTCGTTGGTGATCTCTCCGCTCTGAAATATGTTTTCAACGTAATCCACATTTGGGTAGCCACCACATTCGTGTTGACATTGTGAGCTTGTGAAAGATGAATCTGTCTGGATATCTTCAGTGTGTGAAATAAGGTCCATAGTAGATTCTTTGGATTCACTCGAATGACATTTACAAAATGTGGCTTGATTGGAACAATAATGTTTCTCAGTTTGTCCAGTTTCAGAATTTGTTGTCACGACTTGATAGGGAATGAGAGAGCCTCCATTCTTTCCACATTCTTCATTACAAGACTTTCGAGTTAAACTGTAGGGAGAATTCTTGGCGTGTTTCTCTAAGAAGAGACAAATCCTATGATAGAGCTTCTTATTTTCTCGGAATGACCCTGAATTGAACTGTTGTTTCTCTTGAAGAAAATAGTCATAAACTATATTCTTTGAGCAGATACATTTCGATTGGCAACCATTCTTTGCTCGTTCAATGTCCAAAATATATTCATTTGGGCAAATCTTGTCACAATTCTTCACAGGTTCTTGTTGATAAGTCATTTGATTTGGTCCACAATAACACTCACATTCGTTACAGAGCGAATTCAATTTGTGGGAATATTTAAAAACTCCTCCAAATTTACAATGATATTGACAATCTTGTTGTGACTTTGGTTCTTGATAGAAGTGTGGACATGTTTTGTGATTGTTCTCTTGTTCGATCATATCAGGATGAATCTTCTCGTGAGAGGAGCGAGCTGACCGTGAATGTGATTTTGTGGTCTGGCTGGTCTCCAATTCATTGCTGTCATTGTGCTGATGATAGAGTGGAGGAACTGTTTCCATTGGATGATGTGGGTGAATGGGAGCTGGACAATCAGGACAGACACATTCCCCAGCAAGAACAATCACACTTCCACATGGACAAGATGTTGTTGTGGCACACTCTAATAATTCCTGAGCGTTCAGTGACACGAAGAGAGAAGCGACGCTAACCAGAAGCAACATGATGAAGACAAGAAAGAATAATCGGCTCCTCTGAAAAGCCATCTCCGTGCTCGTGTCAGATGGGAACATTTTTTGTGGTGATCACATGAGCAATATTTTAGCTTGGTTGGATTCTTTGGTTTCTGTTCGATAAGAGTAATACTAATAACGTCTTTCAAATTTGTAAGATACGAAGGTAGGTGCATGTATTTGGTTGAATGTTCTCCCTTTTACGGCATACAAGCATCATCATTTCCATTGGTCAACTTTAAACCCGATCCAAAAGTGGCTCAAAATTTTGTGGGAAGGAAAGTTTACAAAAAACTTGGATCCAAAATTTTTTTTTGAATTGCCTAACGTCAAACGCTCCCACAATTCGATCACTTGCCGTTGTTCATAAAGCATTTTAAAGAATATTCTCTAACGTTCAAACAAACTAAAAAACCAGTACATCACACGAGTACACACCCACAAACACAACCATGTCTGAACTCAAAAGACCAGCCTCCTCATACATTCTCTTCTGTAATGGTATGTAAACTGCAACAAACAAACATTTCAGGGTGTTTCTAATAAGGATTGCTAATGCTGATATATGGCTACAAAAATATCCCTACCTCGCTTTGTGGCCGTTATTGATCAATAACACCCAACAATATATATGAATGTACTCCGAATCGTTTCTCGCTGCTGATGTTGATCTATAACCACATTCTGATTGATATATATTGCAAACGAATTTAATTCGTTGTGGTGATGATGGAATTTGCCGATGATGATGAATGGCCTTTTTCATCACGAAACGTTCGAACAACCAACACCAACAACATTCAATAGATCATCGAGCTGAAGTGAAAACAAAACTCGGTGAGAACGCCAAGCCAAAGGAAGTCCAAAAGGAGTTGAGCAAATTGTGGAACGATGCTTCCGAAGCAACCAAGGAAAAGTACAAAAAGCTTTACGAAGAGAACAAGGCAGACTACAACAAAAAGGCCGAAGCATTGAAGGTCGTTGAAGAGGACAACAAGACTGAACAAGAATCTTCGGGAAGAACTCTCAGAAAACGTCCACCAAAGAAGGTTGCTGAAGAAGAGCCAAAGAAGAAGAAGACCAAGGCAAAGGGAGAATCCAAACCTCGTGGAATGACTGGCTACAACTTGTACATGAAGGAAAACAAGGAAAAGCTCAAGTCAGATAAATTGGAAGGAAAGAAGCTGACAGAAAAGGTGAGAAAGATGTGGAACAATTTGGCAGAGGATGAGAAGAAGAAGTACAATGAGAGAGCTGCAAAACTTGCTCCTGAAAAGAAGGACGAAGCTGGTTCAGCCTCTGATGAATAATTCAAGCGCTGACTCCCTTGTCGTCATAATATTCACTGCGCACACTGTAAATTTCTGCTCCTCACATCATGTGTACAAATACTTCTCTTTCACTGTTGATGCACATACAATCTCCCTCTAGATTCTCCCCTAGATTCTTCCATTATCCAAATACACTCAAACTGTGGACGTCCACAACACACAATAAATAAGCAATTCTTTATTATCTTAATTGGGTGCTCTTTCTGACTTGATCAAAATGGTCATGACTCGTTTCCTTAATGACTCCAAAACACAAACCAATCACTGTCATCGAAGCAAGTGACAAAAATTCCCAAACTGTTGTGTCAAACATCGTTTCCGGTTTGCACTTTAAAAAAAAAGCAATCTTTCAAAACTCCAGCGACACTCTTTTTCAAAGCATCCCACAATATCTCTCCTTTTACACTCAGAGCTCTGAAGCACAGCGATAATATTATAGGCAGCATTCAAATTGACACCCAACCGTCATTCTTTAATACACTCTCGTCATGGGCAATCAACCACACAAATCCTCTGAAGTTGAACTCTCGCATCATCCCAATACAACCACCACCACCAACAATGACTCATCACATCACTCCAACAGCTGTTCAACCAAAGCCACTCTCATCAATTGCTTCGCTCTCGGTGATGAAATGATCTATTATTTGTGGCGATTCTATGATTGCGATAATAATCACGTTCTTGACAAGAACGAAATGAGAACCTTTTTGACCGAGCTTATTCATACCTTGCACGATGTTTGTTTACGAAGTGAATTGATGACTTTCGGATGCAATTCCAATTCTTCCTCTGATACAACCAAACGCTTATCAGGTACTGTCAACACAGAATCATTCTCAGCACCTTCCTCTCCGAAACAAGCGTCTCATGCAGACCCAAAAAAGTTACATAATTCAAGTGCCAGTGAGATCCCAAGAACGGATCATGGCGGATTTTTTACAAGCGAGAGTGTAAGTCTAGACTTTCCCGAAATTGTCAACTCTCCTACACCTGTTTCTCCTCTCTCTGAAGAGAAGAAGAAATCTCGATTTGGATTTTTGTCACGAAAGAAAAAGTCATCCGCAAGCACCAGTCGAATGTCTGTCGACCTCTCAAAGTCCTCAATTCCTGTTCAAGAAACACAACAACCACCTTCTTTAAAGAGTCAAAATTCAGCGATAAGAATGCAAATGAGTTCAGATGTCAATTCCATGAAGAGACGCTCGGTGGCAGTTGTCCCAATGACAGGTTTGACTCCACAACATCATTTGGAGCAAATGCTGACTGGAAATTCACAGCAAGATGAAATTCGAATCAAGTGGAGAAAAATTAAGGAGGTAAGTTTTGCATTTTCTTTTCGTTTTGATATTGATCTATCATTGGTGTTGTCATGATATTTCAAATTTTGGAAACAACACATGTATAGAAAATGATGTCTTCTATTGACGATATTATTCAAAAAACAGATCTCGATGGTGATGGTAATATTAATTATCAAGAATTTTTAGAATTTATGAAAAACTTTGATGCAAGTGAAATGTTGACAGATATTGAACCTTCTCAAGTCAATCAAATCTTGTCACAACCTTTTAATCTTTTAGAGGAGGATTTATCTATTGATAATTCAACAATTTCAGAACTTACAAATGAATCAAAGAGAAAATCGCAATTACTTCAAGTTCTCTCACAATCTGCATCTCCAGATTTATCCGAGACAGGAAAAGCCAAAAAGAAAGAATATTCACAAGGAGACTTATTTAATGTGGCTGTTTTTGGTAGTATAAAAGAAACTCTCGAGTTATTGGAAAACAATTCTTTGAATATTGACAAGAAAGAGCTAAATTCATGCCTTCGACGAGCCATTGTCGATAACAATTGCTCCAAATCTCGATTACTCCTTAAATATGGAGCAAGTGTTTGCCACTCCTACTCAGATGCTCCTTGTACAGAAGAAATTCATACCAATTTTGACTTGTTAACATCTAGTTTGTTAAAATCACTTCGATCTTACTCTCCATGTATGGATGGCTCAGAATTAGAAAACTTTACTATCATTTTACGATTATTAATCTCCAAAGGATGGTTCTCCCCTGACCTAAAAGATGAAAATGGAAAGGATTATCCTCCTCTTTCATCCAATATCATTTATGAAGCCATTCTTTCGAATAATGACAGCATGAGCATGTATGAAGATGAGTTGCGAGAAGCATTATCTGAAACTCGATCTTTTGAGGAATTGGAACAAGAATATTCCTACAAATTTGAGGAATAATTTTTTTAAGGTCAAGTTCCAGTTGTTGTTGTAAAGTGTTAAATATATAAAATATCCAAAATCCCATTCCGAAACAAACGTTTACATGTTCATATTCCACTTTGAATCTCCTCATTCTTTCGATTTCACACAAAAAAATGTCATTGAAAAACAAATCATCTTCCTCTTTGAAACAACAACAAACATCCTCAAAATCAACGTTGAATCATCATTCTTCCAGAAACCATTCAACACCAACACCCTCATCGAAATCCTCATCTTCTTCTTCAACACCAAACTCCTCATCGTCATTAAAAAACACCTCTCTCCTTTCCGATCCTTTTCTTCAGACCTGTTCCATGACCAAACAAAGTGCTTGTTGCATTCTCATTCCTTCATCATCATCGTCAACCAATGATAATGACTCAACGAATACATCTTGTTCTCTCTTGTTTGATCACATTCAACATCTTCGACAGGAATGGGACAAGAGTTTCTCTCGATGGGAACCTCATCTCAATCTCTTGTATCCCTTTATTCATAAAAAGAATTTCTTTCGAGCAAAACAATGTATTGAACAAGCCATTCAAGAGCATTCGATTGAAAAATTTAGAGTCGATTTTCCACCTCATCATGTCTATTGTCGAGAATTTTCAAAATTTGTCATGACAAGTCCGTGTGAACAAGCTCAATTAGAACAATTTCAAAAAATCTATCGAGTGTTGAAGGAAATATTTCCACAATGTTCGTCAACTGGTAGTTCTCTTCAAGAGCATGCATCCACTGGTCGTTCATTGTCCTCTTCTTCTTCTTCATCAAAAGAAGAAGAAGAAGGCAATCATGAAGAATTTCATCCTCATTTAACTTTGGGACAATTATCAAATTCAAATTTAGCCAATGTGAAATCAAAGCATGCACGAAAAGCGACTTCTCAGAATTCTGATGACAACGAGAATGAATTTGAAAAATTGAAACAAGCTTGGATGGGAGGATCGTTTGAGGCGACGGAAATTGTGTTCTTGTGGAGAGAAAATGTCGAAGATCCGTTTCATGTGGCTGAAAGAATTTCACTTTTGTGAACATGTGTTGTGAAGTGACAAGACGTCGAAACACTAAACATTTGAAGAAGATTAATGACAAGATTGACGACAACAAATTCTTGAAATTATCATCTAGTAGTACTTGGTGGACGTTATGAATTTGTGGATTTTTGAGAGGTCTTTGGCAAATTCATATGAATACTTGATAATACGGAATCACTTTCAACATTTTCTAAAACACCAATTTCCTTCAGGAATGATTTTTTAAATGCAATTTACTTTCCAATTTTATCAAATGATTTTTGGAACCTTTCCAATGGAGATTGTATTTTACATCAAATCAAGTAAACATGAGATTCCTTGTGTCACCCTAAATCTCGATTTATTTGATCTGAAAGGAAACACCTCTCGAGAGGACGAAATTGAGAACTCCACAAAAAAATTGCCACTACTACTCTCTCACACAGAGTTGTCATCCTTCTCTCAATCCTTCTCACTCCTGTTGTGACTCCTATGTTATTAATACTATTCATTGTTGCTGTCACATGCGGTGTTACTCTCCATTGGCTTTATCACCACATTTATTTACCTTATTTGGATTGTCAAATCGATTTGAAGCAAGTGAAAAGAATTCCATCCATTCCTCCGAATTCCGAGAATCCAAATGCTCTCCTTGATACGGCTGTGATTGTTGGTGGAAGTTTTGCAGGACTCTCCACTGCCATGGTGTTGAGTTCATACTTTAGAAAGGTCATTATTATCGATCGAGGCCACATGGTAGAGAATGAATCCATTACAGACTCGAGACAGGGACAACAAGCGCATGTGATTGCTTATCGATCGTTATTGATTTGGGATCAATTATTGCCAGGCTTCTTGAAAGAACTTGAAGATTTAATTAAAAAGAACAAATTGAATCAATGGGTCTTTCCAAGCAAGGAATTGAAATATGACTTTAAGGGAATGAACATTTCAGACACATCTGCCATGAGAAAGAATCCATTGGTTTTTGCCACAAGAGGTCAAGTAGAAACTGTGTTGCGTCGTCGCGTTCGTTCCGAATTAGGAAATGTAAAAATCTATGAAGGTTATTCCGTCCATTCACAAGGTATTCATTATGAAAGAAAAGACGCAGATCACTCTTTGAAAATCACTGCAGTGACAGCCACAAAAATTGATGACCAAGCTTCCTCTCTCACATTTCCTTGTGATTTATTTGTCAATTGTGCTGGCGCTGGTTCTCATCATTTGTTGAAACACATTGAAAAGGAATTGCAAGTGAAAGGGTCCTTAAAAACCTCTGTTCTTACTCCTTCAAGTATTGATTGTAAAATTCGTTATCAAACCATTCTCTTTGAACCAAAAGAAGGCACTCTTGACAAGGATGGAAAAATTGCTCTCAACACTGTTTGTGAAAAAGTTGTCAATCAGAATCGAAAAATTGGAGATTTTTACACCATTGTGTATCACATGTTATCGTATCCTAGAAGAAGAGGTTTTCTTGCCATGCCTTATTCCAATGATCAATATTTAGTGCTCATAGCAACCTTTAATCAAAAGATAGACCCAATCGATGAAGAAAATGCAAAGGAACGAGTGTTTGAATTTGCTCAACAAGGTTCCATCGAAAATCCATTGCTTGAAAAAGATGTTCGACAAGTCATGTCAAAATTCAAAGATCGAGCTGTGAAGGTCATTCCCATCTTTGAAAAAAGTGGAAGTGAATTTGTGCATTATGAAAAATTGAGAAATCAATTAGAAGGATTTTTAGCTTTGGGTGACTCTGTGGCAAGTTTGAATCCTATTTATGGACAGGGTGTCACAATGGCTGCTGAATCGGTCTTACTCTTAAATGACCTTATTCAGAAACAATTGAAAATTTCCCAAAAAGGAAATCTTTTTAATGCTCGATTTTGTTCGAGTGTTCAAGAGGCCCTTTCAAAATCCTATTTCATTCCATGGCTTCTCTGCTCCACCACAGATCTCAGTTATGACTTTGCCAAATTCACTAAAGATCTTCAATTACAACGTCTCATCAGTCCCATCATGTGTTGGTTGTTGGATCGATTGTTTTTAGCAGCAAGTCAATATTCATGGGCTTCTGAATACTTTTTGAGAGTGGTTTTGATGGAACAAGGTTTTCGAAAAGAGTTGTTGAATCCAGTGTGGTTGTTTGGATACTTGTTTTGGAAAGAGAGTTTGGCGATGGTGTGTGGAGTGGTGGCCACATTGTATTTCATGAAATTTGGTTCTTTTTCTTCGTATCCATAGTGTATGTGCTGGTTGTTGTTGTTGAAGTGCTACTTTGTGAAGGACAACACCAATATTTCACATCCTTTTTTGGAAAAATAAAGCGCTCTGCATTCTTAAAACCTTAAAAACTTGAATCTTGTGAATGGATCTAAATAATAGAATAATACATGATTATCATGGAACTCTGTTTGACATCCAATGAACATAAAAAACTTTATACAAAGAAGAATTTCGTTGCAACATGTCTCTTGAGATGGATTCCGAACTGGAGTTCTTCCATTACACTCTCTTGATCTCATCCAAAAAGAATTGATCTCATCCAGAGAGACACAAACTGTCAAGAGAGATCCATTCAAATTTCAGTATATATTCATTGATCAATTTCCATGTTTTCCCCAACACCACGTCGATAGAAGATTACTTCAACAACAACAAAAAACAATTACTCAAAGAAAGGCCTAATTCTTTGTATCATTTCTTGACGTTCCAAAGCACTCAACTCTCTATTGTTATTTAATCCTTTTTCTTCTGTTACTACAATTATAACATGTATCAATGTGTGAAAAAGTCCAATTATTATTTATGGAATACCAATTTTGAGAAGGCCAAAGAATTTTGTGTTCCGCATCAACACATTCCTCGGATTGCTCTCAATTATTCCTGTATTAGTAGGTATTCTTTGTCATTATGATTGTCTTTCGAAAGACATTTTTTCTAACACGCACACACTTCTCCGAGTGAATCATTCAAATGAAATGATTGAATTTCACACACCAACCTCTCCAACCATTCATTCATTCCTTCACCCATTATTTCACCAACCATGTATTTCAAACACTCAACTTTCCGTTCTTTACAAATTCAATGAAATACATTATTCACAGATAGTTTCTTGGCTGGAATTTCAGGTGAAAGTTCAGCTCGTGACAAAGCTTTTGCTGATCTCGAACAAGCAGAACAATCTCTTAAAAATTGTTATTACAAGGAAGATATTTTGAAACTCATTGAACAAGTGAAGGAATTGAATAAGGAATGTGTCAGTCAAACAAATCAAAAGAGAGATGTAAATGCAGTGGCCACTGAAGAGGATTTTGATATTATTACCAATACTGAACATGCAAATTATATGGAATTGGAGAAAATGACACCTGATCAACAATATTTTAATTATGAATTGGATTTAAAGTTGTGTGACGCTGAGAATCACTTGTTGAGAGGACTCTTGCAATTTATGGGTGGATCTTATTTGAAAGGTTTTTACAATTTAAGAAAATCTTATTTGAAATATAAGGAAGTTTATCATCAAGCAGAAAGTTTGAAGAATGAATCCAAACAATCCAACAAGTTTGTTCATAGTGACGTTTTATTTGGTTCTTATTTTGGAATGGGGTAAGTGAAGAATGTGACCATTGACTTCAAATTGATTTCTTCTTCTTTCAATGTTTGACATTGATGTGACATTTCACCATTTAACTCCCTTACTTGCATCACTTTCTCACCACTCTCGCAGCATGTTCAACTTTATCCTTAGCGTTCTTCCACCCACCCTTGCCAAAATTTTAAGCGTTCTCGGATTCGATGCAGATCGTGAACTCGGACTCGATCTCATGACACAATGTTCTCAATATGGAGGTCTCCATTGTGGCCACGCCTCATTCATGTTGTGCATTAATTACTTGTTTGTTCCAAGAGCATTCAATGGACGTCAACAAAATCTCACCAAAGTGAAGCCCATTCTCGACATGGTGACACGGGCTTATCCCAATAGTGTTTATTTCAAGTTTGTCATTTCACATTATGATTTAAAGGCTGGAAATTTGGAAGGATGTTTGAATAATATTCGACAATGTGTCAATGGAATTCAACAAGGAACTTGTTACACTCCATACAATTATTTGACCGAGTTGGGCATTGGATTAATGTTGAGTTTGAAATTTGAAGAGGCTGAACAAATGTTGTCAGATATTGTGGAAAAACAAGAACACATGTTTGACAGCAAAGCGAATTGTGCACTCTTCTTGGTCGTGTGTCGAATTTTTAAAGGAGATTTAAAGAGAGCGAATGAATTAATTTCCAAATTATCAGATCATGTCTCTAAAAGTAGCAAACTCTTGTCTGAAAATATTGAACTCTTAAAGTATGTGAAGAGTGACGATGAGAAACAACTCGTCATGGTCTCCTCCTTCTTCCAATTGTTATATTTGAGAAGAGATTTAGCGAATTTGAAACCTTCACAAATTGAACCCTTATTTGAATTATTTAAAAAGTACACAGAAGGTGTTGTGATGGATGAAAAATCCAAAGTTCATGGAGATGTTTATGCTGGAATGGCAGTCATTCGTGCTCAAGTCTACAATGTGTTGGGAGATCATGAAAAGAGTTTACAAGAATTTCACACAGCTCTCTCCTATGAACACAAAATCAAATTTGAAAAACAATGGATTGCATTCTCATACTATGAATTGGCAGAAAACAAGTATTTGAATGAGTACAAGAGGGAAATGAGTCATCCACCACACGAAGATGTTGCTGCTTCTGCTTCTTTATTGAGTGAAAGCAAAAAGAAACAACTGATTGACATGCTACACGATGTGAAGGATAATCTTGTCAAGTGTAACAAGTACAGTGGATATCCATTTGAAGAAGTTTTACATACACGAGCCAAGTTGGCTTTGAAACAAGTGGAAGAGGATCTAAAAATAATATCACATTCTCGTCATCATTGAAGATGTGCTCGAAGGTATGAGAAGTGTGAAATGTTGGTCCAATTAGAATCGAAGAATTCTTATAAAATACCATGTCAAATAATAATAAATTCTCTCTTTTGATCTCACTCTGACATTCAGCCAGACAAAATAAAATCATCACTCCCCCAAGTGGGCTCGAACCACTGACCTGCAGATTAACAGTCTGACGCTCTACCGACTGAGCTATGGGGGATATTCATGAATTCTAGTGCAAAACTTTTTAGGTTTAATGATCATTGTACAGTTCTTCATCATCGAGTCCGAAAATTACTTTCTTTTTTGATTGGTCGAGTTTGGATGGTGTCTTGTTTCGATGATATGTTCAATTTAACAGTGTCATTAATTAAATCCTAATATATTTTGAATTTTGAAAAAAAAATTTGCAAGCATTCTTCGCTGACATGACTGAAGACTGGGAACAAGCCGAAATCGATAGCAAGCCCTTCGCTAATACAAATGAAGGAGAAGAAGACTGGGAAGAATTCGATCTTGATGCTGTTGAAAAAAAACAACAAGAAGAGTTGAAGAAAAAGCAAGAGCAACAAGCCGAACTAGAAAAACAAGAAAAACTAAAGAAACAACAACAGAAAGAAAAGAAAAAGAATGAACGTCCAGTGGCATCGCCAACAGCACCAACATCCGGTTCGGGAGCCGAGAATAAGAAGGCAGAAGGAATGTATCTAGACTATCAAGAAAAGAAATCTTCCTATGATGAAGCCGAAGCTTTAGTCGGCGGAGGAGAATTTGTAAAACCAAAGATTGATTTGTTGCAACCAAAAACTGAAAAGGAATTCCAAGAATTTGGTAGATTGGTTGCTGAAAAGTTGTGTGAATTTGATGTAAGTAATCGGATTAGCACCTGCTCAATTTTTGAATCATCATTATCCAATAATCATGTTGATTATTGCCATTTCAATATTGTTATTGGTTCCACCTTATAATTGTTCTAAATTGAATTTTTGATACATTTCTATTTAATATGGTCGATAACTTGAAATTGCCAATTAATTGAAAATTTTGTGCAATCATTAATAATAGGAAAGCAAATATTATATGGATTTGATGAGATTAATTATCGAAGAGGCAACTGTCAATTTGGATAGTGCTCAGCTCAGAGACTTGGCAAAACATGTTACAAACGTTTCTAACAAGAGACTGGAGGAAGAAAAGGAAAGAAAAGGAGGAAAGAAAAAGAAGAAGACAAACATCAACCTGGAAAGAGACATTAGTTCAAATGCCGATCCATTTGCAGACTTGGGTGACGGCACTGGTGGACGTACACGATATGACGATGATGATTTCATGTAAGCCTTAGTATGAAGAGACTCCTATTTATTGTTGGCTTGTGTGTTGACAACAGCAATGAGATTTGGATTCCCTTGAGCAAATTCGTATGTTATTGTTGCTAACATGATGTGTCCAACTAAGAGAGAAATTAATTTTGCTAAAGTTGATCAATAAACCATTATCGATATGGTCGAAAATAGTTTATACAACTGACTCATGCATTCCCCACAACAGTTTCGATCGGTGGCGAACGTTGTGCTCTCGAATTGAAGCCCCTTCCTGGAACTTGCGGACTCTCTCGGGTATACATCTCTCCAACTGTCGACAAACAGACACTTTGACCTGCCCCGTATCAACATCATAAAAAATATAGGCAGCGAGTTTGTTCGAACAAAAATCATCGATTCTCTCAAAGTCAAGTGCTATGAATATCTTTGTATCGAGTTCATCAGACTGCCATGGCATCCTCAGAAAACAACAACAACAACAACTTCACTTCGCCTTATTCATCTACCTCCAAGACCTACAAGGAAGATGAACAAGATCGAATTTTCCAACAACTGCTACATCCTGAAAAAGAGCTCAACAAGATCGGAGTTAGCCTAGCACTAGTGCCCACCCTCTACGGAATACTATTTTGTTGGGAGAGAGGAATTCAGGCATTCCTTGTGCTCACCTTTGGAGAAATTTCATCACAAATTCTGCTCAACGTGGTGATTCAACGATTTGCCACGAACTTGACGCAATTTTCAGTTATCAATTTGTTTCGAATTCCCATTATCATGAGTGTACAGTTTTTCATGTATTTCTTTTACGGACCCTTAGTGCCCTATCACGTATTTTCGATATTCCGAATATTAATTGCCTCAAATAATTGTTATTATGACATTCGATTGTTACTAGTACATGGGCTGGGAAATGTAATCTCTACCGTTGGAGGCATGTATTATTCATATCTCAAAGAACGGCATACGCTTTCTCCGTGTGAGGAGGCCATATTTCCCCACAAGTTGATGGAAGTGATTGTTTTACAGTACTTAGTTTGGGTCGGATCAATATTATTTTCGTATTATGTCAAAAAAAGAAATGATGAGTACACGGAAAACCAAATAGAGATTGCAAAGGAAAAACATCTCAACACTGAAAAGACAAAGTTCATTGCCAATTTGAGTCATGAAGCGAGAAATTCATTGCAAGGAATCATGGCAACAGTGGAAGTTTTGAAACACAAATTTCATGATGGAATTTGCATGAAGAGTTGTGAACATTGTTTCAAAAAGGACAGTGCCATTTCTGAATTGATTGGAGATATTCAATCAAGTGCATCCATATTGTTGCACATTTTGTCATCCTCTTTGCAAATGAGTTCACTTGAAATGGGAACCATCAAATTGAAGAATGAAGAATTCAACATTTTATCATTATTTGAATCAATGACAGGAGTATTTTCATTGGAAGCTCAAGGTAAAAACCTTTCATTGAATTCATTCTTTGATGCATCCAAAGTTCCATTGAATTTGAAAGGAGATTCAGTTCGAGTGAGTCAAATATTGATGAATATCATTTCGAATGCCATCAAATATACTTCTCAAGGATTTGTGAGAGTGAATTGTACATGTGCAAATGAAAAAGAACTTGGAGAATTTTACAATGAAATTGAAGAAGAAAAGAGTTATGTGAAATTTGAATGTATTGACACTGGATGTGGAATTGCTCATGATCAACTTGGAAAATTATTTCAACCCTATTCTACGATTGATTCAAACACGGATGTCACTCATCGGTTTGATTTTTATTTCAAAACAGTTTCAAACAATGCAAGTGTCAACAACGGAGGAAGTAGTTTGATCAATACAAATAGAAATGGTTTGGGTTTGAATATAACAAAACTACTGGTTGAGAAAATGAATGGAAAAATTCAAATTGCCAGTGCATTATCTAAAGGAACCACCATCAGTGTAATAATTCCATTCGAGAGAGTGAACGACCGCCCTGCTCTCAAAGAAGGAATTAAGGAAAAACTACCTGTCAATAGCATACCAACGATACTAAGCGAACCATATCCACCAAATGGGAAGTTTTCAGCTATTGTGATTGATGAAGATGAATATTTTAGGAAAAACTTGATACAGTATTTGGAATTGTTCAAGAGGGTGAATACCATTTTAGAATTTGACTCTTTTCAAAGCTTTTCAAGTGATTGTGATCACACTCTACGTTTCTCTATAACGCCACCACAACTTGACTCTCGTATTCTGGTATTTTGCATGGAAGGGGACATGCAGAACACTTCTCAACTCATTCTCAAGTATCGAAGTGATTGTAATAATATCCAAATAGTCCCTACCTTACCAAGAGGAGCAACAAGACTATTTTCTCACAAGGTGTATCTTTCAAAGCCAGTTCATTTTTCTGATTTATTTGAAATTGTTGTTGGAGGCAACATGGAACAGGAGCAACATAAGGGTCAACCTATTGAGAACAGAACAAACACCGACGATTTTCTCGCAAAACCAGTCCTCGTTGCAGATGATAATGCAGTGAATCGAAAAATCTTGGTGAATATTTTGAAAATAATTGGATTCAAAGATATTGACACAGCAAATGATGGATTGGATTGTTTCAACAAATTCAAACAGAAAGATTATTCATTGATTTTGTTGGATTGTTTCATGCCTGTCATGACGTAAGTAATAATTCAACATGCATTATTTAAATCTTTTTAATTTAATCATGCTCTTTATTTTACTCTCATCATCAATGTTTATGAAAACAATCACTGAATGTCTTTGATTGTTCAATGAATGAAACGATTCAGTGGAAGAGAATCATGTGAAATGATTCGAAATTTTGAAAAACAAAAAGATCGTGGAGAAAAACGAATTCCAATTTTTGCCATCACTGCAAACACATGGGAAACAAAAGAACAACTCTTATCTCAAGGTTTTGATGATGTTTTATACAAACCCATCTCCCTCAATGATTTGAGAAATAAGATTATGGAACTAAATTTGGGCATTCCACCATCCAACCAAACTTTCAGTGGCTGCACTGATCCATCTGGTTTGTAACACCAAAAGATGGGCAGAACACTTTTACTTGGATACAATTAATTGTCTTCTACAAGTTGGACATGTAGTTTAAAATATGAACCAAATGACGCAAATCATGGCAAATGAAATCAGGTTGATACTCTTCAACACAATGTGTGTGAGTGTCTGTCCAGTGCATTTCAGAAGTGTAGAGACAAGAAAAAGCCCCAGCGTTTTTGGCACACAAAATATCATGAAAGGAATCCCCAACCATTAAAATATTTGATGGTGATTTTAAATTCAATGTTTGTGCAATATGTAACAAACATCCAGGATTTGGTTTGTAAGGTAAAAATTCTCTAGAGAGCAGAATGGTGAAAAAATCAGAATATTTTGGTCCCAATTTGTCAACAAAGAACTTTAAGCTTTTTTTCTGAATTGCGTGTCACCACAGCAAAATGTTTCGAAGTTTCGACCACAGTAGAATTTGTATTTTGTTGTTGTTGTTGATCTGGAGGTGGTGCTGTTGTTGTTGTTTCCGTTTCGACCACCAAATTGGTTTGATTTTTTGGTATAAGTTGGGTCATTTTCAATTTTAAGAGCTCGTCCAATAAGTCAAATAAATGTGGTTGAAATGCAAGTTTAGCATTCGCTTCTTCCTCAATACGATCAATAATATCGAAAAGTCTCTTCTTTTCATTTTCATCACTCAAAGCATGAATGGTCGTTAATAAATCTTGTGGAGCTTGAATTCCTGTTTCCGTACGCATCTTTTTAAAATCAATACATGGAATTGTGAGAGTACCATCCATGTCGAAAACAATGGATTGAATATTTGGTTTGGGATGATTCCATGCTTCAAATCTCTTGTGAGCAAAATAATAATCTTGTGAAGCAGTTTCGTCCGACGACTGCAGATGGACGGAACTATTTTGTTGACCAACACTCAACGTTGAACCATTATGAGTGCTTGTTATTGTGGTGGTGAGTGGCACACTAGCGGAAGCAGAGGATTGATTCGCATTCAACACAAATACTTTCCGATAGAGTTGATTGAAGTGAGTGTGATGATTATGTCGCAGAGAAGAGAACTTCATTTTTTAAAGACTGAGGCAAATCAGTTGTCAAATCTTTAAAAAGATGAAAAAGAAAATCGAATATATTTGGTATTATTGAAATTTCAGAGCTGATCACCCTCCTCCAAAAAAATAAGGTTTTGGTTCTCCATCCTTACTTAATCGAATATCTCCTGCCCATTGATCGGGGAGTTTGCAAGTGGCATAAATAGTACATGCTTGCGAATAAAATCGACACATGGCCATTACAAAAGGATTACTTGTGGTGCCAGTTCTAATTTGTTTGGTTACTTCGAGGCATTGCTCGAATTTTCTAGATTGAAATAATGAAACAACTTGTGAAATAGTAGAGCTTTCAAAAAGATCTGCATTTTGAATAATGGTTGTCCATTTCTTTCCTTTGATGGCATACAAATCACGAGCAAATTGCTTCCCTTTCAAAATAAATTTTCCAATATAAATAATGTAGGCATCTGTAATGGATAAATGACTCGAATTGATAACACTCTCAGTGACAATGATTCGAGATTTAAATGACCTGGTGAGCGATTCACAACGAGAAGCAACATTGGTCGTATCAGAGATGACAGTAGCATCTAATCGGTCTTCATATCCAATAGTTCCCAGACTCACCTTTGTTGTTATCATTTGTTATTATTAAATAATTTGAGAGTTTTTCACACGTTATTTTTTTCATAATCAATAATAATGGTTAACGGTTAATATTAAAGCAAATGAAATCGTATTTGCACTTACAACGCCATTAGAGATACCAATTCCCATTTTTACGTTATAAACATTCTCCTTATTGAATTTTTCCAATTCTGATATCATTTCCAAAGAAGCACTCACTGCTGATTGAGGGTCAGGAAACAGTGCCAAAATACCATCTCCCAATATCTTATCGATAAATCCGCCATACTTGCTTATGGGAGGTGCTATCTGCAGTAAGAATTGTAAATTTATAATGTTTGTAACCAAGAAACATGTGGTTGAAAAATACTGACCTTAAACAATAATTGATTGATGAAACCAAATCCTTCTTTAGCGGAAAGAGACTCTATCAGTTCTGTAAAACCATAAATGTCTGAAAAAAGCACAGTCATCTCACGAGCAATAGCATCTCCAGGTTTGACTTTGGTCACATGTGACTTTCCAAGGAGCTTGAGAAATTCAGATGGTAAAAATCTAGCATATGACTTATTGATAGAACTAAATATCTTCGCATTGTCAATACTAATGGATATGATCAACTTGGCAATATTGATCTTTTCCAAAGTGAATGCATCTTCGATTTCTCTATTTTCGAGATAGACACAACCAATCACACTTTTTTCACGTATAATTGGCAAACACAACGCAGAGGAAACATGAGATTTCTCAAAATATGGATCATATTCTCTTGATTGTGAAAATACCTGCTCAAATCTGGTACGTATTGTCCTGTATATCATGTTCAAAGGTAATCTACCAGCTAGTTTGTCAATTGATGCTTCTTCATGATTTATGTGTGGTGGTATACTCTCTTTTGGGTTTAGTTCATCGTTGACCTCTGCATCCAAATAAAGCTTATTGTTTCTTTTGAGGAGTAAACAGCTTCGGTTCGAATCAGCATGCTCATTGAGCAAAGGTAAAATGGAAATAAATATCTCTTTGAAGTCAACTTCATTGCTCTCAACAAATCTGCTCTTTGTAATGGATGTCAAAGAAAATTCTTGTTGTGCGATCGTGGTAGAACTTTTATCGGAGGAGCTTGATGACGACGGTGCAGCTGCACCAACCTCTCGTTCATAAGCGTCTATTTGCTCCTTATAATTCTCACAAATATAATTCACCATGAGTGATGCACCCATTTCATTAAATTGCTCGTACGCATTTGTAAAATACTTTCCAGAAATGCTGTCAAAGAGGTTGAGATCTTTAAATAGCTCTCCCAACTTCAAGTTGCAAAACTTGACCATAAAGTGATTTCTTTCTTGAGTTGCAAGAGTCAAACTTTGAATTAGAAGACCAATAATTTGCCTAGTATAATCATGACCAAATCTTAAATAGTCACAGAATAACTTCTCTGCTTTGATCAATGCAAATGGACTCGGGAAAATGAGAGGGTTACATTTACAAAGTCTTTCCAATCGTTGGAGTACGTCCTCAATGATCTTGTCACTTTTTTCAAGTCGTTCTTCTTGACCGGCTATGTGATTCAGAAGAATGTGCTTTTGAAATTCGCAACACACTAAACCTTGAGATATTACCAATATCCACTCAACACACATTCCAAATGTTTCTTCTTTAAAATCAAAGGTCTGTTCAATGCACGCGAAAGACTCTTCCCATTGTTGCTGAAAGTACAGAGAAATTGCTTTAAACATGAAGTGCATACATCGAAAATAGGGATAATGAATAACATCACTAGTATATGGAGGATCAAAACTCTCCTGCTCGCCACAAATAACTCTCTTCATTTCAAGAATCATATTGCTGGTATCCAAAAGATAACAATTTTCAATTCCCTTAATAATGGAAATACACTGCTTGCTTAGCTCTATGGAAGTTTTCATGTCAGAATTGGCAAAAAATAAATGATAGAACGGATAAAAGGTTATAGTAAATACTCCATAAGTCCTATTGTTGCACTTGACTGTTAATAGAAAAGCTTCTTCCACCAAGTTCCACACTTCCAAGCAATTGATATTTGGATATAAAGCAAAACTCATAATCTTCAATAAGAGACATGAAGACAATTGTAGTGGATTTTTGTATCGATTTTTTGCCAGCTCAATTGCACTCTCTATAAACAGTGTCATCCTTGGGAACAACTCAAATGTGCTCCAAAAATGGGAGCAGACTGCGAGCAAAATAGGAGATTCTGGACTTAAACCATGCTTGAGCACTTTTTCAAATGCTATGAGCACACAAGTCATGAAAATATATCTGCTATTGGGAATAAGCATACTGTCCAGAGATTTCATATGGAAGATTGCAGGATTACTCTGAGAAAGGGCTTGAATAAAATACATTTCCTCTATATCTGTCATATCAGGCAATTCTAAAATGTCCTTTTTTGTAGTAAATTTAAGAATAAGATTCTTTTTCATATCTTTCATCTTGTTGTCGATCCATTCTTTTAGAAAATCGGCATTTCTGTTTGAAGGTACCGTCAAAAATTTCAATTCCTCGAACACAGGAAAAATGTGGTTCATCAACAATTCAAAGACGGCCTCAAATTTTCCTTGAGCCAAATAACCCATCTCGAGATTATAGCAAGCCTCAAAAACATGTAATCTTGTTTTTGCTCGTTGTAGAGCAGTATTGAATATATCGATCGCAGAGCCAACATTGGTCACAAATTCGCAATTTCCTTTTATCATGAACAGCTCAAAAGTGGTCGGATATAACGGATCTTCCCAAATGTCTTTCTCGAGTTGTAACATTTCCAGAGCCGTGTTCACGAATATCGTTGCTTGCTCTACTGCACAGCAGCTAATTGCCTTTTTAGCAGCCATCTTGTTTAATTCTAACAGAAGTCTTCGCTTCTCTGAGGATTTAAGAATTTTAGGGTCTTTTGACCTATGATTTAAATGAACTACAATGTCAAATATTACATCATCCTGGGCAATTTCCCCAGTTTTGACCTTTTGCAAAAGATATTTTCCATATTTGTAATGAATCTTTGCTTTTTCTGATTCTGATATAGATGCATTTGCTGCATGTTGTAATCGGTCATGATTGAATTGGAAAGTATGGGTGTCAATATAACTGATCCAACCTTCTTTGACTCCGTGATCGAGAATTTCCTTCAGCTCCAATGCAGAGTGTTCTTCTTTTTTAATGTTGATCAAGTGAAGTAAATGTTGGAATAAAGCTTTGCATCCAATACATGAAGCATACGCTAATGCTTTTTTAGTATCTGGAAGCATGCAATCAAATCGGATCAACAAAAAGTCTACAACATTGTCTGAATATTTCACTCGATCTATTTCTTCCAAATTCCAAGAAATTGCTTGTAAAGACCGATTAAAATATATTTTTTCTTCCTTGAAAAGTGTTACGAGCAGTTGTTTCAAGAAGAATGGATTGCCTTGCGTCTTTAAATACAGCAATTTTGTGAGCTTTTCAGTATCTCGTGGGGTGCGGTGTAGTGACGCCGCAACAAGATGATTGCAATCATCTTCGGTAAGATCAGAGACTTCTATGTCTGTTATGGAGGCAATTGATCGAGCTGAATCAAGAAAAACGTTCAATGGATGAAGATGGTTATTTTTCACCTCATTATCTCGATATGCGAATATCAAAAGTAATGGAAAGCTTTCACAGGTTCCCAAACCCATAATTTCCTTCAATAGCTTCATCGATTCAAAATCTGCCCACTGTACATCGTCCAAGAAAATGGTTATCGGCTTGTGCTTCATTTGATTATATATTTTTAACATGTAAATTACTGTTTCGGTTAGTAAAGACAATTAAAACAATTTCCTTTGCTAAACATACCTCCTTGAGAAAATAATTTGATTGCTTCTTGATGTTCTTTCAAAACAATTGCACAAGATCTATTTTGACAGGACGGAAATATTAAACCAAAGCTTGGAATAGCTTCGCAAAGCATATCAAGCTGAAAACTATTAAGGCGTGTAAGAATATAGCTTCTAAATTCGGCGATAAAATCCTCTGATTCACCAAGCACTGCTTCAATTACAGTGGAAATGATAGACGTAAAGGCAAAAAAAGGAACATTTTGATTCTGATCGTACTTGGCTTCGAAGTAAGCAATAGCGTCCTTGCATCTGTTTCTAAACTCTCTAACAATACTTGTTTTGCCTGATATTATTTTATAGAAATTTAGCATATCGAACAATACTTACCAACACCGCTATATCCTCGTAGCATGATTAAAGTTGGCACTTGCATAGTGGTCATGGCTTGCAAAAGATTCTCCATTTGATCAATAATGGAGTCCCTTCCATACACAGCAAAAGGAATGGAAAGAGTTGTTTGGACGTCGTGTTGTCCTGGAATAAAGTTATGGAGGCAGAAATTGTCTGCTTTTTTCAAACATGTCAAAATACAATCTAGATCACCTATAACACCTCTCATGCAAAAGTATCTTTTTTCGATGGATTTTTGAACCATCTTGTTAATAACAAGCGAGATGGCATGAATTACAGTTGCAAACAATTCAGAACTTTCTTCCCTAAATATTTCTCTACGTTTCAAATTTTGATACAGTGATTCTGGTTGTTTTGTGATATGTGAGAATATGAAATCAGAACTTTTCACACAGCTATTGAATGGATGGTCTTTAGCAATCAATTCAAACAATACAAATCCAAGAGTGTAAATATCGCTGTAAAATCCAATGGGTTTTGGAAGGCGGCCTGTTGCTTCTGGAGATATATATCGAACATTTCCTTTTGGTTTTGAGGTGTATATATAAGGATTGGACAAGGGTAATAGCTCACTGAGGCCAAAATCAATAATTATTACTGTTGAATTACTATGATCATAAATAATGTTATCAGGAGCAAGATCGCAATGGCACACTCTCAACGTGTGCATCTGGTCAACATCCTTACATAGCTTGATGGCAATTTCTATATTCTTTTGGAGCGTATCTAGATCTGCTGTTGGATTTTCGAGAGTCAACTGTTTCAATGAGGATCCATCAATAAATTCCCTCACAATAATAAAATATTCTTTAAGATGAGCATAAATTGAAGGAGCTATCTTATTGGCGTTCTGAAGACTCTTTTCAAGATATCTGGAAATAGATGCATCTTTCTCTAATTGAGATGCTGACGAGGGGGTTAATGACATCTTTACGGTATAAACTGTATCACTGTCCAAACGAAGAGGCACAAAACCCGGGTATTCTTGTGGTACATATTTACATGTAATCACAACAGTTGTGTTCCTATCGTAATGGATAATTGGAGATGCAAAATTGTCAGCTATTACTGGTAAAAAGAATGGAGGTAGTCCCAGACTCGATGTAAAGTAATTATCATGTGATATGGGAGATTTATGCATGCTCTCTCCAGGTTGGTTCATTGAAGGCCCTCCCGAAACTTGTCTTGCACCAACAAAAGTTGATTCCGATTGTGCGAACGCGTTTGCAGCATCATGTTTGCTTTCTTCTGTTTTCGAAGAGAAATCATATGTAGGTGGCAACATTTTTCTTGTTAATTCTTAATATTCATTGTTTGTCCAAATGTGCACATGTGTTATTGTTGGATTGAGCGAGTTAAGCTCGTCGTGCACTGTTCGAAATAATTGTTTGGACCACTTTTGGAGAAATTCCGTTTGAATTATAAATGGTTTCCTTCTGATGCCAATATACCAAAGTACTTTAGTCATCATCAAATTATTAATCGAACATAAATTTCCTTCTTCATTAAAAAACATCCAAAGCCAATGACCAGCTTCGGAAAGTTTCTTCGATTGAACAATCATCACGCTCACTTCAGAAAATCAGAGATACTGCCCATGGAGTCAAACGGATGATGTCTCATTTTTAGTTTGCCCATTTTTGGTGATGTACACCCACACAACCTTCACATCTGTGGACGTGATGATGTGATGTATCCTCGGCTCTGGGAACATCCATCAACTCTTACGTAGTATCATCAACAGGTAATAAATGATGAGCATCTATACGAACACGATTAAACCACACAAGAAAACATTGTCCTAACAACACACCTCTCCTTACTTTCTCATATAATATTACGGAAATGTTCGAATTTGTGACCCTCCATCGAGATCCTTCTCCATCTCGTAAAAGATCTTCGATCGGAAAGAATCATAACTCAAGCAACAGCAGCTTAGCCAGTGAATATGCAGCTTTGGCAGCTACCCAAGTCAAGATTTCAGTGCTGGGATCGGAGCAAGTGGGTAAAACAACCTTAATCAATCAATACGTTACAAAGCAACATCAACAAGCTACATGTACAAAGGTTCATGAGCCAACCGTTTACAACTTTTCCTATGCCACAGTGAATATGAATGTGCAACATGGTTCAGGACGTAATAGTGGATCCTCTTCGTCCCATCATCATTATGATTCCTCACAATTACCTCCTCAACAACAACAACAACAGACAAAGGTAGGTTGAAGTTCAAAAGGATTGTTTGTTCATAGGCTCAATCCCATTGGGATCATTTCGATGCTTATGAATTTTAAAGCCTTTTTGTTTGTACTTTTCAGAATGTTCTGCTCGTGAAGAGTATTCGCAACTGAGACAAATTAGCTATGAGCAAACTGATATTTTCGTTGTGTGTTTTCGATTGGACGATGAAAGGTCGTTTGTGGAGGCCATTGATACATGGATGTCAGAGGCTAAACATGCAGCTTGTCAGGCAGCAAACAGCACCGCAACTAGTGTTCACAGATCCAGACTGGTCCTACTTGGATTGAGATTCATCGACAACAGTACTGGGGAATTGTTGCAAAATGCTTCGTCAGAATCCACATTTATCAATCAGGAAACAGAATCAATGCTTAAAACGACTGAGGAAAAACTCATCACTGATGTCACCACACAAAGGAGAATCTCTTTGGAATCATTGCCATCACTAAATCTTGAGGTTATTGACATCAAGGCAGAACAACCCGAACTAGTGTTGAACCCAATCAAAAGTAGTAGTGGTTTTAGACCACGCCTCAAATCCTATTCATCACGAAAGAGATCACAACCACTATGCTGTTCCTCTTTCAATGAGAAACGAAGAGGATGTACAGTTCACCTTAATAACTTGAGCGTTGGAGGATCTTTGAATTATACTTTCATGGCGAACGATTCAAATAGAAAAGTCAGTTGGGGAATGATCGAGCAAGGAAGAAAAGAGTTGCTGAAGCGAGGAGTAGACCATGTGTACTATGAGTGTTGTGCTACTAACCAAGGAAATGTGCAATTTGTGATTGAGGAATGTGTGAGAGAATATTATCACCAACTCATGGCTAATGCAACCTCATCAAATTCAAAACGATTCTCCAATCGAGTATCCTTGTAAATTTTCATCTTTGTCTCAGAGAATTACGTCTTGTATCTGTTTTTTCAAATCATTGAGGGAGATGGGTTTGTATAAAACATCATCAAAACCTTGAAATAAGAGTTGTTCTTTTGTTTCCCATGTGTTTGCAGTGATGGCAAAAATTGGAATTCGTTTTTCTCCACGATCTTTTTGTTTTTCAAAATTTCGAATCATTTCACATGATTCTCTTCCACTGAATCGTTTCATTCATTGAACAATCAAAGACATTCAGTGATTGTTTTCATAAACATTGATGATGAGAGTAAAATAAAGAGCATGATTAAATTAAAAAGATTTAAATAATGCATGTTGAATTATTACTTACGTCATGACAGGCATGAAACAATCCAACAAAATCAATGAATAATCTTTCTGTTTGAATTTGTTGAAACAATCCAATCCATCATTTGCTGTGTCAATATCTTTGAATCCAATTATTTTCAAAATATTCACCAAGATTTTTCGATTCACTGCATTATCATCTGCAACGAGAACTGATTTGTTAGCAAACTCTCCCAACGAACTTCTTGGCTTATCACCAATAATCATGTTTTGCTTGATCACTCCGTTATCATCGAAAATCTCCACCAAATCTCTCAATAAGATAGGCTTTGAGAGATAATGCATGTCAGCATATAATCTGCTGGACCCTCTTAAAACGGTTAGAATAATTTTAACATCTCCCTCTGGATTAAAAGCTTTAGATATTTTCTCGAACTCTTTTTCGTTGCAGAAAATGAGGCAGCGTCGATTTTCTGATTTGAATTTTTCAATAAATTCTTCTGCAAATTCGAATTCCTCAATGGCGTGTACTCTCTTAAATATTTCTAAATAGGATTTTAAACAATCTCTAAAGCTCTTATTCTCGTCAATTATGAAAACGGCTATCTTATTACCTGATTGAGCAGGTTCTTTCAACATTTGAGATAAGTTTTTGGAGTTTAATCTTTCACCTCTGTCAACTGAGTGTTCATGGCCTGGAATCATTTTAAAAGGAATAACTACTGAAACGGTTGTACCTTTCCCTTTGACACTATCAACAACGATTCTACCGTTCATTTTCTCAACCAAAAGCTTCGTAATGCTAAGACCTAGTCCATTTCTGTTTGTATTGATCAAACTACTTCCTCCGTTGTTGACACTTGCATTGTTTGAAACTGTTTTGAAATAAAAATCAAACCGATGAGTGACATCCGTGTTTGAATCAATCGTAGAATAGGGTTGAAATAATTTTCCAAGTTGATCATGAGCAATTCCACATCCAGTGTCAATACATTCAAATTTCACATAACTCTTTTTCTTCTTCAATTTCATTGTAAAATTCTCCAAGTTCTTTTTCATTTGCACATGTACAATTCACTCTCACAAATCCTTGAGAAGTATATTTGATGGCATTCGAAATGATATTCATCAATATTTGACTCACTCGAACTGAATCTCCTTTCAAATTCAATGGAACTTTGGATGCATCAAAGAATGAATTCAATGAAAGGTTTTTACCTTGAGCTTCCAATGAAAATACTCCTGTCATTGATTCAAATAATGATAAAATGTTGAATTCTTCATTCTTCAATTTGATGGTTCCCATTTCAAGTGAACTCATTTGCAAAGAGGATGACAAAATGTGCAACAATATGGATGCACTTGATTGAATATCTCCAATCAATTCAGAAATGGCACTGTCCTTTTTGAAACAATGTTCACAACTCTTCATGCAAATTCCATCATGAAATTTGTGTTTCAAAACTTCCACTGTTGCCATGATTCCTTGCAATGAATTTCTCGCTTCATGACTCAAATTGGCAATGAACTTTGTCTTTTCAGTGTTGATGTACTTTTCTCTTAAGATTTCAATGTCAGTTTTATGCTTTTCCTCGTAATGTTTTTTTCATGAAATGAGAGAACAGAAAAGATCCTAAAAAGATGGTATAATGCACAACGAAAACTTCAATCAAGCGTTGAAAAAACCAACGTTCCTCCGCATGAGTCAATAAATGTCGTTCCCTTACAAACGACATGTACATTCCTCCCAAGGTTGATACTGATAAACCAAATGCCACAACAAAAAACAATCGGTTATCAAGGAAACTGGTCCTTGAGGCAATGAAAATCCTAAAGGATGAGAATAGGTGAAAAGGTATAAAGGGGCCATAGTTATGATACACCAAGAAAATCACAACAATCATCATCCCCAATCGACCCATATTCCAAGCATTGAAAGATTTCAAAGTTTTGGCGTATTTCACGACACATATATTCAAGGTAATATGAAGAACAAGTTCAACGGAAGCCAACAACATGAACGTTGCAGGCCCTCGCTCCCAACAGAAGGTAGTCCCGATGATGATCGGAACCACAAAGAAAAACACTCCTATTTTGCTCAAATCTCGCTGTTGCCCTAGCAATAGTGCAAGTTTTTCGTTCTCTTCCGAGATGGATGATTTTGTTTGTTGCTGATATTCCTTAGTTGCATCCGAAGCTGTTCTTGAATGATGCTCCATGATTATACTAGATCATAAATATCAGGTTCAGATATCAGAATATTTCAAAATATTATGGTTGTCTTGGTTGAAGTTGTGGTGATTCAAATTGCGGTGCTGATAGTTACTGATAATACTAATAATTTTTTTTGTTCTAGAATCGTATACTTATCGTATACTTATTTGGGAATAGAACCCGACATTTCTGGTGTTGACAATTAGTTTCCCAATAATGTCTCACATGCGAAGGGTGCACTGCTTTTTGGTTGAAAGTTTATTCACTTCTTCTCTCCAAAGATCATGGACGTATTTCCACCACTAATGATCATTCCAATATTCTTCCATTCATTCTCGAGAGCCAATTGTTTAAATTCGTCATGGTAGAGAGCCAGTGCCACCACAGTTGCACTCGAAGGTTCAATCACAATTTTCATTCGTTCCCAAACGAGTTTCATTGCTTTCAATACCTGATCGTCAGAGACTGTAAAAATTCGATCGACATATTTGGAAATGTAATGAAAAGTACGTTCTGAGAGATTGGTTTTCAGTCCATCACAAATCGTATTCGATGGCACATTGGGATCATTACCAATTAATTGTTTGGCTTGGAGGGATTTTTGTGCATCATTGACAAGTTCTGGCTCAACACCAATCACCATGGTTTTTCTCGAGCTTTTCATCTCTCAATTCGAGAGCTGCCTTCTCTTTAAAGTAGAGAGAACTACCTGAAGAGAGTCCTCCACCTCCAACTGGAACGATCAACACATCCAATGGGAAATGTGAATGGCAAATGTCTTTTTGTTCCTCTTTCAATTGTTCCAATAATTCTTTTACAGCAGTTCCTTGTCCTGCAATGACATCATCATTGTCGTAGGGGTGAATGAACATTGCTCCAGTCTCTTTCATGATCTTTTCACATGTTTCTTCTCTTGCTTTTAGTGTAGGTTCACACAAGACGACACGAGCTCCGTAAGTTTGTTCCACAGCATTCTTTTTCACATCTGGAGAATTGGAAGGCATGACCACATGAGCTGGAATTCCTAACATTTGAGATGTTTTAGCAATGGCTTGAGCATGATTTCCTGATTTCGAGTGTGTACAAATGTCATCATCATATTTGAAATTTCAATATATTTCATGATGAAAGAGTGGTGTGAAATGACAACACACAAGATGTGGTCGGATCCGATGAATGTTGTGATCAATATTACGACCATGATTATTTTGCAAAATGATGCATTGAGTCTCCGAACTTACCTGATGAGTGTGTGGTGACTCCTCCTTCTTTGATTTTTCTCTTCAATTCATCATCACCATTTTCCAATGCCTTTAACACTGCATTTGTGGCACCTCTAATTTTAAAAGCTCCTAAATGAATGAACATCACGACATGACATTTGCAACATGATAACATTTAAAAACAATAGGATGCGCCATACGAACCCACTTTGTTAAAATTTTCACACTTTAAATATAAAGTACAACCAGGAATTCCAGTCATTGCGGAAAGTGTTGAGCTACTGAGCACAGGTGTGCGATGAATATATTTGATGATTCGTTCCGAAGCTCTCTCCACATCTTGAATCGAGAGTTCTGTTGTTAATGGTGGTGAAGAATGTTGAAAAGACATTTTTTCAAGTGTGAGTGGTTGTAAACTTGGATTGTAAAACAACAATTCTTTTCATTTCATTTTATATCTATGTTTATCAAATAGTTCAAGCTTTCTAAAATTCCATGTCATCCATGTCTTGATTTTGTGAGTGCGCTCTTTTAACATTTGTGTCAAGTACCAAGAAAGGAATAGACACGAAAGCCTGACGGACGACCAAAGAGGAATAGATCCTTGAACTTTTTTGCAGCGTACACAATTCGTATATCGAATGATCACAATTTGTGGCGTAGAATTTCAAAAAGAATAATTGAACAACAAAAATATATTCAAAACATTGTGTCAATATATTTTCGCAAACCTAGCACAACATGAATGTTCTTCTCTTGATCGGAAGTGGATGTTTTGTATTGTTGTTTCTTCTATTCCTTTTAATGAGAAGTTATGAATCAAAAGTAATTGCTAAAATTCAAGTCGTAGGATTGAAACCTCAACAGCAGCAGCAGCATCAGCAACAGACACCACAAGGACATTCCGATGCAAGCCTTACTCCACACCATCATCATCATCCTTGTATTCATGATCATCACGAGGAAGAAGAGCCTATCGGAGCAGGTGAACACCATCAGCCTTCTTTGAAAACGAAGAAGAAGGTTACTTATCAAACACCTGAGCCTGTTCCAGTCAGTGAATTGGTCCACTACGATGCTCTCTGGTGTTTGGTATTCAACATCTTTCGAGACAACCAATCCTCCGTTCAGACGTATGAGAGAGCCTTTTCTTTGCAACACTTTCGTCCACATTTGGGTTTCGTTGGGAAGATTCCAGTCGTGTTGTTTGCCACACCGAGTGCTGCCCGAGTGTTTGTAACCAAGTGGAAGGAGGTTGTGAAGGATAATTCATTGGTCTTCACGGAGGACATGCACAAGTTTTTCGGAGTGAATGTCGTTTTTTCGAATGGTGATGAGGTTTGTAATTTCATACAAGAATAATTATTTGAAAGATAATTCTTACATTGGTCAATGATGTACATACTATGATGCATCATGGATATTGTTATTTCTTGATGAACGAACATTGAATAGTGGAAGAGACAGCGAAAAGTTCTTGATCCTTCATTCTACAATATTGAACGTTTTACTCAAACATTTGTGGAGAATGCACAAAAAACCATGTCCTTATTGAACAAGTTATTACAAGAAAAGAGTTTACAGGAAATTGAGATTTCTCCTTCTGATGTGACCACCAGGTGAGTACTCGAACAAGAGTAATTGTTTAAATAATGCTATTAACAATACAACGTTCTTCTTAAATGGAACAGAATGGCGCTAGATGTATTGGGTTTAACAATATTTGGAGAAGATTTTGACTACCTGTCACAACTCATCCCCAATCATAAGTCTGCTACAAATGAACTAAATAAGAAAGCTCTCGATGCATACCACTATGTCATGAGTAATATTGGAAATGCAGCGAGACTATTCATAGGAAAACCATACACCTCATTGCCTTTAGAAAGCAATCGAAAGATGGATGAATCTATTGAGGAATTTCAACTCTTTTTGGACTCCATCATTGAAAAGTGTCGAAAACAGAAAGATACTTCCAACAAGAATACTCTTCTCCATTCCATGATTCAAGCTGTGGATGATGAAGGTACTGGCATGACCAATCAAGAACTGAAAAGTCAATGTACCATCTTTTTCTTGGCAGGTCACGAGGTAGGTCAGAATTATTGTTTCTCTTTCACTTTTTATAACTGCAATCCTGTAATATTTTACTGCCATCAAATAGACCACTGCTGGAGCATTGGCATTCTTATTTTACTCCCTTGCCAAGCATCCCCAAGTTCAAGAAAAACTGTATGAAGAAATTACAAGTACCTTCACATCTGGAGAAGACATTTCGAATTATAACAAACTTCAAAGTATGGCCTATTTAGATTGTGTTCTCAAAGAGAATATGCGGTTGTATCCACCAATCAGTCAACTTCCACCAAGAATATTAACTTCAGCGCAAGTGATTGATGGCTACAAAATTCCAAAGGTAAGTTGAGATGTATTCGTGCACACGGGCGTCCTTTTTAAGCTTAATAATTAAATAATTTTGAAAAGGATTTTTTGGCAATCTTAAACATTTATGCACTTCACAGGCATCCAGATGTGTGGGGACAAGAATCAGAGGAATTCAGACCAGAAAGATTTTTGGAAAATTCATATCCTCCCTTTTCCTATCTTCCTTTCTCTGCTGGACCTAGAGTGTGTTTAGGAAAACAATTTTCTTTAGTCGAGCAAAAAACATTTACGACAGCTCTTGTTCAAAACTTTAGGATTGAACTATTATATCCAGGACAATGCATGAAATTCAATAAGAAATTGCCAAATCTTGCACCTGAGGAGAATTTCAAATTGAGACTTGTAAGGAGAAAGTGTTGAGTGGATTTGAAGTTCAAGTAAAATGTGGCGTTTTAATCCTTTATTGTGCTTCACAACAAGTGCACTACCTATTAAGGTGAAGCTCACAATATGGATTCAGAAGAATGCCTTGTTTGAGTGATAAAGGAGTCAATCCTTTATTGTTGTTTCTTTGCTTTCTCGGATGATGATGTCACATTACCGTAGAACATCTTCAAAATGAAATAAAGAACAATTCCAACGAAAATAGGTCCTCCGTAAGTTTCTTTCCAAATGAAAACGGAGTGGTCAATACTCAACAGCACAAACGAAGCAGCAATGTAATTGGTTCCAGCTTGAGTTGCCACATAGGCAGCAATATTGTAGAGAGCAATCGTGAGATTAATCTTTTTAAGAGATTGAATTGGCTTGTAAACATCAAAGGTGTAATCGTCTGGGATGAAGCGCTTTCTGAACATGAGTCTGAATACTGTAGTAGTGTGAATCATGATGATTTTGGTGTTCGGTAAAATATGTAAAGAATTTGATTCAGAAATTGAAATAACTTACTTCTTCCAAATTCAACACCGACACCAGCCAAAACAAAGAAAATATAATAACCAGGGTAGAAGCCATGCCAGAATGCAATAACAAGGAAAGTTTGGAACACCTCCTTTGTACCTGGTCTGCTTCCTTTCTTCTGATTTCTTAGGTAAACATCTAATGGTCAAGAATTTAAAGTTTCATTTCGAATGTGTGTCAACCAACCAAGGATGACCATCCAGTAAGTTTCGTTTCGTATTCGTATACTTACATTTCTTGACCCACTTGTGAACTCCAATGTTCCAATGGATGGACAAAAGATATGGAGAAGTAGCAAGTTCGAATGCCCAGAAATCGATTTGAGTCACAGCTGACCAATCTTTCTTCTTTGGATCATAACCAAATCCTGCAAGCCATCCAGATCCTTGACAAATATGCCAAACCATAAAGTAACGGAATTTAAAGAACTCTACCATGAGTAAAATAAATACAATCTTATTCAACAAAGGCATGCTCGAAAATGCTTCTCTGTTATTCATGATAAATTCTCTGTCAAATCTATCAATTTGGGTAAATCCAGCAAAACTAATGAAAATCATAACAGTATTGTAAATGAGTCCTCTTCCATAGAATGGAATTGTATCCATATCATACTATTCAGGTTGAGGAGGAAATTAAAATTTTTCAAGGATGTTATTGAGGTATTATTATCGCAATCATGCATTAATTGTAACCATGTCATAGAATATCCAATTGTCCACTTACATGTCTCAAATATTGTTGGAAATATTTAAAGTCGAATGGTGGTCCAGCCAAAAGAGCAGGAAAATAGAAACAAAATGCAATATATTCCAAAAATGATGGAATTTTTGAAATACTGGACTCGACCAAAGATTCATCGAGTTCTTCTTTGGCATTTGGGTTTTGACCGTCTGTAAAGTTAAAGGAACAAGATGAAATTCTCAAAACCATCATCATCAACATGGCACTGTAATCCACACGTTGACTTGTAAAGTCCAATTGCATTCGAACAAAGTGACTATAATAATTAAAAAATCAATTTGAACGTAATAAAAAACATATGTTGCAAGAGTGTTGGATAGTGTCGTTTTCGTCATTTTGAAAAGACACACAATAGTATGCATGATGATAGTAAATAACAACAGACAAACATCACGTCATTGTGTATTGTTCGTAATGATCACTCTCCTTTTGAGTAAACAACAAAAAACTTACGCTAGAGACAAATAGGTCCAAACAAACACAAATACAACTTTTGAGGAAATAGACTTGGGTAAAACCATCATGCATAAATAACTAATAAAACAACAAGCAATAGCATGGAATCCTTCATAACCAAAAGTAAAAATTGCATAAAACAACCCAACAGCTACCAAATATAGTGTTTTTAAAAACGTAGCCTCCTTCATAGCCCGATGATTAAACAACATTCTATAAACAAAGCTAAAGACATAAGTAAACACCATCATCAAGACAAAAATTGTTTGATCTGATTTCAACCCGATGGCTCCTCCCTTCTCATCCAAAACATCATAAATTGGTTTGAAATATGGATAAACAGGTTCTCCGATGGGTTCCAACAAATGTTGTTGAACATATTTCACTCCGTAGCAGGCATAATTCGTTGGAGCTACAAGTCCTTCACACGGAGTGAGAAAGTTTGGATGTGAGCTGGTGAGTCTTGGCAAGAGAGAAAAATTCACCACATGCATTGGGTTCGGTGGTGTGGTTTGGGCCATTTTTTGTCGCGACGGGAACTTTCGCACTTCTTGTTCACAATTATCCATTCACATACCCATCATCGTCATCCACTTGCTTGGCCAGGTCACACCATCATCATGAAAGTGGATGGCCAATCAGATATGAATAATACCTCAATACTCATCAAAGAAGAAATTTGGGAAATAAATTATTTTATTATGATTCACGTGTAGAGAAATATCATGTTGGGAAATTTGTACACTTTAGAGATTCATAGGATGCCAAAGTTGCAACTGGAATGATGTTATCGATAACAATCTCAGTCTAAAAAGAAATTACATAAATGGAATTTCAACGCCTAATCTCCATTGAGCTAAAGTGAGGGCAATACCACTCATAATTGGAATTGACAAGTTGTCATTAATTTGGTCAAGGAAGAGTTCTGTTAAAGTGGCAGTAATGGCGCCAATGAGAGAAATGTATTCGTACAGGTGAACATGATAAAAGATGGTCAATCCAACAGCCATACAAATGAAGAAATTAGCCAAACATCCTTCCAATGATTTGTTCTTGTACACTTTAACTCTACCAAATGAGATACCGACCTAAAAAGTTGCAAAACATCATGAAAATATGTTAGGTCAGTAATTTCTTGTAACAATTTGAAATATTGAACATACCAATGCAGCAAACAAATCTCCCAAGTCCAAAAACAAAAGGGAAGCAATAGCAATGGTTGGATGGAACAAAATCATTGTCAACAATGAACCAATTAAATAATATGTGGAACCTGTTATCGATGGAAAATAACATCCGCCCGTAATGGAAGGTTGTGACACATTTCGAAACAAGAGTCAACATTCAACGAGTCACAAAACCAACAAATCACAAAATTTCGAAAAACATACCATTAATGTCGTTGAGTTCCTTCTTTCTCATGATCTTTCCGGCAGGCGATTCTTGGAACATTTTGTTGAATCTCTCGGATTTCAATCTCAAAAGCTGTGAGTTGAATTTGGATATTATTAATTTTCATGATTAATATTATTATTATTTTGAGCAGCGGCACCACCATCATGAAAAATATTTTGTGAATCGAAATTGTTGATGAAGCAAAAATAGAGATAGTTTCGGAATGATCGTTATTGATACCCATCCATGGATCAAACCACCCCAATTAATTTATAAACGCACGAATCATCATGGTGTGGTTATTTTTCGATAACGGTTATCATCGTCATCATTAAATTTTGAAAATTTATCCATTTTAAAATAATCATCAAGGCAAACCACAACACTTACATCAACCGTCAATGAAAAACCAGCAAATCCAGCCACAATCGAGCAAGCCTGAAACTTGGTCAAGAATCCGAACTTCAATCCGAAATAATAAATACCAGGAACCAATAACCCAACCAAATGGAAAGTCTTTCTCTTGAATTCACTCATAAACTTTACAGCTCTTTGTTTCGATGTTCCCAAAAACTCTCTCACTCTTGCCGCCATGGCCTTTCCTTTCAGAAAGAAGGAGATGACGAGAGCAATCACGGTCATGACCGTGAGGAAGGTCCAAAGGAGGTTCATTTTTTTTGAAAACTGTTTTTGAAGGAAAGTTCACTGAAAATGATTCTTGAAGGTTTTTTGGCGCTTGGTGTTCCAAGTGTCATGTCTTCCACCGAAAGTAACCCTTGCTTGGAAATTAGAACAGAATGTAAAGAGCAATAGTTTTAAATTTGGACATGGTTGTTGATTTGTTGAAAATGCCAGGATGGAGAGTTGTTAGTTCCATAGATTTCGGAAACAACTTGTTGTTGGAGGAGCCTCAAACTCGCCAAACAGAGTCCCTCGGGATTTTTTGTGGCAACCACTCTACGCAAGACTGTTTTTTCATAAGCGAAGTTTGACATTTTTATTCGCTTGATTTCCTTACACTAGTTGCAATTCCAAATGCATGCTTGTCTATTTGAAAGAGAGCCTTTTAAGAGAGCACAGAGAGAGTAAAAGATCCTTATCTTTCAATTTTCGGCATTTTTGCCTCCCGCGAGAGGTTACAGGTTCAACCGTTTCCAAGTTTGGCTTTGTGTCTCGCTCTTTTTTCATACTTGAAGTAGAAAAAAATTCTCTGTGTTTGGTATTAATACTTCGCTCGGGCTCTCTATTTCAACCACTTCAAAATCATCAAAACCAAATCTTAATTGTGGTCATTATTCCTCTTCTCGAATGAACAAAAAAGATTATGAGCCTGTTTCGCACTTGTTAGAACAACAACACCAAAATTTACGGTTTGCTCCTTTTTTATTAATCGTTCCATTGATCTTGGCTCTTACGCATTGTTGGGAGAAGGGCCCCTTTGTCTTTGTTGGATGTTGTTTCGGTGAGATTGTGTGTCATTTGATCCTTAATCAGTCGATGCGGAAATGGGTGAAGGGACCAACAGCTTTTAATATTGTCAATTATATGCGGCTCGTAGCAGTGTTAGCGTTTCAGTTCGTGATGCAAATGTATTATGGCCCATGGTTTCCGAGCTATATATTTTCAACCTACAAGATGCTTGTTTCTCAGTGTATTTTCTACTTCAACGAACTGTCTTATATTCAGGTTCCTATGATCGTTTTTTGCTCCCTATTGTTTACGTATTTGTCTTCGCGAGAGATTGAAATGTCAAATGATGAAAGAAACTTGTTTAATTTGAAAATGACTGAGATGTTTTGTTTACAATATGCAGTTATGGTGGGCTCGTTTTTGTTTTCACAATTCTTAGTCAATAAGACAAAGGCCTACACAGAAAAAACAAACAGAGGTGACAAAAGAACGAGTGAAGAATAAGGAGAAAACAAAATTCATTGCAAATCTAAGCCATGAAGCAAGAAATCCCTTGCATTGCATAATGGGAAGCTTGCAAGTGTTAAATCATCATTTTTCTGGGGAGAAATGCCTTTACGGATGCAAGCATTGTTTTATAAATAATAGAACCATTACAGAAATCTTGGAAGACATTAAGGAAAACTCAAAACTCTTGATGCATATTTTGACTTCTTCGCTTCAAATAAGCTCTCTTGAAGCTGGTAAAACAGAGCTTAAACGAGAAGAATTTAATTTGAAATTGTTATTGGATTCTTTGGTGGGAGTTTTTTCTCAGCTTGCCCACGCAAAGAACATTTCCATCCATTTATTTTACAACATCTCTAAGGTTCATCAACAATTCCTTGGAGATTCCGTTCGTATAAGTCAGATCGTTATGAATTTAATTTCGAATGCAATCAAGTACACAAACAAGGGTTATGTGAGGATTAATTGTGATCTCGCAAGTCATGAAGACGAAATGGAGATGATATCGATTCCTAACTCCTCACAAAATTCTTTAACATTTGTCAAAATGGAGTTTATTGATTCTGGATGTGGAATTTCTAATGATCAAATTGACAAATTATTCCAACCTTACTCCATGCTGCAACATCAAAATGAAAACTTCTCACCGTCCTTTGAACACTATTTCAAACAAACTGAAAACCTTAGCGATGGTGCTAGCAGCTTGATTCATACAAACAGAAATGGTCTCGGTTTAAGCATTGTCAAGTTATTGGTCAGCAAAATGAATGGACAAATACGTGTTTCGAGCAATGTTAATGAAGGAACCAAAATGACAGTTGTCCTACCATTAGAAACTTGCACAACGGAACATGAAGGATCTACTCGACAGCCACTCATTGAAAACGAAAAACCATTACAGGTGATCATAGTTGATGAGGATGAGTGTTTTAGAGACGTGCTACAAGCTTATTTGTCACTGATGAACAGAATTGATCGAATATCTTGTTTTTCAAATGTATCCCTTGCTCATCCCTTCAACAACACCAAGGCTTGCAGACAGTTTGTATTTGTGCCTGAGCATGAGTTTGAACAAGCATCCAGTTTGTTTGGAAAAGATTCCATTGTCATACCAACCATCAACAAAGGCTCGAAAAGAAATTTTCCTCAGAATCAATATCTCTCAAAACCTGTTAAATTTTCTGAGCTGGAAAATCTTTTCAATGAAATCAATGTGGAGAAACAGGGCTGCAATGTTGAGTGTTGCAATAGTGAGTCACCTCTTCCTCAAATAGAAAAGGAACAAGAATTTGATTTTAGCACTTACTCTGTGTTAATCGCGGACGACAATGCAGTGAATCGTAAAGTGCTGACAAAAATGCTTCAAATGATTGGATTCCAAGATGTTGACGCGACGAATGATGGAATGGAATGTTTTGAAAAGTTTAAACACAAAAAATATCACATGGTTCTGCTGGACTGTTACATGCCAATATTAAGGTAAGTTATGCCTCATAATCGATGTGCATTTAATATTCACTGTTCCTTAAAGTGGAAAAGAAGCTTGTGAGATGATCCGAAATTGGTTGAAATATCGTAACGATCACAACCATGAACATGGCTCCAATAGAATACGAATCATTGCAGTGACTGCCAATACATGGGAGTCTAAAGAGGTGTTGCTCACACAAGGATTTGATGATGTGGTTTATAAACCATTCCATATGGACGAAGTTAAAGAGTTGCTGAAAAAGTACCTGAGTGAGGTCGTTCGGTGATGAAATCCACAGAGCTATGTTCTCTCTTTGGTATCAAATGAAATGTCAAGTTCCTTCTTCAATCCTGTTCTTCATTTGGGGAACAATAAAAAAAATTTCATCGTCCCTCACACACAATAAGCCTCAATCCAATTATTCCTTCTCCCCTTAAAACAAAAACCGTTACCAAATCATTCATTATTCGTTCATCATTATCTGTAAAATAGATTCTTAAAGTAAGAAATGAATCAAATCAGTGATATTAAGGCTGAGGATGAACCAGTCTTCTCCTCATCATCTCCCATGAAATTAAATAGACATTTGGTGGTGGCTGAAGGAGGAAATTTAGCTGCAGCAAGAGGAAGAGAATTGGATGCTCCAAATCTTTACGGAGGTATCACTCAGGATGTGATCTATCAATCCTACAAGGAACAAATTGAAAATGAAAAGAAAGAGATTGCCCGAAAACTTGTACAATTAGACATGGAAAGACAACCCAGCATCAAAGAGTTATCGAGGGATTCTATGGACGAATTCGGAGAGGTAAATTCAGGAGTGGTAGTCCCCGAAGACTTTGATGCCCATGAAAGACCCTCGAGTATGAAAGCTCTCGCACTCGAACGTTTCAGAAAAACTGTCAAAAAAGCAGAAACTTCTCGGCCACTTCTTCGTTCCTATTCAGGCACCTCAGAGTTTGGGTTGCTGAAAGAAGGGTTAGTCACCTCAAAAGAAGACAAGGAACCAGAAATTAAGTTGACCATTAAGCGATCATACTCCCAACTAAAAACATGTAACATACCCAAGCACAAATTCAGAGTAGAAGGCAATCAAAAGGCTATCAAGAAGGCTGAAGATTTACGAAAAATCGGATACAAGAATATGGATATCCTGTCTATTCTTGGAATGGAAAAGTACATGCTTCTCAACGAAAAGAGATTTTCTCCCAAATGCATGATAGACGCTCTTGTGCAACGTGGCAACATGCAAAGATACCTCAACACAAGAGAAATATCATTCGTCTCCAAAGATAAGGTTAAAAAAGGAGACGAAGGATACGAAGACTATGTCCTCGAGAAGAAGAAGAGGATCTTCTTCAACGAAAAGAAGAAAGGAGGGTCGAATGTGCAATAAAACGCTTGTGTGTATTTAAACTTTTGGCTTCTTGACCGGCGACATGTCTTCATTGATGGCGCTTGGGTTATCAATTTCTGAATTGAATCGCTTCTCTGTTTGACTATTGGTTCCAGTTGATACAAGCGATGAAGGAGGTGAGAATGGAGGAATCATGCTTGCTGTTGTGGTTGTTGTGGTTGATGGTTGCAAGTGAATACCAGAAGTGTTGCTGCTATTGTTGTTATTGTAAGGAGGAGCAAGATAGTGAGGTTGTGAAGGATTCACCAACATCATTGGAGGTGAATGAATGGAGCTTGCATTAGGGTTGTTCGATGGTGACAATTGTGGTGGTTGCAACATGTGTGCACTAGAGAGTATTTGATTCGGATTTGGCAAGGGCATATGATTGGAAGCAGTCAACGCTCCTCCAGAATGTTGAAAACCGGGATGAGCATTGAGAGGAGGAAGGGTATTGTTCATCATTGTCATTTGCTGCTGTTGGTGAGGATGCATCATTGTTGCACCTGGAGGCAAGCCATTAGATCTTATAGGAGTGCCAGAAAGAGGTGGAGAACCAGGGTGTGGATAAGGTTGCAGTGGTGGTGGGGGTGGGAAAGGATGAGCTGCAATGTCGCCACCTCCTCCACCAGGTGTCAGATGATGTGGTTTTGGAGGAGGAGACATATTTTCGGATGTTTGGGCGACTGCTCCATCCAACATGGTCACCGTTTGTACCGTCTCCTTTTTACTATTCTTGCCACCTTTTTTCTTCTTGGGTTCTTTGGATTCTGACTTTTTGGAGTCCTTTGTTGTGGATGATTTTATCTTTTTAAGATAAACATCTGGCTTGGAAAATACAGCAAATTGAGATGAAATTTTGCTCATGACAAGTTTGTAGCTACGAGAGGCCATATCTTTTCTGAAAATACTAATGTAGAAGCAAAACTTTCCTCTCCAACTCAGGGCCTTCTTTTCTGTTGGCCAAAATAGTTCTACCACCCAACTCTTTGTTGCGAGATCCTCAGTAAAAGAATAGGTAATGACAGGAACCTCATCGTTGCCAATAGAAAATTCTCTAAATTCCTCTTCCATGCCTTGTGCATTTGTTGTGCTTAATGTGAAATGATTTGGATCCACACTGTTGATAATATCATCAAATGGAGAGAATGGAATGCTACTATCTACGAGACCTGCACTGTCCATAGTGCCAGGAGAGTCACTTCCATTAGAGGTCTCATTGTAATTGTTGTTATTGGTGGCTCCTCCTCGTTTTTTCTTTGATGGAGTGTCTGAGTTTTTCTGAGATTTGCTTCCCTTTTTTGGTGGAGTAAAAGCAAAAGACTCAAACATTGACTCGGCTGGTTGTATTGGGGGAGGAGTTTTGATCCCTTGTGAAGATTTCATTGTCGCAGAGTTTTGTGAAGTTGCATTTTCAATTTGTGGAGGAATGAAAGTTGTTGGTTTTGCGCTGTTAGAATTGTTGAAATTTGTGGTTATTGAGGCAAGATTGGAAGCCACTCTGACCTTGGTTGGTGACGAAGAGGTGACTGCATTCGTTTGACTATTGCTTCCGAATAAGGAATGTGGCTTTTGAGGTTGGATACTCTTTGGAGGAGATGACGAGTCTTCAGAGGCAATAGAGGTTGATGATGTTGCATTGCGTTGTTGAGCTATTGCACAAATACTCAATAAATTTTCTGCAGCTGCTGCGGCTTCATTCGATTGATCCGAATCTGAGTTTTCCTCAGCAATTTCAAGTGAGCGTGGAGGCGAGAGGGCAGAATCGTCTTCGTCTTCTTCTTCTTCTGTTGGGCCAGCAGAAAGGTGGACACATTGTGAAATTTGAATGATTGTGAATTCAGAAGTGGCGTCGAGGTCGAGTGCAGGTGATAGAATTTGAGGTGTTTAACAATCAATTTCACACAAAAGTTTACACAAATTCATTAAGAAAATGGTTGAGAAGATGTTGCCGTCGTATCAGAGATGAATAAATACTTACTTTGTGAGCTGGAGAGAGATTGTGTACCTGTTTGATATCCACCATAGTTGGATTGAGAGGATTCACTAGAGAGGGACGAAGGAAGAGACGAACTGAGCGAATTGGGTGGAGTTTTTCTCTTTCTCATTTGTGTCAAATTTTTCAAAAGCTTGAGTTCCACGAAAAATCGACTACTCGTGTCAGAATTCCCTTTCAACTTGAAGAAACTTTGATTAGGTTCCAAACGAAACTGTAATATCCAATCAAAAGTATTTTACAATAAATATCCAATTTGGTGCAACAAACAGAATTTTTAGATGCAATCACCAAAGTGCACATCAAAATCATGGCCATCATCATCACTCCATAGTTAATCCTGAAACAATTCCTAATGATAATGAATTAAACATACCTCATAGTGATGAGTCCTGAACAAGATATTATTTGGAGACTCTTCTTGGTTTTTAATCTTTCTGGAACTGACTTGAACCATCACGTCTGCATCTCGGGTTGAACTATCAACAATCGAGCTGTAGGGTGTAAAAATCAACAATATCATGGTTGTTGTGGTTGTGGTTTACTTTCCAAATGAACGGAACAACACACTTACGATTCAATTTGATTCATCCATTTCAACTCGATTGTATGGAAGTTCTTTTTGGATGATGAATTCTTGCTGCTTGATTCGTTCATTTGAAAGAAATATTACTCTAGAGGGATCCAAAAGTTTTAAAACTTAAACGAAAGGAAAAGAACACTCTAGGGTGTGTTTTTGTGCTAGAGGATGGAGATGATGATGAAAAACGAATATTATCCAAAATTCCAGCGTAGTGATGAAAAGAACAACAACGAATAACTAATATTATGGTGCAGCACGTTCCGACAAACAATGATGAATGAAACGTGCGTAAAGTGTGAGTTTTGTATCAAGCAGCCAATCCGTAGTAAGAGCCGCTTTGATGATGATTCGGTCAGTGCTGTTGTTTGTACAAGCTTGATTTTGTACTGGCGCTTTCCTAATAAAAAAAGAGTCTTCTTTCTGTGCTGTTCTGTTTCGTTCGTTGCGGGTAATAACACACCAAAGAGGCGCAATAAAGAATTCAAGCCGTAACTTTAATTTCTTTTTTTTCTTTTGCCAAGTTGAATAATTTTTGAGGTTTACAATGATGCTCAAGAGTGTGTGATGAAATCTTCATCAAGTATACTCCTAGGTGATGATATGGAACCACTGTTCTTTGAAATGATCATTGACTCCAAGATATTTGAAAGAACACACTTCTTTTCTTATCACTCTTGCAATGAAGATGAAGATGATCGCTCTTGCATCACCTATTCGAAAAAATATCCTCCTTCTCTTTCAAGTGCATCATCATCATCGCCTACACTTCTTCAAGAAAGCGCGGACTTGATTGATCGAAAAACCCCAATTCCGAACGAACGAACTTATCATGTCCAATCAAACAACTAGTAAGAGTGGTTTTCAATTTGCATCAAGTACAACAACAACAACAACCACTTCAGGCCATTTCACCTCGGCTCTTCTTCCACCCATTTTGAGATACTTTGTGAAGGGTTCATTCCGTCGATATGTCCACGAAAAGTGGAGCTTACTCTCATGGCGAGAATTCTTCAGAGAATATCGATGGGAAATTGTGACAGGATTGTTTTCCTTGATCGGATCTGCATTGAGTTTTGTAAATTGGAATTGGATGACGAGCGGAATTGCTGTTTCGTGGAGTATAGATTTCGAACAGGATTCAATTTCATTTCAAGTGAAAAAGAGTTTTAATGATTTATCGAGAGATGAAGCTGTCCACACTCTGAGGAAGCTGAATTATGTGTCACACGATGTGCCTATCGGATCCAATAATATTCTCATTCTCAATGATAGAGAAATTGAAGTTACTTTAAGGAGACAATCTCGCTCCCAACTTTCAAATTTTATCAAACAAAGAGACGAAGAATTTAAGGACAATATGAAAAAGAGTGCCTATGTTGCAGTTGCAGCGGTTTTAGTTATCAATTGGATTCGTGAGAGAAGGAAATAGAGGCTCCACTGATTCAATAGGGCCCTCACAAATAAATTGGGCATTAATATTCGATCTATTATTGAAAATGTAGCAATATTCTTGAATTTTCAAGAATTTTCACAACCTCATACTCTTTGTTAATGAAATACAATGATTATTGAAACTTTAATTTTTTACTTTTCGAAAAGCTTGGCAATATTACGTCTGGCCATTGCAAATTTTGTTTGTGGGCTCAAATTCTCCTTATCCAAATCATTAGTATTGGTGGATGAAGTAATTTTTGCTTGACTCTTAACCATGGGAGACATTGGAGCAGTAGTCGTGACCAAAGCTTTTGTTGTTGGTTGTTTTACAGGAGAGCATGTAAAGCTTGAGCTAGATTCCACATCTGACTCATCCTCACAATCTTGTTTCTGCAATTTATGCACACTGCTGAACTTGTTCTTAATGGCAGCAAACAATTCTCCCTGAATATTAGATGTGCTCCTTCTCATTGGAGTTCCTCCTGGAGACTTTTGCACTGGTCTCAATTTGATACTTCCACTATTCTTGATCAAGTCAGCAATGGACATGGTGTGCTTGAGTGGTGGACCTTGTGGTGCATTCTTTGGTTTGGCAGTCAATGATGCAGAAACTACTTCATTTTGACTATTGGAATCTCCTGTTACTGACACTATTGGCTTGGCAACACCAGCAGATTTAGAAGGAGTCATTGCAATTTGTGCAAGAGAAGGTGGTGGAGGAATATTAGAGCTCGTCGTTTGTGCAAGAGGAGGTGGAGGTGGAATGTTGTTAGAAGATGACGAAATGGTTTTTGTGCCCAAAAAAGAGGATGACATTGGTGGAGGTGGTGGAATGTTCGAACTCAAGGCCGCACTCTCAGCTCTAGACTTGGTGTTTTTCTTTTGAATTCTTCGTGAAGATGATTCGGAATTCATGGATGAGCGCAGTAAGGTTGGTTGTTGTTGTTTCTCAGCTCTGGCAACCATGGCAATTTGTTCCTTGAGCATCATGAGTTGAGATTCCAAATCTTCCATCTTGCTAATCGAGTCTAATTGGTCAATGAGAGGAGATGCACCTTGTTTCGTTTGCTTCCTCTCCGGAGTAAAGTATCCCATCTGGTGCTTGAGTCGTTGAAGATAAGCCTTCTTTCTTCGTTTCCTTTCTTTCATTTCTTTCAATGTTTTCTCATCAAAGTTTTGTGTGATTGCGTTGAAAACGTCATGAGCATATTCCATGATCCAGTCTCGGGTATTGGAGAGGAAAGCCCACAGAAAGAGAAAGACTCGTTCTCCCACGGCAGGAGAGGACGATGATGTTACGGAACCAGTTTTTGATTGGCCTTTATTCATGAGTGTCGATGAGGAGATGTAACGGATTGCAGTTATGAAAATTGGTGTGTGTGTTGAATGATGTAAAGATGTTGAGAATAAAGTGTGGTTGTTGATGATACTGATGAATATCTTGTTGTTGTTGGAGGAGTGGTACACGGAGAGCCTATCAAGCCAATGGCATGCGAGAGTTTGTTGGCTAATAATTTTTTTGATGAATTGTTTTTTTGAAATTTGTGTAACGTTTTTTGATTTTCAAAAATTAAACGGTCAGTTTGGGCGCCATAATTTTCTTGATGAGACCTTATTGAAACTCTTGGCAATGAATTCTGTTACAACAGGGAACGGGCCAAATTTTAACACTTGCAAATTTTAATTACATGTATTTAAAATTAATTTATGGAATGGTTGTTTTATCAGTGTTCGTTCTCGACATGAATTTGCTTCGGGTTTACCACCAACTTTAATCGGTCTATGAAGCGCTCAAAAGATTTTTTCAGCCAAAATTAAAAAATCCTTCTTCTCCTATCTCAACCTCCTAGGACCCAACAACTCCACTCCGTGTCGAGCCGAACCTTGAACAGGAATTTCAGTTCATTAGTCCAACAACCTCCGAGATTTTAACAACATTCCATTTCCAAACACAAGACTTTAAAGGATCACCAATTCCGATTTAGAAATTCCTTTCTTTCCTTTTCATTAATTTTTCATCATCATCATTGTTGTGTGTGTCGTTGTTGTGTACATTCATTGTTGCCATCATCATCACACGACCCAACGACAAGAACAACACCATCAATTTTGACATCTTTAAATCTTCATCAGCCAATCGTTGTGTACAGTTGTTCCACCACTTCCCAATATACCATGCAACCATTATTGCCTCCTTTCAAGGAGTCCTATAAAAGAGAGGATGCTTCCGCCGACAATAGTCCAAGCAGTAGTCATCATCATCATTTTTCAATGTTGCCAGTTTCACAACATCACCACTCACAAACCTCCTATCAACCATCGAATTTTCATCCAATTATTCCTCCATTTGCTCCTTCCAACAGCAATAATGGAAACAACAACAATACCTCCCATGCTGGCATTCCAATTGCGACTGCAACCACAACAACCAATGCACAACAACCGGAAAAACCTGTCAAGAAACGAAGACAATCCACTGCTACTAACAAGAGTAATAATGGCGGTGAAGCGAATAGCTCAAATAATCAACAATCACAACAACAACAATATCAACAAGCCAACAGTAATGATGGCTCTGAGTCTCCAAAAAAGAAAAAAAAGAGAAAACAAGTGAAGAGAGCTTGCATCAATTGTCATAAAAGTCATGCTGGATGTGATGATGTTCGACCCTGTAAACGATGTGTTTCTTTGGGTCTCGAAGCCACTTGTCTCGATGTGGAACCTAGGAACAACAAGAAAAAGGCCAACAACTCCAATCCGTCCCATTCCTCAACCAATCACAACAATAATAACAACACATCATCCGTCGATGGAGCCAATAACAATGCATCCACTAGCTCACTAAAACCACAAACAAAATCCACATCTGCATCCGATTCGCCTTCACGTTACAACAGCAGCAATATTGGCAATGCAACATTCTATTCATGGACATCAGGAGCTCCTGCTGCCCAAAGTGCTCATTATCAATCTTTGCATCATCCACTCTTTCCACCTCCAAACAGTAACAAATTAAGCTCTCCTTCCATGTCACAACATTCTGGTGGGTCCTCAGGCTCACCTTATCATCATCACCATCATTCTCATCACACGACCGCCTATCATCCTCCCAGTAGTAGTGACAGTGGAGCGAATCAGCGAGGAGGTAGTAGCACCCTATTACCGCCTCCATCGTCACTTATTGCCAATACTGATGGTATTCCAAATCTTGCCTCGCCTTCCGATATCTTTTCCGACTCGGCATCCAGAGTAGCACCTTCGTCATCAACAATTTCTCCTCAATCTCATTTGACTTTGCTTAATAGTGTAATGTTGCAGCAACAAATGTTGTTACAGGCTCTACAGAAATTGGATCCTACAGGTTCATTAGATCCCTCCCTCACACAAAATGTAATTTCTGGTAATCAAACCTTGTTGTCACACGCTTCATCTCTGTACCCAAACATGAATTCCGAGAAAACCAATCCGCCCTATCTATTACCTCCACCCTCTACACTTTCATCTCAATCTCCATCCTTACTTCCATCTGTAAATACTACTTCGAGTCTCACCTCTCCGAATATTCATTCCATCAATAGAACCTATTCTTCAAGTTCTTTGGAAGGTCTGCTTGGTCCACCAACTCCAACAGCAGCCACTCCTCTTGGTCATCATTCAGTTTCAACTCCTGTTCCTGTAGCTACTACTCCTGTGCAACCTGTTCATGATCCATCACTTTCATTAAATGATTCTCAGACCAATAGCAACCATCATGCTCAGGCAACAAAATCAACAAATTCAGATCAAAAATCGAATAACAATGTCCAAAATGATGATAATAAGAGTGAAGGACTGGAAAAGGAAGAAGACGGAGCAGAGGATGAATTTATTGGATTCTTTAGAAGACCCAGCAATAATGTTGACATTATTGATGATTATTTTGCATTATTTAACAGTAACATTTCTGATGATGGCTACATTGAAGAAAATACTGTCAACACAAATGCTACCTCTTCAACAACTCCAACAGCTACAACTCCAAGTGGCGAAAATGCCATGCTTAATGACGCACAGCATGGATCTGATGGTGTTCTCTCTCATAGCACATCATTTACTTTGGAGAGTACATCTCCAATTTCCAATGTTGTCAACACTTGCATTCTCAACAAGACTCAGTTAGAGGATCCTGACAAATGTTCAGGATGTGTTTATTTACCTGCTGGTGAAGCTGATACTATTATGTGTGTTGCAATTTGGAAACTGAATGGAGTTTTATTTTCTGCAAACAAGAACTTTTTCACAATTTTTGGAGTACCGAGTCTTTCAGACAATGTTCAAATTAATTTCTCTTCCATCTTGGATATGGACATGGATCCAGATCTCAAACAAGTGTTCAGTTGTAGATCTGATTTTGTTGCAAAGAGCATCAAGATGCAGAAATATATGGATAGCTCAAAGAGAGATAATTCCGTTCCTAGAGAACAAATTGAAGGATATATGCAAGCCTATGTCATTCGAAATGCACAAGGAATTCTTCCAAGATATATTTCTACACACATTTCAGTTGCCACAAAACTCTAAACTTGTACAACTATTTCATACAATATATTAAAATTTGATTTGAATTATTGATGAAATAATTAATAATAATGGCTGAAATTAATTCTAAATGGGGTGCCTCTGTTTGATAGAACAGATGAAGCGCGTGAAAAAAGAGCTTGTATTTGCTCGAGAGAAAGGACACACAGGAAGGACCATTAACTCCACACAAACTCTCATTAATCATTGAGAATCTTAAAAGCGTCACACATTCCTCTGTTCTTTTTTTGAATATTTGAAAAATTAATCTTGATTTCACACACAATGAAGAAGGTATTGCTTCTTGTTGGTACAACATTGTTGAGCTGTGTCTTGTTAATGATGATGATGATTTCCTGTGAATGCATTGTTCATGCAGAGACTCATTCAGAAATTCGTATTCAACAATTATTGGAAACTCTCCCAGTCGAGAAGAAAACACATCTCTTGAATGCTGTGGTGAACAGTTTGGTCAAAGATGCGAGAATCATTAATCACGTTCCAAGACAAGTCCATGAAGGTATTAGAAGAAGATCAGAAGGAAGAAGAGAAGACGAGCAATTGTTTCACGTGAAACAATGGAAACAATGGTTCGCCCCAATTCACAAGACAAGAAGAAGGAACAACAGCTTTTGTCACGTTTGTAAAGACATGCCAGATGTGGTGCCAATACTGGCAGAAAGGTTTTCAGGAAGGACGCACTTTTGAAATGTGCACCAGGATGTTACTCCTACAAAATAATACCACTACTGCAGCTTCCCAACAGTCTGGCACCACAACAACACCCTCCCTTCCCTCCCATTATATTTAGAATTCAACAACACTTTGTGTTGTATTAATTGGCTTTTGCCTTATGTATCATTGATTTGCTCAGTGATTTTCTTTGACACTTTTGTGTCTTCGATTGGTTTTAGCCTTATCATGGATGGGTTTTTCCCACGATCTTTTTTTAAATTTTATCCGTCGTTGATTCGCTCAACGATGTTTTCGTCGCATTAATGCGATGTTTTTCAAGGAACATGGTTTATATCAATTTCTTATTTAACAAATTTTTATTGAGCTAACCTTTTTTTTATGATCACTTGTGGTGAAGTAGACTTGAATATTCTTGATTAGTTTCAAAATTAACAATTTGTTGATGATTTGATTGAAGATTACTTACTTATTTATATGATCTATATTCGTCCCAGAGCTATTATCCATTCAATGTGGTTTTTCTCAAAGCAATTTGAGTTTTTTCATCACATGCTAGTATCCATTTCTCGGGACAACTGTACAACAATAAAGGTTGTTGGTTGACACTCCATCTCCAAAGAAGCGACACTTCCTGGAGAGGAGACAGCAACTAACCCATTGGTATTAATCTATTATTGTTTGAAGTTACATAACAGTTGGAATTCTTTTATGTTTTTCCGATTATTGGGAATGGAATGTTCAAAAGCCGATGTTGTGTTTACATCGGAACGCTTTACTGAGTTGTATTTGAAAGGAATCTTTAATCTCTCTTTCGAAGAACAGAACATGTTGAAGACAACGATAGAACATTTCAAACAAAAGGGAAAGTTCTTTTGTTATACAACGTATTGGCAGATTTTAAAGACGTTTGTGTATCATTGCACCAAATTCTTTTGGAATTCAAAAAAGATAATGACTCAATATGAGCGAAAACGATGGCCAAGCAATGACGGGCATGAAGATGGAAATCGTATTCAACAAAATTTTGATGGAGTTTCATTGATGCATGATCTTGCATTGTATGAGAAACAACGACATGGTATTTTAATCAAACTCAAAAAGGTGTTCGATAGTCATCTTTTGATTGGAGAAGAATTCAAAATTAAATCTTCCAGAATTAAAACATGTCTATGCGGAGAAATTAAAGATGTATTCGTGACATCTTTTCGGATGATAGATGATTTGGAGAGGGATTCTCCAAGATTGGAATTTGATATGAGCTGCATTGTTTTTCTTGGATATGGATTTCCCATTCATATCAAACTCGAATATAAGAACTATCTGGAGCAAAGAGAAAACATTACAGAACGTATTTATTTGAACAATAAGGAACTGTTTTGCAATGAGTTAAACAAAGTAGAGCAATTCAAGACAAGTACAATGAGTTTTTTAACAAGGCATCTACTTCATAACAAACCTGATGATTTGAAAGTACATGATCGATTAGACAAGCAGTTAGTTTTTAATACAATTTTATACAATTTATTTTCTGGATTTTTGCCAGAAGATGTCATGATCAAGTTCAAAGAACTATCTATGATATCTTCTCAGCCTGAATTTTGTGTTTATTGGAATTTCGAACTACAAAACGTTGAGGAATACAAACAAAAACATTACAATGACAATCCAGAATACGAAACTCATCCTAACAACAAGACACACGCTCAGCATCCACGCCAACCACTAAAAAGACCAAGAAATAACAACATTCCATACACCTGTACATTTCTCTAAAATATGACATCGTTTTTGACAACATTTCAATCGAGTGAATAATTAATTAATGAATTAATGAATGAAATGAAAATGGAAAATTGGAGATTTTCATCTCCAAAAAAATGCACACTCCAAATCACCTGCGTCGCATGTTTCAAATTTTGCAACATTTAGTTCCGAACGTTCTGTCATCATCATCAATACCATCCAACATGAACGACAGTCATCATCATCATTGGGAATTTTATGAAGATAAAAAAAATAATGATTGTATTTGGATTGAATGTTTTAAAACATCGGGAGAAGTTGCTCAGAATGATGACACTGATGTTGTTTTAACCGATTTTAATCAAGAAAATCATTGTCTCAGAATTACACTCAACCGACCAAAGAGTTTTAATGCGCTCTCATTAACAATGATTCGGAAATTAACCAAAATTTTGGAACAAGCTCTTGTTGATTCAAATGTACATTTTGTTGTGTTGTGTAGTTCGAATGAGAAGGCGTTTTGTGCAGGAGGTGACATTAAAGATTTGAGAAAGGGATTTGCTAAAGTGTTTTTCACAGAGGAATTTGCGTTAAATCATTTTATTTATGAATTTTGTAAAAAGAAGCCAATGGTGTCCATGTTAAATGGAATTACGATGGGAGGTAAATTTATTGAAAAACATTTTTATTTAATAATTTTGAATATTCACTGTTACAATTTCAATGAATACTTTTTTCTTAATAATTTTATATTTGTGGCACAATTAGGAGGAGTTGGAATTTCAATTAGTACGAATTTGAGAGTGGCTAACGAGCAGAGATATGTTTTTGCAATGCCAGAAGTTTTTATTGGTCTCTATCCAGATGTTGGAGCTTCATGGTTTTTAACACAATCGTGTCCAAACGTGGCCGTGGCAAGATATATTGGATTAACTGGAGAAAAACTAAAAGCTAATGATGCTCTCTATTGTAAACTTGTGACACATATCATTGACAAGGAAGAGTATTTCAAAAAATTATCGCATGACGTTTATGCTGTTTTCAAGTCATCGTCTGCTAATGGAGATTACAAGACCGTTCTTCAAGAATTGACACAATTCGTTTCGAAATATGAGAAAGAGGTGAGAAACTCAAATGTGAAATTTGGCATTCTCGATCGATATCGAAGGGTGATTGATTATTGTTTTGGAGAGGAGAATGCAAATAGCGTCAAAGATGTTATTAGGAACTTGCAATGGTATAGGGAACATCATCCTACTCGATGTGATGCTGACATTCAATTGATTCAATCCATTCTCGAATTATTCGAGAAGAGAACGTCTCCTACATCCCTGTTGGTGACATTTGAAGCATTGCAACGCGGAAAAAAATCAACCTCTCTGAAACAGGTATTGGACATGGATCGAGTGTTGTGTACCCATCTCACAGGGAGACATGATTTTCTTGAGGGTGTAAGGGCTGTTCTGATTGATCGTGATCAAAAACCAAAATTCAAACCGGCAACGCTCGAAGAAATTGATGAAAAGGCACTCATTCGAGAGGTGTTCTCTGACAAAAAGCAGTAATGCTGATCACAATTAATTTATAAATTGTGTATCAATAGTTCAATACTTCTTTTTTCCTCCCTTACTAAAGGTTGGATGGTGGTGATGCTTCTTACTTTTGTCAACCTTTGTACCATCCTTGTGTGGAACATGTGCCTTTTTGATTTGTTGCGAGTTCCAAAAATCAAAATGCAAAAGGGGATAAGCTATTCGTACGTTCTGAAGACTTTCAGTCTCCAATAGAGGAGAGACAGGTTGTTTTAAATACTTGAAATTAGATCTATCGTTGGAGAGGATGGAGGAAACTATGAAGGTCGACAACAATGGGCACTTCACATGCATTCTCTGTTTCAAGTCTCCCTGTTCATGATTACTCTTCAAATGAATATTCTCGTTTTCCACACAAAATCCCACAAGTTTTAAATATTCAAGTTTCGGTAAAGTTGGAATGGAGTCAAACTGAAATGAATAATGTGTTTGACATGTCTGTGGAATAGGATCGTAGATAGACCATCGTTCAATATTCAAAGATCGCAATGTTCGTGTGCAATCATAGGACGAAAGTTCATGCAATAAAAATTGATCCAATTCCATTCCCGAGATGTCGAGACAATCAAGAGAAAAGTCCTGTAATTTTGGGAAATGACTCAATATTCTCAATAGTGACGAATTATGCTGTGGAATTCCATGTAAATGTAAAGTTTCCAGATTGGTGAAAGGAATTAACCTCTCCAAGCATGTGATATTCATCAATCCATCCAAACACAACACACGCATATGAAAATGATTCAATTTTTCAATCATTCCATCAAATAGAGATTGTGAATCTCTAAAATCATTCATTTCATCAATGTAAGAAATTTGAAGGAATACAAATTTTTCCAAATGTTGAAAATTAATGAGATCAAATAATGTGCAGCTCAGCGATGTTGTCGCCAACGTGTCACGTTCAGAATAGACATTGCATCGTTGAAGGTTCAAGGTTTTCAATTTAGCACAAATTGTTTTAGAGTTATCAATGTCACAATCCAATCCACACAATATAGATTGACGAATGGAAACATGTTCCATCATGGTTAAATTCTTAAAAAGTGATGCAACATTCACATCCTTCACATGGGACAATTCTAGAAATTTTAAATGAGTTAATTTCAATATAAATGAAGTCTGAGGAGGGCATCTTTCATGAATCGTCAAGTGTTCTAAATGATGAAAAATTTCATCCATGCCGTTCCAACCATCAAAGAGCCCAGTATTTTCTAAAATTAATGTTTTCAAATTGCCTCCGTTTTTTAAAACTGTTAGAAGAAAGAGTCGCATGGATACAAAGTCTTCATCATTAATTAAGCGTAAATTCTTGAGAGAGAGTGACTCTAAATTTTTCAATAGTGGAGCGATTTTACAAAGAAGCTGCAACCCTGTCACTTGCTCCATCTCGTCATCGTCAAAATTAGAACCCATCCTTGGAAAATTACAGAATGTAGATGAATCAATGTTGAGAAATTTAACAGTGTTCCAAAACAAGTTGCACTCATCGAAGATACATTGTTGCTTTGATAAATTATGACCCTTTGCGCTCTTCTTACGTCCTTTGCATTGATTGTTCTTCAAAGCGATCTTGTCACAGTACAGCAATCCTAAGGGAAAGTCTTTCAACTTTTCAAATATCAATCTGTGTACTCCATTAAAAAGTAATTTCATAAAACATGTTCGCAAATGTTTCATTCGATCCATCTCTTCTTTGGTCCTAAAATAAAAATTGAATAACTCTTCCGACGTGATTAGTCCTTCCTTTTCTCTCATGTATGAATGGTGGTATACCTTTTTTAAAATTATATGATATTTTTCATGTTCACACTTGTGTTTTAAAAGTGATCATACCTCTCTACAAATATTCAATTCTCTCACTTGGCCAGAGCTCAAATATTTGTCAATCATTGATTTAAACCATCGATTCACTGCTGAAACATTTTTACAGCATTCTCGTACGCTCAAAAAATTGAAAATCAAATACATCATTTCGTGTGGCAATTCTTGAAGCAAATGGAAACCAAAATTCTCTGTGGTTGTTCCATAGATCCCGTATTTACAATGTTTGGTGTTCTGTTCGGATGGAGAAGGAAACACACTACGTGATGATGATGATGAACTCGACCTCTGGAAGGATGGTATTGGACGTTGGTGATGTTTCATTTTTTTAATTCTAAATTTCAAATTTTCTTTTCAATTAATTTAAATGAAACGTTGTAATGATGATCGGCTTCGTTGTAATGATTAATAATAATCAACTAAATTTAGTAGTTGGTAAAATATAAGAAATAATTTCATTCCAATTGTTGTTCAAATAATGTTCTACCCGACATGTTCCGAAGCTCTTGAATAATTCCTATCATGTTCTTCCGTAAAACATGGAATCATTTCCTTTTCTTTTAGTAATTCATCATCACCTTCTTGTTTATTCCTCATGTAAGCATAACACTTCTCAACAACAACAACATCATTTGAATCCGAAGATTGTTGAACGAGAATATCAATTAATACTCGACGATAATGTCCAACATCACATCCCTCAAATTGATCGAGCTCTTCTAAGTGGCCTTCATCCCGAACTTCATAAACTTCTCCCATGACTTGATGCCCCTTTCCTACATGATCGGGTGAATCGAGAATGATTTATATAACACACGAATAGATAATCATGGGTTTGAATGTTGTTGCCATTGTCAAAATTAATGATGATGATGGTGCCTATAGAAACACACATGGCGTAAAAATTACAAACCTTCAAAGTCCATCAGATAGGGAACATGTCTCTCACCAGCAATGATGAGAGGAAATGGGTTGAGAGTTTTAGCATGAGCTGAGAGAAGAGTACAGTTTGGATATCGTTCGGGTTGCATTTTGTGTTGATGATTGGCAAGGCCCTTCTTCAGAGTTCCATAAACGAAGACTTTGACAGGTGTTGTTGGTTGAGGTTGTTGTTGTGAAGCCATTTTTTGTTGTCGGAAATGTTTGGAAACGTTCATATTTGAAAATTTATATACTCGTGTCTATGATGTGAAAGTGTAATGTCAGAAAGTTAAATCTGCATACTAGTTTGACGATTTGTTGTTGTAGTTTATTATTGGCACTTGATATTACAAGTAGTCTATGATGAGAATAAATTAAGTCACAAGATAAGAGTATTTCAAGATGTCAAGCCTAGAGTTATTAAACGATGATGGTGCTGTTTCAGGTGAGAGTTGTTGATGCTGTATGTCGACAGCACACAAGCTGGTGATTGTCTTTGATTCTCCCTAATTCATTCAACAACAATTTACAAAATGTACACTCCCCAAATATGGAATGGATTGCTTTCGAAGCCACATATGGGTACAAAACGAGTAAATATCGTTCTGTGTTGCTCTTATTGATGGTTTTGTTGTGAATTATTATTCTGTTGTTGCAGATACAATTGATATTGTTGTTGCTGGTGCTGTTGATAGAGCATGAATTGTTGTTGATACATTGGATGCATCATGATTTGTGCTTGCAAATTGTGTACCATTTGCTTCAATTCAGTAATTTCTGCACCTTGCTTTTGTTGCTCCCGAAGAAGTATCGACAGCAAATTATCTTGCGAAGAAGAAGAAGGCTTGACTGGTTGTGTTGATGACGTCGATGAAGCAACTTCCATCAAACTATTTGAGTATTGTTGAGAACTTGAAGACTCATGCTGATACTTGGCTTTCTTTGTAGAGGGTTGTTGTACAGGGGTTGTATCGAAAAAGTCCATATCGAAATCGCAATTACCTTCATCGAGGAAGACTTGATCCTCGTGAATTGATAATTGTTGATTGACTGGAGATGGAGCATTCTTACGGTCGAGTTTGAATGGTTCGTTCAAATCATGCTCATCATCAAACCAAGAGGAAACTTCCCTCAGAGGGGAGAGATCTTGTATAAGTTGATGTTGTGGTGGTTGTGGGAACACTAAAGCCTGTGGCTTATTCTTATAGGCTTGCTTTGCAATTTGAATACTCTCCGAGTAGAAGGGAGATTGTTCCGAGAAGAAGTCAATCGTGTCGGTAATGGAAGTAATTTCCTTGTGGTGGTGATGGTGAGGAATCATTTTGTTGTTTTGTTTCTGGTTGGATTCAAGTACACGTGTGTGTTGGGACGGCAATGGCTTCAAGGAACAATGAATCTTCTATTAATATACACGGAAGAGTTCTTCTTTCGAAGAGAGAGAGGAGCAGAACGGAAGGACGTAATAATTGTTTCTGTTCAAATATATGGCCACTAACAATCGTTCAAAGAAATGGCGCTTCAATTGAGGATTATTCAATAGCGGAACACTGCTAGGACACAATGGGAAAGATTGCAACAATGGTAAAGGCTTCAATAATACAACTGCAAACAACAAGCCACGCACAGAGTTGAACACAGCTAACAGCGAGAGAGATCGTCTAGCCTTTTTTTTGTTCTTGGCTTAAAAAATTCGTTGGTTTGCTCTTTGAGGCTTCTTTGGCATGAAGCGATCCTTTCTTGGCGAACCCATCACATCAAACGATACAATAATTATTGGATGCTTCAAAACACTAACAAGATTTGATGGGAAAGCACCAAGCCTCAACAAAGTTGGGGGGAAAGTATTGGATTAACCAATGGACACTATTAGTGCGATAGATTGTTGTTGATCTTCGAACAATCCAACACAACTGTGGCTAGCGAAAAAAGCTCTTTCAGGAAATGTGGATGATGGGATTGTGAATAGGTTGAAAGATTCGTGTTGACGTCAAGGCTCTGTTGTGCCTCCTCACTCATGTGCACGAAAGAACTAATTTGAAACCCTGCTTGTGTGGAGATTCATTGTAGACAGATTGTATACAACGAGAGTCACTTCATGCGAACCTCATTGATGTCATCGATCAAGCAGGATTGTATTCAAAGAAGAAGGTGTTGTATGTACAACTATAAATCACTAAAAGGTGATCCTCTTCAAATTATTCGTGTTAATGTGAGAGTACAATACAATGACACATCAAAACTGACGGTTAAAAATGCTTCGATTGAATCAAGCTGAGGTCGGGAATGCACAAGAGAGAGAGGACGAAGGCTTGAATTGGTTTGAATTTGATAATGATGATGATGAAATGAAGGATGATGCTCCTACAACCCATCATTCTAAACCTCCTGTAAATATCCATCATCATCATCAACAACAAATTACCTCCTCAGATAGTGTGGAAGATGCATCTTGTCCTTCCGCTGTCGTTGCCATGATGAATGATTCAAGGATTGATGTATTCATGATGAGAGATCATTATGGAGATGGCGACGATGATGATGATGATGTCGGAGAGAATGAAGCGACCACACGGAAGGGTTCTAACAAATCATTAGAGTCGCGATCTTCAGTTGCAACCTCCGCAGCTGTTGCTTCTTCTTCGTCGGATCTGAATAAGGATCTACCTTCGTATCCACCTCCTGTATTTGATCCCTCTCTTCCTTCTTGCTGTACTTCTTTTTCCACACTATGCAAGTGCTTTGAGAAATTATCTTCAGCAACCAATCACAAGCAAAAGAGCGAAATTCTGGATACTATTTTCACGAAATGTCGGAAAGATTTATTTCAATTTATGAGATTACTTCTTCCTCAGCTCGATCGAGAACGTATGACGTATGGACTTAAGGAGTCAAAAATTGCTAAATATTATATTGAAATATTAGGTTTGTTTTGGATTGAATTTGAAATGACCAAACTCGAGTTTCTGTTATGTTCTTTATGCTAAACACCAAACATTCAAATGCAAACTGAATTATGTGAAATGCATATACTGAACTCTTGTTTCCATTACATTATAAACAGCATTGCCTCAAACCTGTGAAGACGCTTTGCGATTGAAGAAATGGAAAGATCCTTCTAAGGGAACTGGCAACTCTTTTTCCGACATTTGCTTTCAAGTAAGTTGATGCGTTTCCATTTGGTACATTAAACATACACGCGTGTATGGTCGTCACATGTAAAATCATCAACACTTAGGTTTTACAAAAGAGAGGATGGACCTCCTCATCGAATCTAACTGTATTTCATGTGAATGAAAAACTAAGTCTCCTCGCATCCTGCAATGACAATGATAAAAAGAAGAAAATTCTTTTGGATCTCTTGAAGAACACGTCATGTTTTGAACAGAAATGGATTCTTAGAATCATTTTGAAAGACCTTAGAATTGGTATTCAGCTTACAACCATTTTCAAACAATTTCATCCACATGCCCTTGAGCTGTTCAACTCATGCACTGACCTTCGAGAGGTCATTACCAAATGCCTTGACCCTAAATTTACCTCAACGGTCGAGCTTAGAGTATTCACCATGTTTACTCCCATGCTAGCATCGCTTCTAACTCCTGCCAAGTTAACGGCTGAGCTCCCTAAGGACGACTTTGTGATTGAACCTAAATACGACGGAGAACGAATTTTAGTCCACAAAAAGGAATCAGAAGTTAAATTTTTCACAAGAAAAGGAATTGACTATACGAATATTTATGGTCCTAAATTTGCTTCGCTCATTGTGAAGAATGTGAAGGCAAAAATTTGTATCTTGGATGGAGAATTCTTAATATGGAATCGTGAATTGGAGGCATTTAAGGAATTTGGACATAACCGTACACATGCACTCAGTGACACAAGTGAATCGAATGAACAATTTTGCTACATGATTTTCGACCTAGTTTATCTTAAAGATCGAGATATTACTCAATATCCGTTACAGAAACGAAGAGCCTATTTGGAGAGTATTATTAATCCTGTCAGCCATGTGTTAGAAATTGTACCACAAAAACCAGTAACCTCTGAGAAGGAAGTTTACGAACAGCTGGATCAAGCCATTCTCAACAGAGATGAAGGAATTATGCTCAAGGGATTAAGTGGAACATATGTTCCTGGAGAAAGAAAATGGATGAAGCTCAAGCCTGACAGCGTCGATGGAATGGGAGGTAAGTTGATGCATGAAGTAGGCAATATTATTCTGTAATTACAAATATCCAATATGGGATGTATTATATACATTCATTCAAAAAAAACGTTTTGCAATTCAAAGAAACTCTCGATTTGATTATTATTGGAGGTTTCTATGGCACGAAATTCAAGAGAAAATCTGTCTCTCACTTTCTCTTAGCTGTGGCAACCAAGTCCAAGCATTCTTTTTCGAAATCTGATGGCTTTGAAAATTTGGATTATGAACTAATGGTTAATGATGAAAATCAAGTATTTCACTCCTTTTGTAAGGTAGGAAGCGGATATACCAGCAGCGAATTATTGGCTCTCCAAAAAGAGTTAGAACCACATTGGAAGCCATTCGACAAGACCAAATTACCCAAATTTTATGGTTCATGGGTTCCTGGAGCAGGCGAATTACCAGACGTGTACATTGAGCCAAAAAAGTAGGTTTGACTTTTTGACTTGCTCATTATTCAGAATTAATTGACTTTTCGCCAAAACAATGTTGATCGATCTATCACTACAGTTCTAAAATACTTGAGATTAAGGGATATTCATTCCAAGATAGTACCAAATTTAAAACAGGTATTACACTTCGTTTTCCAAGAGTTGTATCCATCAGGAATGATAAGGACTGGAATGATTGCCTTGATTTACCTGGACTTGAAGAAATGGTCGAGTTGTCGCGAAATGGCACAAACAAGAGAAAGGCAGCGAGCATGGATTCTGTCATTTCTCATAACGACGTTAAGAAACAGAAGAGAAAGAAGAATACAACTACTACTACAATACAGAACAGCGATGGAACTGCCACGGAGGTGGCAAGTTCATCAGCGAAAAATCGACGACCGACTGCTGCTGTTTCACAATTTTTCGATCATGACATGTCAAAACTCGAAAAGACGTCAAACATATTTAAGGGCATGCAGTTTGTGGTTTTTAATGGGGATGAAAATTTTTCGAAATATGAAATTGAAAAGTTAATTGTTTCAAACGGAGGATCAAAAGTTCAAAATCCCAATGATCATGAAAATCAACACCTAATTGCAGCTAACACCAATAGTAAGTAGTATGGGAAAACATGTGTGAACAATCTCTCTCGATTGTAATATTGGCATTTGCTGGCTTGAACATTATTTTTGTCAATCACATTTTCTTTGCACAAACGAACAAAATCATGTCAGACATAACTGTGAAAAACTGGATAACTTCGTCCAAGGCAAAGAAAAATCCACTTGGAGATCGTGACATTATTCACTACAAATGGATTATAGATTCTGTATCCCAAAGCTCAATTCAAAGACTGCATCCAGGATACATGATTTACACTTCAGAACGGACTCAATATTCATTTAAGGAACAAATGGATGAATTTCAGGATGAGTACTTGTTCGATGCAACCGAAGAATCTATTAAGGTGTCCTTGCAGCTCACTAAAAATTCTCCCGAATTCATGATGGCAGATTCACCCATCATTGAGACAATCAATACTCGATATAACATCAAGACTTCAACATCGTTCTTTAAAGGAGTTCGAGCATATATAGACAAGTTTGTGAAGATTGGAGATGCATCTTCTGGAGTTGTACTGTTGGGAATGGAAACTTTGGAAGTTTTCATTTCCTTGTATGGAGGCTCTCTCAGTGAGCGATTAGATTCTTCTGTGACTCATATCGTGTACGATGAAGATGACACTTCTCGTCTCAAGACACTCAAAAGAGTTGCCACCAAGGAGGGCTTGTTTCTTGTTCCAAGAACATGGATCATGAGTTGCGTTCAGGCCAAAAAATTACAGGCAATTCCATCCACCAACGGATGAGAGTAAAATGCTTAAAGAGTGTGAATAATATTATTGCACATGAAGAAACGTAATGTCAATTTAATTAGAGAATTTGATTCCTGAACTTTTCACAAAGCAAGAACCCATATCGTGTTATAATGGAGAACCTAGTGTTGATGATTGATCACAACATTTGTAATATCTCTCAAGGCACCTCCTGGAGAGAGCGATTGCAACGTAGGTGTCTTTTTGTTTGCCATAAGGAATTTCTTTGGTGTGGAAGCTTTGATTGGTGATTTCGTTGGACTCGACGTAATACTTGACGTTGGTGAGCTTGGTGCAAACGATGAGGTGGCATCTGTGTCCGTGTCGGTATCAAGACCTCCAATATGAGTCCTATTGTACTCCAATTGACGTTGAACGACTGCCAATTCCATTCGCAAGGTGAAAATTTCTTTTTGTTGGCCTTCAATCTCACGATTCTTCTTTTCGAACTCCTTTTCTGATTTTTCTCGATATTCCTTAAATTTCTGTGCCACATCATTCAGGCTTGTCAGTAATTGTTTTCCTCGATCCTCAAGTGCCTTATTCGCTTCCCTTTCCTTCTTGTACTTTTTCACAAATTTTGAAAGTGTTCGAACGATGTCTTTCGAGTCCGACAAGGACAACAAATTCTGAACTTCCTTCAACACAAATTCCTGTTCAATCAATTGCTGTTGACTCTTTTCAAATTCTGCCTTTCGTTCTAAATTCAATTGCAGTAATGCTTGTTCGTGAGAAAATTTAAGAGTTTGTTCCTTTTCTTCATTCTCTTTCAAAAATTTCAATTTTAGACATTCCAATTCATTCTCATGTTGCACTTGCTGTGTTGAGAGAGTTTCTTCCAATTGTTCGACACGAGACTCCAATTGACTGATCATGGATTGTTTTTCTAACAATTCACTTTGAAGCTTTTTGATCTTTTCATCCTTGACGGCATCTTGAACCGTTTTCATGACTTGAGAGGACATGAGGAGAGGATTCGGAGTATGATGATGTCGGATGAGATTAGAAGGAAGTGCGGAAGGGATCATCATGGAGTGAGGTTTGAAATTGGTATTATTATTATTGGAAAGTGAAGAAGAGAATGATGAAGAGGAATCAGAATGATGATCTTCTCTGAGAAGAGAATTCTCTGTGAGGAGCGATGAGGACGATAAAGTTGTTGGTTTTGGAATGGTTATCGGCTGTGTAGACGCGGCTGTGATGGAGTGTGCTGAAGTATGATTCATCGGACAACGAGAGAAGCAAGAAAGAGGTGGTCGTGGTGGTCGTTTGCTGTTTTTCTTTTTTTTATTTAAATTTTACTTAACGGTTAGAGTTTTGATTTTTGGAGGGAATTTGAATGTCATTAGATTTAAGGTTCAATAAATTGAGCTTACAAAA